GGCAGAGTTTCCAAATCACGTGCTATCGAGATTAGGTTCAGGCCTTTTTATGGTTGAGACTCACCTTAGGACGACCTCAACGCTTGATATTAACAGCAAGCCAGGCCGAGCAATTTTTTTTTTTTTTGGCTCGGTTACAGGCTGTCATTGGTGACAGGCAAAAGCAATGGAGTCTGCGGAGGACGTTGTTGCAACTGCTCTTGACACTGTAAAATCTGCTGCTTTAACTCCCACTGAGCACTTGCTGTTGAAACGATTCTTGGATAAGGCCCAAGACTCGAGCTGTGCAGCTATATACCTCCTGCGAAAGGTGGAAGAGAACCCAAGCCGCAGCGTTGAAGCAAACCTACGTGAATTCAAGAAAGACTGGAGGCGATTGGTTACTAAATGTAAAGCTCCGGTGGATAATACTATTCAGATTAGAAGCTAACTATGGTGCTTGAAGTCACAAAACAAGAGGATATACCATTACCATCGCAATGTCTCCTAAAAAGCCGGGATATGCAGAATTGCTGTTGCATGGTCAACCGTCGTGGACGTCTCGCTGCGAATGCAACATTTAATGTTGAACCCGCATGGATTATACCCCCTTCAATCTTCCATGACGATGAATTGGCATATGAGGTGGGTAGCCCTCACCGCTGTCGGGTCCTTGGAATACTCTCGTCTAACAAGAAGTGACGGTATCTTCAGAGCCCACTGCTTTCGATTTTGGAAGCCTTCTTAACCCCTGATGTAGTTCGTTGGCTACGGGGCATGCTAGAAAGTTGTACCGAGCCAAAGAATGCACTACAGAATCTATTGCTCCTGTCACCCTCGGTCCAGTCCGCTTTTCGAGAAGGTCATCTAGAGATTACGAGGGGGTTAGGCCCTGTTCCACCGAAGAAGATAGAGCCAGATGCGAAAAGCGTTCATGTTTGTCCTACCAGCCTATCATTAATCGAGTATCTTGGGTAATGGCTTGATACTAAGAGACTGATATCTAGTATTTGGCGATCGCCCTTGCACCCGGAGAACGCCCTGATCTTACCCTTAGCAATGGAGAGCCATTGAAAGACGGCCCCCATATGTTCACAATGTACACCCGGAACCCTTCATTATACCCCTTGCCTAGTGAGGAGTTACTCCAGATACATTCCAAGATTGCTACTGCATTACATCTTTTCTCTGTTGAAGATGATATTTCTCTCGGCTGGCTGCGATCACCTTACAGTAAGATTCACAATTAAAATTCAACGGTATAAGGGAGATTGAGAACTATCAACTAATACACCAGGATAATAATAGTTTCTCTAAGCAAGACAGTCTGCCAGTATATTCGCAGCTGCTGGCACTTTGTACCCAAACCAATCCGGGTATGGTGCTACCTTTTTCTAGCTCAGATTAGCAAACGATTCTACCCGTATCGGGGTTCGTTAGTACAGCAACTTCCATTCGGACTATACATGAAGAACTGTCACCGGGCTCGATATAACGAAGTAAAAGCCCTTCAGATCATTGAACAGCACACATCGATACCCGCCCCGCTATTCATAGACACATTCGAGCATCAGGGAAAAGTCATGCTGGTAATGACTCGGGTGAGAGGCCAGCAATTGCAGGAGGTATTCTACCGGCTATCGTACCCGGAACGCACACAGCTCTCAGCAGACCTGCACTCAGCCATCAAACAACTCCGAGCAATCCCAAACACCACCCCCCACCGCTTTGCTAATGTTCTAGGCGGTCCACTTCTGGATGTACGCCTACCGGACTCTCACGACCGGGCGCGTGGGCCCTTTGACAACGAGTTGGATTTCCACGACGCGCTGATCCACAAGTTTATCTTTGCCGAGACGAAACAGGCTGTTGCTCACGTTCACTCCCGATCGTATCGGTCGTTCTTCTCGCATGCTGATTTGAACTTTTATAATATCATTATTGAGCGTGGGAAGTTGTCTGGTATCGTGGACTGGGAGTGTGCGGGATATTATCCTGAATACTGGGAGTTTACGAAGGGGATATATATTATAGAGGGAGCGGCGGATAGGGAGAAGATTATACGAGATGCGTTTCCGGATGAAGATTACCAGGATGAGCTTGAGGCTGAAAAGGTGTTGTGGTTCGCTGCGCCGCCGTGGGTCTAGCTGGCTTCTTGACTCGGGAGTTTGAATATCAAGTTGAGATAGATCAATTAACTGCTATTTGCTATTCTGTCTGTGCTTGCTATAACAAGCACTGCTCTGTATCTGGGAACAATTTTACCACGAAAAAAACAACGACAAATTAGAGATCAACAAAGATAAAGGAAAATCATCATCCTCCCCCTTTTCACTTCCTTTCATCACATCACATCACATGTTCAAGTAAGTAATTTTACTTGGTAACGTCCAAAGGCTCGATGTTCCAAATACCCTCGGCATACTCGGCAATAGCACGATCAGACGAGAAGAAACCCATCCTGGCAACGCTCAGAATGCTCTTCTCAACCCATCCGTCCTTGTCCTTGAAGGCCTCGTCAATGATATCATGCGTCTTGACGTAGGAATTGAAATCGTCGGAGACAAGGTAGTAGTCGCCATGCTGGGTGATCGAGTCGATGATTGCCGAGAAGGAGTTTGCGTCGCCGAAGGTGTTGGCGCGGATGGCGTCGAAGACGGCGGACAGCGAAGGGTCAAGGGTGATGCTTGAGGGGTTGTAGACGTGAGCGTGGCGAAGGTCCTCGACGTCTTCGGCCAGGTTGCCGAACAGGAAGATGTTGTTTTCGCCGATTTCGCGGGTGATTTCGATCTAACAGCACAGGTTAGCAATGGATAGGGAAGGTAGAATGAATATAAGGAGACTTACGTTGGCACCATCGCAGGTTCCGATGATGAGACCGCCGTTAAGGACGAATTTCATGTTACTTGTTCCACTGGCCTCGGTGCCGGCGGTGGAGATGTGCTCGCTGATGTCGGAGGCAGGGCAGATGATTTCGGCCTTGCTGACGTTGTAGTCTTCGATGAAGATGACTTTGAGCAAGTCGCCGACGTCCGGGTCGTTGTTGACCACTGCGCCCACGCTGTTGATCAAGTGAATGATCGTCTTGGCCATCCAGTATCCTGGAGCAGCCTTGCCGCCGAAGATGGAGACACGGGGGGCCAGTTTGGAGCGTTCCTCGGGGCTCATGGCCTTGATGCGGAGGTAGCGGTGGATGACACCCAGGATGTTAAGCTGCTGACGCTTGTACTCGTGGAAACGCTTGACCTGGATATCGAACAGGGCCTTGGGGTTGACTTTGACGCCCGTGGTTTCGAGGATGTGTTTGGCCAGACGCTCCTTGTTGGCGGTCTTGATGGCAGCCCACTCGGTCTTGAACTCCTTGTCGTCGATGAAGCCTTCCAGCTTGTCGAGCAAGGTGAGGTTCTTGAGGAACTCGTGGCCGCCGAGCTTGGAGGCGATGAGGTCTGAGAGTCTGCGGTTGGCCTGGTGCAGCCAACGGCGAGGGGTGATGCCGTTGGTGACGTTGCCGAACTTGTCTGGCCCGTAGATGGTGACGAAGTCCTTGAAGATGGTGGACTTGATGAGGTCGGAGTGCAGTTCGGCGACGCCATTGACCTTGTGCGAGCCGATGATGGCGATGTGAGCCATGCGGACCATCTTGGGCTGGGTCTCTTCGATGACGGAGACGCGGCTGAGCAGGTCGTGGTCCTTGGGGAACTTGCGCTCGACGTGCTGCAGGAAGGCCATGTTGATCTCGTAGATGATCTGGAGGTGACGGGGCAGCAGGTTCTGCATCAGTGGGACAGACCACTTCTCCAGTGCCTCGGGGAGGACGGTGTGGTTGGTATAGCCGAAGGTGTTGGAGACGAGACGCCAGGCCTCGTCCCAGTCGAGGCCTTCCTCATCGACTAGGATACGCTGGAGCTCGACAATGGCTAAAGTAGGATGGGTATCATTGAGCTGGATGGCGACCTGGTCGGAGAACTCGCTCCAGGGCCGCTTGGTCTTCTTGTAGCGACGGACGATGTCGAAGAGCGAGGCCGCGCACCAGAAGTACTGCTGCTTCAGACGTAGCTCCTTACCCCTGTCGAGGTTGTCGTTGGGGTATAGCACGGCGGAGATGGTCTCGGCACGCTGCTCGTCTGCGACGGCGCTCTCGTAGTCTCCGGCATTGAAGCGCTGGAAGTCGAATTCACCGCTGGCGGCCTTGGAGGACCAGAGACGCAGGTTGTTTGTGGTGGGCGTCTGGTAGCCCGGGATGGGCATGTCGTAGGCGACGGCCTGGACGATCTCGCCGTCCTGCCATGAGTGGACGGTCTTGCCGTTCTCATCCTGGTACTTGCGGACCCATCCGTAGAACTGGATGTCGACGGTGACGTCGTGGCGTGGGAACTCCCAGGGGTTGAAATCGAGCCAGTAGTCTGGAACCTCGATCTGGTACCCGTTGACGATCTCCTGCTTGAAGATGCCGTAGCGGTAGCGCAAGCCGTAGCCCCAGGCCGGGTAATTGAGCGAGGCCAGGCTGTCGAGGAAGCAGGCAGCCAGACGACCGAGGCCTCCATTGCCCAGGGCAGCGTCGTTCTCCTGTTTGATGATGTCCTCGACGCGGAACCCGAGATCGCCCAGCCCATCTGGTTAGTTATGACGTAACATTAGCACTTGACTTAAAAGCAGAGGAACTTGGGGGGCATTTGTTGCTCCATAAGATAAACTCGATAACCGGGATTTGGATACGAGTGAGGGCGCACCTTTGGCGAGGTCCTTCAGGCCGACATTGAGCATGGCATTGTCCAGGGCTCGTCCCATGAGGAACTCCAGCGAGAGATCTCCGTCTATTAGCAGGTGATAATAAATTAAGCCAGAGAGGGGGGCTTACAGTAGACTCTCTTCTGGTCCTTGAAGGTCTGGCGCTGCTGGGTCTTGTTCCACTCGACGACCAGGCGGTCCCTAAAGGCCAGGGCCGTCGCCGAGTAGGCAGCTCTAGTTACCCAGAAGTATCAGCATTCATGGTCTTCTGTTGGTAACTAGCTAGTTACTCCGCAGTCTTGCATTTTGCCAACGTACACTTCGTCACAGTTGAAGATGGAGCGGGCCAAGCTGGTCTCGACATGGCGGACGACCTCGGACTGCAGCAACTAGTCAGTAGAATATCTCCAAGCAAAAGACAGCCAGGGCCAACAAACCTCGAACTCCTCCTTGGTCTCGAATTCCTTGGGGGCCTATTCCCGTCAATTTAGTCGGTTAGTTAGGAACTTGGTAGTTAACTAGCTGGTCAGATGGTGTATTCGCTGCTGCATCCTTACGTATTTCTTCCACCTGCACCACCGTTAGTACCCACAGCACCACACAAGTAAACTAGAGTAAAAACTAGAGCAGACAGGGAAGACTCACGCAGCTCGCTGGGGCTCGGGGATGCTGGCCTCGACGGACTTGATGTCCTTGGGCCCAAAGCCGGTGAAGGTCCGCTTGTGCTTGGGACGCGAGAAGCCTGGTCCGACGGGGCCCTGGAGGTCTGAATGCGGAGCCCCGACGGACGGCCGGCGCTCTCGAGGTTGGTGGGAGGTGTCGATGCCAGGAGCCATTTTTCTCTGTTCTCTGCTCTTGAGTCTTTTCTCTTCTAGCTTCGTCTGTGGTGATGTTGGGTGGAGTTGTGGTGTTTGGTGTAGTAGTTGGTTGGTGATGGATGTAGAGGCGTGCGGGCAGAGGGGCAGCCAGGACGAGAAGATGCAAAAGTCGCACAGCCTGGAAGAAGAAGAAGACGAAGAAGAAGAAGAAGACGAAGAGAAGAAGAAGAATGAGAAGCTCTCTTAAAGTCGCAGGCCGGGAAGAGACGAGCTTATCAAGTTCGAGGTCGGCGCTGGTGGCGACGGCAAGCTAAAGGTGAAGGTAACTTGTAAGTATCCTTGCCCGGGCAGCACAGCTTGCATGAGACGGTTAGACAGACAGACCTGGCTGACAGGCACATATAACCATTAGATAGACAGGATAGACAGGATGGACAGAGATAGACAGAGAGATAGACGGCGGATTAGCAGTCTCCGGGTTCCATATTGCAGTAGATGAAGCCGGACATCCCTCGACGGGCCGGCGTCCGTCTTCCTTGTCTGCCAGGTAAATCTCGCAGCATCCAACAAGGAGCTGGCCAGCCAACATCAACATATAAATAGCAAGGTTGGACAGTTTTAGTTACTTTTACTACGTAGCTTAACTCTGCTTTAGTTGCTTGGTCTGCGGGCTTCTTGTTACGAGCTGGAGAAAGATGGACATGAGATGCTGAGCTTAAGCTTAATCTAGATGAGCTGGAGGGAGAAGTCAGGGCGAAGAGAGAAGCGGTAGTTTAATAGCACATCACAGATGGAAGATAGAATGTCAAAGTCGAGACACACAGAGAGAGAGATAGATAAGTTATAAGAGAGAGAGAGAGACGGGGTTCTCGTACATCATCACGATAAAAAAAAAGGGGGATAGCAAGAAGTTAAGGAGGAGAAGAAGGAGAAGGAGAAGAAGAAGAAAAAGGGGGTGGGTTCGTTTTTTCTTTTTGGCAGAGGCAAGGAAGAAACAGGGTAGATGGAGAGGTTGGAACATGGCGTAGTCGAGGAGGCATGGTAGGAGGATAGGTAGAGAGGTAGAGAAGGTAGAGGAGTAGGTCGGGTGGAGGGGAGGAATGATATTAATGTAGAGGTGGGTTTGGTCGTGAGTGATGCATTAACCGAATAGTAAAAAAGTAGTAAGGAAAGTGAGTAGTAAAAGGGACGAACCAAGAAAGGGGGAGGCGTCTTTTTCAAGGGAGGAGAGAGAGAGAGAGAGAGAGAGAAATCGAATAGATATAGTGCAGTGCTTGGGCGGGCGTGCAGCGTCATAAGGAGAGTGAGAAGAGAAGATATGAAAACGAAAGAGAAAGGCAAAGAAACTCGCTGATGAGATGAAGATGACCGAGGAAATAAAGGAAATAGAAAAAGGAAATGGAATGGAATAGAAAAAAAAAGAGGACGCCGCGCCGGTACAGTGTCGTCCCGTTTGGTAGATGAGAGAGTAAAAAAGAAGAGAGATGGGAAAAAAAAGATAAAACACGGCAGTAAAACAGACAAGAAGAGAGGAACAGACAGAACAACAGTGAACGCCGGTTGAAGTCAAAAAGTCGTGGGTATGTAAGTGGTATCTCATGAAGTAGAAGCGGGAAGTAGTAATGGTGGTGGTGGTGGCGGTGGTAGTCGGATAGAAGAGAGGTAGGGGGACGAGGTTATAATATTCCGGAGTCCTTGAGGGCGTTTTGGAGGATGGTCTCTTTGACGGCGGCGAAGACCAGCCGGATATTCGACGTGTCGGTTGCTTGTGTCAAACTACAGCAAGTTAGTATAAGACTTAAAACTGTAAGAAAGGAAGTATATACGCACTGAGGATAGAGGTTGAGATGTGCGCGGTTGACCTGGTTGAAGCGCCAGAGCAGGTACTTGGCCGCGCGGTTGACGTCGTTGCCGCCGGAGTAGTCTGGGAAGTACTTGTTGAGCGGGGAGCGGCCGAGTTTCTGGCGGAAGAGGTCGACCTTGTTGAGGAAGAGGACGATGGAGGTGCGCATGAACCAGCGCGAGTTGACGACGGAGTCGAAGAGGACGAGGGACTCCATCATGCGGTTCTGGTTGCTTTCTTCGAGCAGGACCTGGTCGTATTCGCTGAGGGCGACGCAGAAGATGATGGAGGTGACGTTTTCGAAGCAGTGGATCCATTTCTTGCGTTCACTGCGTTGGCCGCCGACATCAAACATACTATCGAATGTTAGTATATTTATATATATATATATATAGATATATATATAGATATAATATATGACGTACTGGATGGAGAGCTGGCCCATGGTGAACCTGGTCTCGTAGATGCCGGTGGTCTTTGTTCGGGCGCGCAGGACGTCAGCCTCGTTGGGGATGTAGTCTGGCATCGTTATCCGCTTTGCTTCCTCGAAGAAGCTATCTGCTATTAGCATATAACTAAATATTTATTATATGATAAAGAGGACGTACTACGGGGCGGAGTCCATGAGGTAGAACTCGTTCTGGCGCTCGAGGACGGCGGGTATGCTGGGGTCGTTCCAGAGGTATGTGATGGCGTCTCCGACCTTGAGCTCGAGGGCGACGTTTGGGTCCGGGTCGATGTTGTAGTCGAGCAGGTAGTCCATGAAGTCGCGGACTTTGGCGCTGGAGGGCTGGATCTCGAACTGGTGCATGGCCCAGACGAGCGATTTGGCGCAGTCGAGCAGGTTCTTGTAGACGGTGAGGCGGTACATGGACAGCTCTTCGACGGAGTAACCGTTCTGGTGGATAATCTTCATCTGCTTGACGATGGTCGACTTGCCGCTCTCGCCGGAGCCTGCACCTCTTAGTACGGCAATCATGAGTTGAACAATAAGAAGAAGAAGAAAAAGATAATACCTAAGAGGAGGATCTTGCACTCCTTTTTGAGGCGCTTCATGTCTTCCTCGAGGACTCTGTCTATGGCCTGGCTCTTCTTCTTCTGCTCCATGATCTCGTCCGACCCGCTGCCGGCCGAACTCAGACATCCTCCCATCCTGTCCGGTGGAGACACGGTGACTGAATGATAGGGGAGGCAGGCGATATAGCGGGAGGCCGGGCGTGATGTCTGTAGATGTGAGATAGATGCAATAACTAGTGTGATGTTGAGGTGGTGTCGTTAGTTGTTACGAGGCAGGCTATGCGGAGGAGGAGGAGGCTGCAGGGCGACGGCGACGGCGAAGGCGAAGGGCGGCCGTCACAACAAAGACGGTCTTTGTCCTCTTTATTCTTTATGCTGGAGGTCCTTCGTCTTCTGTCTGTCGATGGACTATGGGACTGTGTGTCTGGTCGTGTGTAGGCGATGGTGGTGACAGGCGACGGTGGATCCTGGGCCGGCGAGACCCCAGCGGCGGAGGGAGGAACTCAAGGCCAGCAGCGCATGGACGACGCCTGTCTCTCGTCTCGCTGGCTGGCTGGCTGGCTGGCGGTCGCTGGTCGCCGGAGTCTTGTCGCAGGCGGTTGACCTGGTTGAACTGTCTCGCGGCGGATGTCGGAGGACGGGCTGCTGGACGTAGAGGAGACGAGGAAGCCAGCTGAGAGAGAGCAAGCAGAGAACAACAACCAGAGAAGAGACAGCAGAGAGTCAAGAGTCAAGAGTCAAGAGGAAGAAGAAGAAGAAGAGAAGAGAGGAAGAAGAAGAAGAAGAAGAAGACAGTAAGAGAGAGAGAGAGAGAGCGAGAGAGCGAGAGAGTGACGAGAGTAAAGAGAGAGAGAGAAAGAAGAGAAAAAGCAAGGAAAAGGCGGGCTGTTAGGTAAGCGTATTACCCACCGTTACCCGCAGAAGTTGGCAGGCGGCGAGGGGGCAGCGGGCGGTATCTTACAGGACGTTACGCCAGATTTACGGTGAGCCTGACTGAGACTACAGAGAGACTTATAAGAGACTTATAAGAAGACTTGAAGAGGATATTAAAGAAGATATTAAAGAGAAGAAGAAGATGTAAGAGAAGATGTAAGAGAAGATGTAAGAGTAAGAGAAGAAGAGAAGAGAAGGGAGAGACAGGGAAGACGACGAGATCTTGCGTCCGTCGCTTGCCCCGGCCATGCCATGTGGAAGCGCCAGGGATGCTCCGTAGGCTGAGGACTGGCTGGGACTGGGACTGGACTGGGACTTCTTAGCAGGCGCAGTAAGGTAAGAAGATGGCAGAGGCAGAGTCGACGACGAAGAGCCTGAAACCTGACCGAGGGACGCAGTTCGAAGTCCTCATTCCTCAGTCCTAGCTGAGCTGGCCGTTTCAGCCTTGGGCCAGGACAGGCCGCTCGCTCATCCTCTAGTATCCTCCGGTCTATCCTCTGGTCTATCCTCCGCTGCTCATCTGCCTCTCCTCTCCTGCCTCTCCTCTTCTGCTTCTCTCTTCTCTCCTCTCAATGGACGCGGCTGCTGCACCTGAAACATGGAGGTTCTCCTGCACCGTCCCGAGCTGCCTCGCTGCCTCGCTGTCCCCCTTAAAACCGCCCTCTGACCCCAGCCAACCAGCAGCCCTCAGCCAGCTCCCAAGCCCTCTCTCTCTCTGTTTGACAGTGACCTTAAACACTCTCTTAGTTTAAGTCACAGTACTAACTAGTTAGTTAGCTCTATGATGTAAACCGGGGGAGGGAAGAAACTCGGGGCGGGACAAAGCTCAAGCTGTCTGCTTCAGGCTGTCTGCTCCGAGGCGAGCGAGGTGGCGACGCGGAGAGGCCTTTCGACCCAGGCAAGCCAGACTTGTAGACGGTAGAACCAGAGCTGCAGCCTTGGTGGACTCGATACTCGATAACCTAATGGCCGACGGAGCAGAGGTCGGCAGATAGTTGCTCACTGTTCGTTGCTCGTTGATATCTACAGTCAGTCAGTTGTAGTCAGTAGTCAGTAGTCAGTGTAGCCAGTAGTGGGATAACTACTTGCTTCATCTCCATCGCATCCATCGCATCTCCATCGCCCTAGTCTAGTCATCTCATCCAGTCCACCGGCTTCCCGGCCCTTAGCTGCGCTGGCCTATTGCTTAGGGTTGCCTTGCTTAGTCTCTGCTGCTGCTTGTTGCTTGTCGCTGCGAACTTGCTGCTCACTGGGCCGCCCCTCTCTTCCTCTCTCTCTTCTCTCTCTCTCTTTGCTCCTCCACTTCCACTTCCACTTCCACCTTTTCCACTCAACTCAACTCAACCTCCATCAGCCATCGCCATCGCCATCAGCCACATCTCCTCCGGCCAGCAACACCTTCAACCGATAACTAGCTACTCTTTCGACTTCGACCTCGACCTCGACTTCTACCCCTCTATCGATATACCTGCGTGCTTCGGCCGTCTTCATCATGGCGGAGTTCGTGCGCGCCCAGATATTCGGCACCACCTTCGAAATTACCACCAGGTACGTTCTGCAGCTCAGCATCAGATCGAGATGGAGATGATAAAGATAGCATAAGACGCCTACTGACTGCCGCAGATACTCGGACCTGCAGCCGGTGGGCATGGGCGCCTTCGGTCTTGTCTGGTAGATATCCCCAGGTCTACGCCAGTACCCTCCTCCTCCCCGCGGGCTAACTCTCTGTGCAGCTCCGCCAAAGACCAATTGACAAACCAGGCCGTCGCCGTCAAGAAGATCATGAAGCCGTTCAGCACGCCTGTCCTAGCCAAGCGGACCTACCGAGAGCTCAAGCTGCTCAAGCACCTGCGACATGAAAATGTACCTCCCCATATAATAATAATAATAACAATAACAATAACAATAACAATAATATATATATACTAACTTCTTACAGGTCATCAGCTTAAGCGACATCTTCATCTCGCCGCTCGAAGACATGTAGGTGCTCTGCCTGCTCCTCCATCAGCCGCGCACATCTACTGACACTCGCCCGCAGATACTTCGTCACAGAGCTGCTCGGCACCGACCTCCACAGACTGCTCACCTCCCGGCCCCTAGAAAAGCAGTTCATACAGTACTTTCTCTACCAGATCCTCGTACGCCTCTCTGAATACTGAATACGTCAATACTGAATACGTTAACGGAATGACTGCTAACACCGTCTAGAGAGGCCTCAAGTATGTACATTCCGCCGGCGTCGTCCACCGAGACCTCAAACCAAGCAACATCCTCATCAACGAAAACTGCGACCTCAAGATCTGCGACTTTGGCCTCGCCCGTGTCCAGGACCCCCAGATGACCGGCTACGTCTCGACGCGCTACTACCGTGCCCCCGAGATCATGCTGACATGGCAAAAGTACGACGTCGAGGTCGATGTCTGGAGTGCGGGGTGCATCTTCGCCGAGATGCTGACTGGTCGACCGCTCTTCCCGGGCAAGGATCATGTCAACCAGTTCTCCATCATCACCGAGCTGCTCGGGACGCCACCAGACGAGGTCATCCAGACTATCGGTTCTGCCAACGTGGGTGCCTTTTCTCTCTATTTCAACTTTTCTTCTACATTCTAGACCTAGACCTTCGAACTAACCCGAGCAGACACTCCAATTCGTCCAGTCTCTTCCCAAGAGACAACGACAGCCACTCAGTGAAAAGTTCAAAGATGCAGACCCCCTCGGTATATACCTCTCTCCAACCGTGCCTGTCAATCAGACAAAGACTAACCCCTTCTAGCCGTCGATCTGATTGAGAAAATGCTCGTCTTTGATCCCAGAGCACGAACCAGCGCTGTCCAGGCTCTGGCCCACGAATACCTTGCTCCTCACCACGACCCTACAGACGAACCAGAGGCCGGCGAACGCTTCGACTGGTCCTTCAACGACGCCGAACTCCCCGTCGATAGCTGGAAGATCATGATGTATGCGGAGCTCCTTTCGCCTCTTTCCCCCTCCATCAACAACAACACCAACAACAACAACAACACCACCACCACGAGTCCCCTCACAATACCAATGCCACCACCACCACCGCAAATACCACTAACCCAGCCACCTCAAATACCCTGAATACCACTCCCTCTTTTCTTTCCCCCTTCCCTACTCTTCATTGTTGCTGGACAAGTTTTAACGCTGACTTGTCTAGGTACTCTGAGATTCTCGACTATCATAACGTCGACCAGGTTTCACAGGAGTACACCGAGCCCCAGCCGCCCCCAATAGATATGGCAGCCACCGCCTCAGTGTCCCATCCCCAATAATACACTGGGTGCAATCCGCGCCATTAATGCATTATTCATAATGACAATACATACATTAAGAAAAAGTGAGGAAAAAATAACTCGGATGAGAAATGGGGAAAGAAAAGCAATAAATGCAACAAAACGTTGATGGGAGAGCAATGACCGTCTAATAGAAACGAAAAAAAGCAACAGAACAGGATAGGATATCGAGCAGGCAAACAAAACACAAAATAAAAAAAAATTACAAGAAATTCGAAAAAAAAAAATTACCGCCGAAGCATGATAAATATATACGAAGCAGAAAAAAAAAAACAAAAACAAAAAAAAGGTATGCGTGGGAGAAACATTGATGAAAGGGGAAAAAGAAAGGAAAAATGATAATAAAAAAAGGAAGAAGAAGAAGAAGAAGAAGAAGAAGAAGAATTGGGCGTGAAGTAGACGGCGACTAGAGACGATCGTTTCATCCTCATGCGATCGTGCGGCCAGTCCCAGCCTAACTAACTAGCCTTGCCTGTCCAGTTCGCCGACCACCACCAGCAACGCCAGCACCCAGCACCAGTCATCGAAACCCGAAACTCAGCACAGCAAACCAGCGGAACCAGATCCCCGACCCTGACCCCGATACTGCTTCTCCTCCATTCCAACTCATGGCCTCCCCCCCTTTTTTTGCTTGAAACTGTCAATATTTACCCTCAGGTAGCAAGTCATTCTTACTACGTCAGATACCTTGTTTTTTGATCCCCGCCGTTACATACATATACATACGGAGTACCTCCTGCACATCTGTCTCTCCTCCCCCATCCCCATTAATTACCGGCACAGCACCAGCACTATTTTATGTCTATGTCTTTTTTTGCTTACTTATGCCTGTCTATGCTTATGCCTATGTCTTATCTATACACTTGTTGCTTGTTCATTTTCCTTTTTGCTTCTGTGAATTGGCTGAGAAGGGCCAGGCGAGTCAACCTTGGGAACGGGAAACGGGAGTGAGAGATGTTTTACGTTACTTACATAGGGCTGGGTGGCTGACTGACCGACCGACTGAACTCGCTTCACCTGACTTGACGGCATGGCAATGGCATGACATGGCATGGCAATGGCTGGCTAGCTGGCTGGCCGGATAGATGGATGGAATAACTTGCTTTAAAACATACCCTTTTTCATAACGGAGTACCATCCGTCCATATCATACATATTTCAACCTGCTTGCTTTGCTTTGCTTTGCTTTGCTTGCTTGCTTCCTCTTGCTGTATACATGCCTTATCTCCGTACGTAGTAGTATGGACTGAGCTGGATGCATTCACCTGAGACGAACAAGACGAGTTATATACCACCTGTACGTACATTCGGATAATACTTGTGCATACCATTATTGATTGACCTCTTGACTTACTCCGTATTTGCTTCTTTCCGCCGCTTAACTAGTCCCGTCCCCAGCTCCAGTTCCGCTTCCTGCATATTTGTTATTCGCCAACAGCCAACAGTCTCCCTACAACTAATAACCACTAACTGTTCGCTGGCTGTTTTTCCCCTGGCCTAACTCAGTTACGTTACTTACCGCGCCGTGTGGCTTGATGTTAAAAATTCCTTTTTACCTATATTCCACAACCCCCCCTTTTTCCCACCTGTGTTTGCGCCCTTGGGATTATCAGTTGCTGATCTTCGTCTATCTTCAACGAGCGTATGTGTATGCGTCGTACCTTAGCTTCCATCCTCCACTTTTCTCCGGTTCCTGCATGTGTTGCTGCATACAGATGTCTGTTGCATGGTACGGAGTATGGAGTACGGCAAATCAAGGAAGAGCTGGTAACTTCGAACGGTCGGGAGATATCTTTAATTGTAATAGTTACTAAGGAGTAGAAATGAATCACTTTATTTGACAAATGCTATGGGAAAAGGCCTTATCGTGATGCTGGGCTGGAGGGCTTTGCTTTGGTAGTTGAAATGGTTATGCATGGCCGGAGATATGCTTAGTTAACTTATGTGGGCGGGATAACTAGGGGCCCTTGATTTACTCGTATCTTCTACAGCGAAAGTGGTGGATTATCCGACAGATTAATCCATAATTGAATTTGCATAGTAATCAGGTCGACCAGAATTCTAGTCCATAGTTCTATGGCTGTCCGCGGCTGCAGCGGCTTTGCCGGCGTTGACCTCGCCTTAGATCAAATTCTAGACCTCAAATGGTCAACAGTAACTACAGTAACTATACAATGAAGACCACGACATTGATTCAACGACTTGCAGCTACAAGCCTGAGCTCACCAAAGACCTATAGGAGATACCATCTTCCATCCTCGTCAGGCCCCAGCGGACAGCCACCCTCGATATCGGACCAATATGACAAGTTCTACCGGTACACAAGCGGCCGCTGGCTCTGGGACGAAGAAAAGCAACTCCAGGACCGATTCACACCGTTCAATGTACCGGAGCTCCAGCGTATCGCGGCCACAAGCATTAAAGCCAACAAGTGCGTTGCCATGACGAACCTGGCAGAAGGCTCTTTTAACAAGACCTTTCATCTCAAGATGGACAACGGGTCTACTCTCGTTGCCAGGATACCTCACCCCATTGCAGGACCGAAGTACTATACCACTGCATCAGAAGTCGCCACGATGGATTTTGTAAGACCAAAGTTGCTTTTCTTGCCTGTAGCGGGTTGTTTGGACATCGTTTGTTTACTCTACTTCTACTACAGGCTCGTACAGTGCTCCAGATACCCGTCCCGCAGGTCTATGCGTGGAGCCCACACGTCGATAACCCCGTTGGCGCCGAGTATATCATCATGGAGGAAGCTGTGGGGACAAAACTAGAGGATGTATGGCATGATCTGTCTCTAGAAGACAGACTTAAAATCGTAGAGGATCTGGTATCGATTGAAAGTAAGCTTCTTTCGGTATCTTTCAGCAGGTAGGAAATAATTCAGGAATTAATTTCGATAAACTGCAACTGACTCGAGACTTTAGATATGGGAATCTCTATTACTCTGGCCAGGCAGTCCCCGGGGCTGTGGTCGCTGATGTTGTGAATGATACAACACCGGCGCTTAAAATGGACGTGAAGAAGCGGTTTTCCATTGGCCCTGCTGTAGCAAGGGATTTCTGGACCAAAGAACGTTCTCTGATGGATATAGATCGGGGTCCATGTAAGTCAATTTTATCTCTATACTTTCACTACTTTCTTACCGTTTAAATTCGTTCAGGGCACCATCCACATGAATATGCGATAGCTCTAGCACGCCGTGAACAGAAGTGGATTGAGAAATACGCGGTTCCCGAGCCTGCCACCGACCCATCCACGACCCCTACAGCACAAAATTCCCCTGAAGCCCATCTTTCCCTTCTCAGAAAATATCTACAAGTGGCCCCTTATCTTCTGCCCACAGACGACCCAGATCTCGTTGCATCTACCATCTGGCATACAGATCTCCATGCCGGCAACCTCTTTGTGGACAAAGGCCATATCACTAGTGTGATTGATTGGCAGCAAGCTTGGGCTGGGCCCCTAGTTCTTCAAGGCCGTCACTCACGTCTAGTTAATTATGACGGGGAAATAATTTTGAAACCGCCGCCGAATTTCAAGGAGCTTGAACCAAGTGAGAAGGCCCGGCTGAAAAAGCAGATCGCCAGTTCCAGAATTCTTTATCTTTATGAACTGCAGACAGCGAAACGCAACACTAGTCTCAACAAAGTATTCCGTTTGAAGTTCGGGCGAGTAAGGTGCCAGCCTATAAGCTTTGTTGGCGACACCTGGGACGACGATATTCTGCCATTGCGCGAATCACTGATAAATGTGGAAAGGTACGTTGTGAATAATCGGTCATTTGAATTACAGTATCTGATATATATATAGATATTGGCATGAGCTTGGCTTCAACTTTGCGTGCCCAATTCACTTTACACAGGACGAGCTCCGGAGACACGTAGAGGATGGAGAAGGATGGAATGAAGCGCAAGACTTTTGGAAAGCTATAGCGGGAATCGTCGCGCGTGATGGATGGACTCCACACAGCATGTATGATGAGGCTGTGGCTCTTTTTGCAGAACTCAGGGAACTCGGGTTAAAGAACATGAAGGGAAAGGCGAGAGATGAATTTGAAGCACTGACACGGTGGGCGGAGAGCTCTTCCCAGAGCCATAATGAAGGATGATACCCATCACTTCAGATGTCCAAGTAACCCGTGGAATTCTGGGTCTTAACGATCATCAAAGTCCTGCAGTGGCGTGACTGCGGAGAAGCGGACTGCCTGACGTCACTGCAGCGTCTATGGCGTCTACGGCGTCTACCCTGACAGCTACGCAAGGTAATTATCAATACCCGGAAGACCCTTTCCTATGCTAACGGACACACGGGGAGACATTGAGAGATCCTTCAGAGGGGTAGCGAGTGTGGTAGCGAGGGCCTTCAATCTGCCCTATGAGCATCCAGCACGACCCGAGCATCCTCCAGGATCAGATGAAACTTGAGCTTGAGCTAGCTACCGGCTAAGTAGCTGGCTGTAGCTAGTTATATATCCGAGAAGGATCTGAGAATGAACCGGCCAGGGGGTCGACCAGGTGGCTATAGGGGTATGGCAGTTTTCACCTTCAACGCATGACACTCTTCTGGCCATGTTTGAGGATCAATGAGGAAAATGCCGATGATCCAGATGCTGGTAGCAGCCATGATGGCAGCATGAATCCACGGCTGCTCAATGAAGGGTATTCAGTCGTGCAATCAGGGCAGTGCATGAGATCGTCATTGACAGAGATGAATTTTATAGTTACGGCCAGGCTCGTCTGGGGGTCTCCGGTGGTGATAGTGAGCTAGTCAGTCAACTAACTAACCAGTTAACAGGATATTCCCTGTCATTCATGATAGTTATGGTCTAAGTAGAACCTCGTAGTCGAGTACTCCGTAGTCTGTTCGATATCTCTTCATCCTTGCCCTTATCCCGGCTGTTATGCATGAGAGTTCGTGGGCGACTTCAAATTCCATCCCACGCCGGAGGTGGAAAATCTCCCTCCGCCACGCCCCGACCCGACATCTGGATACCTGGTTGGAAGCTTCACAGTCGACCAGGCCGGGGTTGGCGAAGAAAAAAGACCAAGAGGAAGACTCCTTGCCTCTCGTCCGGTCTCCTGCGATTTACCAGCTATACAGACTGCTTTCAATGAAGCTGTGACATGGGCAGCGGCAAGGTCCACCAGGAGCCCATCGTGCTCGTGGTCGATTTCCACCATGCAAGGTGAGCCCGCGCCCGCCTACCTTTCCCCATTCCTCTACCGCTGGATACATGCTATACCAGCGCACTAAGAAGAGGCTATGCTAACTGCTTTTGCTCCGTATAGAGGCCCCGAGGTCGAGTTCTGGTTCTGCGACGATGGCGTCGACCCCGTGAAGAAGAATGACTGGGCATTGCTGCCGTTCATGGCGCTGTCGGACGGAGCTCATGCGTATGGAACACCTTCGCCCGTTGCCGTAGCTCGCTAGCTAGTGAGACAAGCAGCTGAATAAAGAGAGGGAAGAGGCTTGGGAAGCGGGAAGCGGGAAGCTGACTCGGGACGCATTTCATTAGGTCTACGGAAGACTTCTCCTACTTCACGCTGCAGTGCAAGGAGACCGAGAGTTCCCCGGCTACCTCTCTGTTCGGCATATCTTGCACCACCCAGCTCGACTCGGACAAGCTGATCAATCGCCCGGCGGAGGTGACGCGGTCGACGGTGCAGAAGGCGGTGGTGGCTATCATAAACGAGCCTAGACATCTGGGCCAGCTGAGAGAGAAGTTGTCGATAGTCACCTCCGCATGGTTTGCTCAACGGTACGCTTCTTTTCCTCGAATACGGAGTAATGAGGCTAAGATGATCACTGACCCCGGTTATCATATATAGGGACTTTACCGATACGGATATCCTCCAGGTATGCGGGACATCGTGACGTCAGATTGTTTCAATATGCTAATCCTGTGGGTAGAAATTCTGGGAAGGATTGAAGATCAGTTTGAAAAACGAAGATTTGCACAAAGACGAGCATTTCGGCCTTTCTTTACGAGAGATGATACATGAATTCAAGCACCAGACTTTAGTTTTGTTTAAGTGTCTATTATTACAGCCAAAGGTAAGCTATTCATCCATCACCTTTGACTATATATCTATCAAATACGAGCGTTACAACTAACTTCTTTCAAGATGCTATTTTTTGGTTCCAGATGCGAGCGTTTATGCATGATACAGTTCTCATTAATTTCATTGATACCCGGCCTTATACATAATCTTCAGGACTGCGCTGATCCTGCCTATGACTCCTATGCGCAGACGGTTGAGAAACCGAGCTCGCTTAAAACTAGCGAGAGAAGTTCACGTAAGGCTGTCCATTTCTTGGATTTATATTGAAAACGGGGAGTATCTAATATGGATTTCTGTCAGTCCTTGCATATATGGGGCTCCCGCTTCAGATATTCGGCAAGGGGAGCATGTTTGGACCGTATACGCCGCTTCAACAGCTGGATCTTCTCGCCGACTACGGAACAAAATCGTACCTTGTTGGCTCGACCAACTCGCTGCTCTTGCAGCAAAAGGATCGATACAGCGATATACTAATAAACGTAATTGATTTCCAAGATTGCCTTAATCCGCCACATTACTCCGTACTGACTTATAGTTTATATAGCTTGACGAGGATACGGTGAACATATCGTCTCCATCGCTGCGGGCGGCCCTAGCCCTTTCGGCTGCTGATCGCCGATGGATCGATTTCCTCACCCAGACAATAAACGATACCTGGGATGAAGCACATCCTGCACAGCCAAAGACCCACGGATACATGGGATCTGAAGAGTTCATCCGTCTCCAGTTTGAAGAATACCTTCTGGCTCTGATTTCATGCGTAAAATACCACGATGAGATAAATTCAGGAGGCGCAATTAAACAGCCTGCCAATGACATCGAGGGCGATCCTGCGCTGGATTTTAACCTCGACTTCATCGAACACTGGCGCCATACCCCTAACTTCGCGCTCTTTGACAAACTCACTTCTGACGCCCTGCTCTTCTCCGTCGTCGAGCCACGCCACCCGTGTGCGGGCGGGCTCGGGATTGAGGATATCCAACGGCGGCTGGCACAGCAAGTTGCAGATCTACACCTCGACGAACGAGTGCGCGAAGGTCGCGAAACACTCAACAAACATCTTGCCACGGGTCATCAGAAGGTCACCACGGCCTTCAACTCTCTCTGGGCGGAGCTCGAAGCAAGACGCGAGGCTCAAAGGAAACGCAACGAAGAAAGGGCAAAGCAAGCAGCAGCAGCATCCATCACTGCGGCGCTGGATACAAGCCAAGCCAACAACAATAATGACAGCAGCAAGCAAGAAGCGGGCCCTGCTTCTCCGCCCCCAGCTTCACCCACCCCATCGACATCCGGGTGGTCCTTTGCTGCGCGAAAAGCTCCCGCTGTGGACCTGACGCAGGCCCAAGCCACTGTTTCCGCGGCTGGCCAGCGAGCTTCCGCATACTTTAGTTCGTGGGGATCGTGGGCGAACGAGCGTCGCAAGGAGTGGCAGACAAAGAACACGAGTACGGGCGCAAGTCCCGTTTCATCTCCGACAGCCACCGGAACGCCCAGAGCGTCGATGACGAGTACCTATCACGAGAGACGATCGATGGAGAGCTCGACGAAAGGTCCTGTTATGACTGAGATGAAGGAGATGCAAGCCAAGGAAGACGTTGATCGGCCGGGGTCTTCGAGACCCCAGAGCAGCGACCAATCAACGGAGAAGGACCATATAGATGCTGTGTTGGAGAGTGATCCTCTATCTTCGTCTTCTCATGGAGCAGGCAAGGCTCCTACGACCTCATCCTCAGGATAAAAATTCATACATATATTTGTTGATTTGAATTGGATATATTTCTTCCTTAGCTTCTGGCAAGGCACATATATTGGATAGGTAGTTTGTTTGAAATTAGCGTTCTACAATGCATTACCTTATTGAATAAAAGACCTTTTTGCTTCTCTACAAACAAATACCTACAGCCATGAGATGTTAGATCAGCAACATAGAAGGGAGGTTTGTTTATTTTTGTACTCTAGAGCACGTATAGCTGATTCAGAAGTAACCTAGTGTGAATGTGAAATGGCAGGCTGCTCACTGAGTGCAGCAAGTTAGGCAGATCAGTTGTAGGAATGAGAGGAAGAAGGAGAAGAAGGGGAAGGAGAGGAAGATAAGGAAGATGAAGGGGAGAGTCAAAAGGGCAACTAGCAAGAGAGAGAGTGAGGGTAAAACATATGTCTGCGTATGTAGTGGCTGCGCAGTAACAAAACAGTCTATTGGTGTACTCCCTCTTCCAACCCACTCCCCCCTTTATTATAATTCCGCGCGCTGCCAAAATAGCAATAACAGAAAACCACCTGTACGTATGATACAAGGAGGGGAGGGGGGAAGGGGGGAGAGGGAGTGTAGACCAGAGTATGTTGCGCATAGGAAGGATATTTAAGTCATTGGATCATATACCGTGAGGGCGAATTTTGTGGTTTGTGGTTGGTTGGTCAGTCGTTAAATTACGCGATGTACGATATTTCATCGCCATCCAGACGCTCGATATATTCTTTCTCCATCAAGCCTTCGATATTCTTCTTTATATCGGATATTTTGGGTGGGAACCGAGCGCTGACCTGCTGGATGACTTCTTGAACAAGCTGGACGTGCTTCATGCGCTTGCGGGACTTCATGATACGCACAATGGCAGACTGCAAAAAAGAAGTTAAAAAGGTGAAAATAGAACAAAAGGGATTGTAAATAGTATTCTTACCTGAAGAACCAATTTTCTGTCCTCCTCGACGGTCTTGTGTGTGTCCTCTGCCTCATGCTTCTGTTCAGACTTGACTTGAATGTTCAAGTTAACCTTAATCTTCTTTGCTTTAAAATGGTAGTTTAGTGCGTAGGAAGTTCCTGGACCAGGCTTTGCGTTCTCTGGAGAAGGAATGAGAACCTTTGCCTTGACGAAGATGCCAAGATTGGGGTCTAGAACATCGGGGGAGAGGGCAGTGGCCTTTTCGATCTCGGAGTATTCAAAGACATCGCTGTCATTGTAGAGTAGAAGAATGCCCATTTGGTAGGTCGACACCTGGAAAGTGTATGGGACTTTGGTGTTCTTGACATAGTTTGCTTTGATTTCGCCCTTGCACAGCTGCCAGAGCCAGGTCAGCTTACGACCGCTGTGCTTGTCAAAGTAGAACGACTTGAAGCGCTCGACTGTCTTGTTGATGACCTGAGGAGGGATAAACTGTGTTGAAGGGGGGTTAAGGGGCCAGAAGCCAGTACCAAGGATCTGGAAGTGAGGGTCGACCATTTTCTTGCGGTCTTCTTCGTCGAAGGTTCTCTCCTGCCACTCGCGGTAGTTGGTGTTTAGATCCTTTGAGATCTGGATATCCTGGAACATTCGCTGGAGTTTGTTGGTGTACTCGAACCCACAGGCTTCCTTCAATTTGCTAATCATGCTAGTTTCAGCATCATCAGAGACAGAGCTGACATGGACGAGTCGTTTGGCGAGCATTCGAGAGTAGAACTTCTGGAAGACATCCTTGTCTTCGATGTATTTGAAGACGGTCATAATCTGGACGAGAAGCTCCTCGAGCTCCGACTCTTCGGATGACTTGGAGCCCTTCTTGAGAAGGGAATCGGTGTATCTCGCCAGCAGCTCAGGGGATTTGGTTGAGCTGGTAGTGCAGAGGGCATTGCGGTTGACGAATTCGCGGCAAGCATTGTCTAAAGACCGAACAAACTCTGTCTCGCCAGCAAATGCTTCATCCACCATGGATCGGTACTTGCCATGTACCTGGAGCAGAGAGTCGACATAAACTTTCGGGTCAACGCCTTCACTCCCAGCGGAGGCTACCTTAGCGATTGCCGACAGGCCAGCCTTTCGGACGTGGGTCTCAAATCTGTTCCTCAGTGGGTCCAAGCCGTCCTTTATTTTTGACAGCAGTCGGTACATTCTGGCAAGGTCATCTTGTCGTTCAGCATCCAAGAGGGGTTGGAACTCGTCCCGTATAAGGTTGCAATGCGAGGTAACTAGAACATCCAAACATGTTTCTGTTAAATTCTTGGTAACGTCTGGGTGGAGGTATAGGTCGATGCGAGCACGTTCTTCCTCTAGGCGAAGCTCTGCCTTCTTCATGTATTCGACAACGCTGTTTTCGGCCACGAAGCGCTTTGACTCCCTGTCATAGTAGACTCTGGTGGCCTCGATGAATGGCTTCTCAAAGTAGTACTGGTAGACAACGAGAGTCGACTTGGAAGTATCGCTCTCGTCCAGGCCAAGGGAGACGAATGAGTTGACGATGTGCTTTATCTGGGACTGTTCGATGGTCTCGCCGTTACGCTGCTTCTCGATGAGGCCCAGCACAGCGCTCATGACATTTTCGTGGACGAGTCTGAAGAAGTCCTCCTTCCACCTAACGAGGTGTAGGGTGTACACATCGTAAATGTCCTTTTTGCCCTCATCGACTTCTCGTTTCACCCAGTGACGATTTAGATATCTAAAAAGATGGTTAATATATTTGGCGGCTGTAGTGTATCGAGTCCATTCTCTAATGTAAAATGAAAGGAGGGGTTCGTCAGTGTGGCTAAGGGAGGCTTCGTAAACACCTCCAAGATGACGGGAGAGATAGTGTCCAAGAAGGTTGTAAAGCTCTTCACCTAGCAGATGTGCTGTAACTATATTGTCAGCTAAGCTTCATTTGGTTTCAGGCTGACAGCTGACAGCTCACCTCCTCGCGTGTTATGGGCGGACGTATTGTGGCTTGTGAATGCCTTTTGTGAAGTACAGAAGTTGTGGACGGCACTGTTGATAGTGATTAGTTACCCTGTCTCTCTGGCTGGCTATCGAAAGTGAAATAAGGGGAGAACCAACGTGTAAACACCCATGTACTGGAAACGAGGTTAGCTATATTAGTTGCCAGCATGTAATATAACAGAGGAACACAATCTGTCCCGCTCACAAAAAAACATTGAGGAAGTCTTACAGAAGCCATATCAATACCACTGTTCAGATCAGTCATCACCCTCTCGATTCCCTGCTCGAGAAAGGTCCATCTATAGGCGAGACGTAGTCAGCTCACGCGTTCACCGCAATACTGCGGAGGGGGGAAGCTCAAAAAAAAACCCACGTTTCGTCCAGGTCATCTCGATGGGGCGTCGTGAATTTGGGTGGAGGCATATCTGTTGACGCTGTCGGGGGATCTGAGAGACAGAGACAGTGTAGAACAAGGGCAGACAGAGGGAGTCACTCGAGGAGCAGCTGGGGGTCTCTCAGGGGAGAGAGAGGGCACGCAGCAGAGCGTTGGTTGTCACAGAGTAAAGTCACAGCCGCCGCAGAAAATCTGTCACAGAACGAGACAGGCAGCTTGTCGACCGCGGTCTCTGCTTCTCAAGAGCGCCAGGCAGGGTCTCGGCAAGAACTAAAGCGCTTCTGACGGACCGAGACGGCGTGTGCGGGTGTGCCAGAAGTTCGTTGCGTGTTCGACGTCGGCGATGAAGACGAAGAAGACGAAGAAAGCGGAAAGGCGAAGGACAGGCTGCCGCTTACATAAGCCAAGTTTGGGGGCGGCGGCTTATCGATAAGAAGATGACGTCGCGTTTTTCTTTTTGATACTTAAAACTGGAGAAAGGCGAGGATGGCGAGGAGAGAGGATGGCAACAAGTTGAAGAGTATCTACGGTGCAGTTGATATAACTAATCTATATATACCTTGAGAGCTGAGACGACGATGGTCCGGCCGCTAGAGGAGCTGCAGGTCACGGAGCGCCTGATCCCGGCCTGGGGGAACTTCCCCAACACCTCGATCCAGGAGAAGCCGCTGCTCATCTACCAGTCTGTCTTCGACTCTGCCTCGCCCGACGCCGTCAGAGAGCATCTGGAGGCCGTTGGCGCCGTCGTCCCGCAGTGGACGTACTCGATGTACCCTGCAAACCACTTCCACTCGAGCACGCACGAAGTGCTCAGCGTGGTGGCCGGACAGGCGAGGCTCTGCTTCGGCCACGAGGAGAACCCAGACAGATTCGAGACGACCGTGTCGAAGGGAGACGTTATCGTGGTGCCGGCTGGAGTGACCCACTGCTTGCTCGCAGACACACAAGGTGACTTTGCGATGATAGGAGCGTATCCGCCTGGGAAACAGTGGGATCTGTGCTATGGGGAGGAGGAGGTTGACAAGCAGGCGTCGGCGATACGGTCTGTTGGCTGGTTCGATCGAGACCCCATATACGGCGACTCGGGCCCTGTCTTTGCTGTTTAAACAAAACAGAAAAGAAAAAAAAAAAAAAGAAAAAGAAAAGAAAATTGCGGACGAGAAGGATGTAACAAAAATGGCTAAAATGTATACTATGATTTTATGTAGTCAAGAAAAAGCAGAACTGATGGATGCATCCAAAAAGGAATATCCAAATGCAAGGTGACTGGACAAAAAAGGGGGCGAGGGGGGGAATAATTATCGACACCGGGTCCAGTAAAACAGTCTTCCCAACCCGTTGTAACAAGATGAAGCAAGCAATAACAAACAAAACAAAACAGATATTCCAACGATAGATGCAAAAAAAGAAAAAGGGGGGAACAATGGGGTTGTCTAGAAGTAGAGCGACGGAGTTATGTATAGGTGGTTGAAAGAAAACATGTGGCAACATGCAGCGTAATGATGCTAGGTAGCAGTAACAAAGGGAGGTAATTGTATGGTAATAGTGAGAGTAAAAAGGTCCTACTTGGCTGCAACTCGCTCGATGACTCTGGAATAGGGACGTTAGCAGCGGCAGAGATGATTTGAGAAGGGAGAAAACATACCGTAGAGCACTGATCATGAAGGTCATGAGCCAGGCAACCAGTACAACCAACAAGACGGCAGCCAATACCTTTTGTCTATCACAGATCTTGTCGTTCCTGGGGTTGATGGTGAGATCTATATCTCCACTGGAGCATGAACCATTCACATCGGACAGAGAAGCAAACGCTAGGCTGAGATTCGCCGATGCAAAGACAATAAACACCAGGTCGAGGAAGATCAGCCGTATCTTTGCGCTGGCTGACCGCAGTCCAAGCGGTTTGCCCGTGTACTCATCATACGTGATATAGACTAGGTAAACAAGTGCAATTGCATCGAATATAATGGCCATGAGCGGAGACGGACCTTGGGGTCGGCTATGTGTCGTCGAGAGATGTCGAATTGATCCACCCAGCGAGAGGGCAATGGCCGAGAAGATGAAGACGGTAAGACGGATGATCAGAGGCACCATGGGACTGTGCAGGATCTTGTACTGGACCCTTTTCATCCATATCTTCCGCCGCTGGATGAAGGTAGCCGAGTGCCGGGCGCTCTCATCCGCCTTCTCGTCGATGTATCCCTGCCATGGATCCGAGTAGTCGCCAAAATTCCGGTTGAGCCAGTCTGCGTCGACTATCTTGCTCTGCTGGTGCGTCGGCTCTCGGACCTGCGGTACAGACCGAGTGAACGTCTTCCATCTGGATTCTTGCGTATAGTGTGTGTATGATCGGGCTCTTTCCGAGAGCTCTCCTTCTCCTTGCTCGATATCTTTCTCTCTCCGGGACTCTCTATCGAATGCAAAGTCCTTCGCCTTGGGTGAGTAGTGGTGGCTGGCAACATGGGCGTCTCCTGGCGGCACCGGGAATGACTGTGACTGTGATTGTGACTGTGACTGTGACTGCGGCTGCAACTGTGACTGCGCCTGCGACTGCGACTGCGATGGTGGTTTCGACGGCGTCTCCTCGTCCTCTGCGTGTTTAACCCAAGCTACACAACTGCAGTCAGCATTGGCCGTCCTCAATTGCTCGTTACAATAATAACGATAGGTTCCTGGATCTCCAACCTACCTGGCACCGACCGGACAGCCAGCTTCCCCGAGCCCTGCGTCCGCGGTATCGATCCCTGGCTGTGCGGCGAGTAGCTCTTGGAGGACTGGCCGTGTCTCGAGCCGCCTATACGCTGGTATACCGACCTCTGCTCGTCCGACTGGCTTGCCCCGGAGACCGACTGCGCGGATCTGCGTCTCGACAGCGGCGGCTCCAGCAGCTTCAGGTCTGCTTTCCGCCTCGGAGAGCCTCCCCGCGACGTCGACCGAAGCGAGCGCGCCGCCGTCTCCCCCGGTGCTGCCATGTAAAGGCCCTGCTGCTCCTCCTCGCGGTGTTCCCTTGGGAAAAGGGGTCTCTCTCTCTCTCTCGGAAGTCCTGCTAAGCCCGCTGCCGGATCTTGCCAGCGCGGCGCATGGTTCCGCTTGACGTCCGGGCAGCGAGGGATGGGGAGAACGAGCGACGGTCTGCAGGGACGGGCGACCTGGATGGCTATCTACCTCTCGACCGGCCGGGTTCCTGCTGCTGGCTGGCTGGCTGTCTGGCTCTCTGGCTCTGCTTGCTGGTGCTGCTGCTGGGCGGCGCTGCGAGGGACGAGCGAAGGATGTTTTCTTGTTTCTTCTTCCTCTCGCCAAGGGGCTAAGCCGGGGAAAAGGGCTGGCAACTCGTGAACTAACTAATTGATTATGGAGGCGAAAAGACGAACAAGCGACGAAGGCCGCCGGCGACGACGAGAGTGACGATTCAAAGGACCGTTGACGCCGCAGCTATTCGTCTGATCCCGCTGGCAGTCGACCCGCCAGGCGCAGCAGAGGTCACCGGTGGCGGCTGAAGATGCGCTCGAAGCTAGTTCGCCCTCCAAGTCGCCCTGCCTGCAAAACCGATATAACTACTATATAACCAGAAAAAAGCCTGCGCAGGACGACGGCAGAGAGACAGCGACGAGTCCCACGATGCGTCTCTTCCTGATCCCGATCTCGACGGGCCGCACGCTCATCTACTGCAAGAAGCTCGACGCTGCGGTGCCGGCCAAGCAGCTCAGCTACCTCGACCGCGTGACGAACAAGGTGACGGCGACCTGGGCCAAGTGGGAGGCGGCAGAGAAGGGCTGGCAGAAGACGCTGGTCACCTACGGCCACCGGGCGCTGCAGCGGATCCCCTACGAGGAATGGGGGCTCAAGAGTGTGCCGCCGCTGAGCTCGCGGCGGGAGACGGCAGAGCGGCAGGCACGCAAGCCCGTCGAGCTGCTGTACCCCAAGAATGCGATCAGGTCGAGCAGGGTGATGGGCCTGCTGCAGCAGCTGGCCACGGAGAGACAGCAGCTGCACCGCAAGCGCATGTGGTGGAGCATCGTCGTTGCGCCCTTGACGGCTCCGTTTGCGCTGGTACCGGTGTATGGGCCACCATCTTATATAACTGCACTGCGTACTTGCTGGATTGATACGGGACGGCTGTGCTGACTGACTGTCTCTCTAGGATACCTAATATACCCTTTTTCTTCTTCTGCTACCGCGGCTGGTCGCACTGGAGAGGTTAGTTGCTGGCCTGGCTACTACATTGTTTATCTACATATCACGTACTAACCAGTTGATACAGCATTGGGAGGGTCCAAACACCTGGAATTCTTGCTAAAAGAGAACCTGATCCGGCCGAGATCACTGACGGACCTGGAGAACGTCTATCTACGGCACTACCCGCGCAAGGACGGGGTGGAAGATACGGCAGCTGACGAGAAGATTGCGCCGGACTGTGATGACGGCAACTGTGGAGAGGAGGTGATGCTGCTCAAGGACACCGACGGCAAGGCCCTGGCCAAGATGCTGGATGCCCCCGAGCTCGTTGCTGAGGTCGAGCGAGCCGTCCATCAGGTCCAACAGCAGCTTGACCAGAAGAAACAGCCCTGAAAATAAAAAACTCCCTGACATCTACTTTCTGCTTCTTTCCCATCAACCCCCCTGTTTATTCGCATATAAACGCCCCTTTTGCCATGTATATTACTGTGTTTACGCCCCGTATAGACCTAGTCAGACGCATCACGAGTCCATGCACCCTGGATAATCTAATGATCTCTTCTTCTTTCCCTCTTCTTTATCCTAATATCAATATCAAATATCAGATCCCTCAACCTACCAAGGTCCGCTTCTTCTACTGCAGGATTTAATATGTTCCGCTGACTAAGCCGAAGCTCTGCCATCGACGATAAGCAACGACGAAGCGACGACGAAGACGCAGCAGACAAACAAGCGGAGAAGACGAAGAAGAAGACGAAGAAGAAGAAGAAGAGAAGATAGAAGCGCAATCAGAGGCTGAGCGGAGGCTGCGTATGCTACTGCACCATGGGCGAGAAGAAGATAGAGCAGTGGGAGGTCGAGCGGTACTGGGAGATCTTCTCGTCGCTATCTAATGGCCAGCCACGACTCAACAACGCGCAAGCGGCCACCGTCCTGCGCAACAGCCGACTGCGAGATGACCAGCTGGAGCGGGTGTGGGATCTGGCAGATGTCGACGGAGACGGGGAGCTGGACTTTGAGGAGTTCTGCGTGGCCATGAGGCTGATCTTCGACCTTGTCAATGGGGTGCGTTTAACTCGGGGGTTCTACTTTGCGGAGATATATATACATATATACATATACTGACAGGCTGATGATATAGGAATATAACGATGTACCGCCTGCTCTACCGGACTGGCTGGTTCCAGAGTCAAAGGCACATCTCGTCCAGGCCAGTAGGGCGCTGACCGGCTCACAACCGCAATTCGAGAGAGTAGAGGACGAGGACGATACCCCTGGCCTCAAGGACGGCTTCGACTGGTACATGGCACCTCAGGACAAGGCCAAGTACGAGGAGATATACTCTGCCAACAAGAACCATCGGGGAGAGATAGCATGTACGTGTTTCTCCCTTTAGCCATGTGCTTATTAAATAATTACAAGGGGGACTGTGCTAACTGAGTTGTCCAGTCTCCTCATTACAAGATCTATACGACTCCCTCTCAGTACCAGACACAGACATCCGCTCGGCATGGAACCTAGTCAACCCATCCGCCTCCTCCACCATCTCCAAAGACGCAGCCCTCGCCTTCCTCCACATCCTAAATAACAGACACGAGGGCTACCGTATCCCCCGCAACGTCCCCGCCTCCCTCCGCGCCTCCTTCGAATCCAATAAGATAGACTATCAGCTCGACAATGTCCGCACAGCCAAGAAATGGGGTGTCTCCAGCAACGACGACACAAGTACAGGCCGCAAAGCCAAGTTCGGTGATGCATATCTAAGCCGGCTAGGCGTGGGAGGCAAATCAAGCTACCAGCCTCAGGGAACAGATTTCAGTAATACCATACAAGACGAAGAATGGGAGAAAGTCCGTCTACGGCGAGAATTGGCGGAGCTAGATAAAAAGCTGGAAGCAGCCAATGCGGCTGTCGAGGCAAGAAAGAACGGCACCAGAGCGCGGACTGACGGACCGAACTGGGCGCTGATCAAGAAGGAAGCTCTGCAGATGCTCGAGTATAAAGAGTGTGAGCTGCGGGAGCTCAGAGAAGGAACTGGACGGGTTAGCGAGGGCGAGAGCCTTGAGCGCATCCGGGCTGATGTCAAGGCCGTTGAGGAGCAGGTTGAAGGCCTCAAGGCCCATCTAGCGAAGCGTAATGAAGTCTTGTCGGACCTGCGTGATCAAGTGCAAGAGGCCAAACATTCTCGATAGCGGCTATCGGCTGGCTTATTTTTGATATAGTATATAACTCCATTTCCCCCCACATCACCCTTTTCTAACGCCTTGCAGACGGTGTATTATGCCTATATCCTTTGTTGGATTTATATCTCTCTAATGATATCTTATTATATTACACGGTAGCTTCTGCAAGTTCTAGATAGCTTCTACGGTTTTTTTTTGGTCCATACCAAAAAGAAAAGGGTACCCCAGTCAGCCAGCAGCTTTCTTTCTTATTTACTGGTGATGTCCGCCATGATCTCGTCTGCATCCGTATTCGCCTTGACAGCAGCAAACGCACGCCCGCTCTCGTTCATCCGTTGGTCCGAGTACGCCTCGTCGCTACGGTCTGTTAATATCTCTAGATCTTTCTCTGAAAGTAGAGCCTCAGATGTGGTTTCGGCGCCGATGTCAAACACTTCAATGTCTTCGTCTCCGAATATCTTCTTTAGCTCATCCACCTGACGCTGAGGGTTGGAAGAACTCGTAGAATCAAGCAGGCTTTTAAATTTTCCCTTTTGAATGACTAGTTTCTCCAGCCGGCGTTTGGAACCAGCTCGCTCAAGAAGAGTCTGTTCAATGGTTCCCCTGGTAGCTAGCCGGTAGACAATCACTGGCTTCGTCTGGCCGATTCTGTGAGCTCGGTCCTGGGCCTGGAGATCCTGTTGCGGGTTCCAGTCAGAATCGAACAGAATAACGGTGTCAGCGGCAGTGAGGTTGATGCCTTGCCCCCCTGCTCGGGTGCTTAGCAGAAATATTCTGTAGTCGGGATCGTTGTTAAACGAATTTATCTGTTCCTGTCGATCAGCTTGTGCAATTGCACCGTCGATTCGACAGCAGTTCCAGGATCGGAGCTGTGTAGCCCAGTCCTCAAGGATATCAAGTTGACCTTTAAATTGAGAGAAGATTAGGATTTTGTGTCCCTTGGATATAAGACAGGGCACAAGACGATCTAGAAGAAGCATCTTGCCAGAAGATGTGATGAGTGTTGAGTCCACCCCTGAGTCTTCTCCCCATGGCCAGTAGAAGTTGAGCGGGGAATTGCACACCAGTCGGGCCTGCATGACCGGATTCTGGAGCTTTTTAGAGGATATCTCTTTTTCTATAGTGGATAAGTTAGAGCGAACCATTATTCTCAAATCAAAGTAGCAGGTATACGTACTGGCTAGCTTCATGGTTTTTGCTCTCTCGATTTCATCCATCTCCCCCTCACTAAGCTCGCTCTCCTCAGGGGCTTCCTCCTGTATACCCTTCTCTAGCCTAGCTAGCTTACTATTGAAATCTCTATCAGACTCTTCCTTGTAGTTTTTGGATCTGCCTCGACGCCGAGCCCTAGTCGGTGTAGAGTCACGGCTAGATTTTGCACTCTTGTTGGGCGTGCTTAGCTCACTGCCGCTTGCGCCTCTCTTCAAGCTGCGCGTTCTTGATTGTTTCGCTGAGCCGTTCCTAGCTTCTATTCGCTCAGCGGCCTTCTCTTCCAGGTACTGACGGCTCGTTCCGTTCACTATCTGGACATATAGCTCCTTCTGCTCCGGTGTCAGTGGCGCGTACAAGATATATTCCCTTTTCTTCGGGAGTGATGATTCAACATCCGTCTTTACTCGCCGTAGCAAGAATGGCTTGAGAATGGCATGCATTGTAGACACAAGATTGCGTCTCCGTCTCTCGTTGACTGCATTCTGATCAGAATCATCAAGAACAGATGAAAAATCAAACCAGCTTTGGAAGTTATCCAAATCATTGAATATCTCGGGTAGCAGAAAATGAAGCAGTGACCATAGCTCAGCAATATTGTTCTGCAGAGGTGTTCCAGTTATGAGCAGTCGATTTGCAGATGGGTATGTCAGGAGCTCTTTGATCAACTTGCAGTTCATATTCTTCAGACGGTGACCCTCATCCTATATAAAATTCATTTTTAGTGTCCCATTTTGAAACCTTGGGTAAAAGGTCTATACCTACCACAATGATGTACTTCCATTGGTAGTTAGCAAGGAACTTTCGATCATTCATGCAGATTTCATACGAGGTACAGACAACTGGGAAATCCGGCGCTCTCTGGTCCTGGTTTTTCATCTGTTTTCGTCGAATCTCGCTACGTTGTTCTTTGGTTCCATGGTAAAGAACTGTATTGATAGATGGGGTCCAACGAGCAAACTCATTAACCCAATTGCTGACTGTGCTCAGTGGCGCAGCAATCAAAAACGGCCCGGGGATATTATGTTCTTTAAAGAACGCTATTAAGGAGATGGCTTGCACCGTCTTTCCGAGACCCATCTCGTCCGCCAAGATACCACAAAGTCCATTCATCCAAAGAGACTTCATCCACTCCAGCCCTTCAAGTTGATACTTTCTCATCTTCCCTCCTGTGATTAAGGAGGGTTGCTGGGTTGCAGTTAGATCTTCCTGCTCACCTAAAGCAGAGGGCTTTGCTTCAAATTCGTCAGCAGCTTGTGCCAAAGCCTCTTGTACAGTTGGTTTGTCCTCTGCTACTTCGACTTTGGCTTGCTTGAAGTAGCTCGTGATATCACCTTTGGAGGCTTTTGTAGCTTTCCCAGATGTTCCTCGCGTAGGTAGCTTCATGGAACTAGATTTTTTCTCTTGGGTATTCTGGGATCCTTTACTTGAATCAGCTGGAGCTTTTTTCTCGCTTGCTCTTGTGGACCGTTTGTTCGTGGATGCAGTTACTGCTTGTTGCTTCTCGGCTAGATTTTTCTCCTTGGTAGCTTGTCTCTTTGCCTGTTCTTGTTGCTTTTTCTGTTGCTCCTTCATTTTATCAGCCATAATAGCTACAAACACCTATACGCTGATATTAGTATCGCATCCTTGTTCAAAGAGTAAGTATGGCTGAAGTACCGAGCTAGTCTGGAGAAGCTTTGTCAAAGCTTTGGCTTTCATACCCAAGCCCTCCATATCATCATCTTCCTCCTCCTCACTTTTCTTGTCTATATCCACCTCCATGATGTTCTCCTTGTTTTCTTCCTGCTTAAACGTAGCCATGACTGTAACGCACTAATATCACCGGGAGAACTAGTGGCAACTCGGTGTATGGCAGCTTTAGAAAAAGATAATTGAGTCTAGATGGAAGTATATGGTCTATATATGCCCCTTTAATGAAATTAGTAACTAATTGTCCATAACCTTTTTGTTCGAATGTCTTACCTTGCACCGCGCCGTTTCGTCTTGAGGAACAAAGAGCAATGAGAGGTTTAGGAGAAAGGTCAAAGTGAGAAGATTTAAGAGTGGCTGTTGAATAGTTACCACTATCAACACTTGGTAAGCGTCTATTTATCTAAGGACCAGAGGTGCCTGTCGCATCCTAGCTGTTGCAGCCTGTTGGCTCTGAGGCCCTCCAACGCGTAGAAAAACCAATTTAAGAGAGGGCGCGCTCGCGTCATGATTACGTTATCGCCAAGATGACAAGTTGAGCCTCATTAACATCATGTGATATGCGGCTCAGGAAAAGTCAAAATAAGTTCAACGAAAGTAAAAAGGGACGACATCCAAACGAACTATCCTTCCGGCTTCCACGCCTTTTCTTGCTATCAGTGACTAACTAGCATTTCAAAAGAGAAAACTGAGCTCACAATACTACATATTAGAGGGGAGATCGATGTGTATCATCAAAATGCCGAAGTTCCCAATTCCAACCCACGTCCCGATGATGCCCCCTCCCAAGTGAGCACTGCCAATGCAAATCAACAAGATCAATGACCCCCACCCAAAATACGAATTAATGATTTCATCCACCCATTTTTTTTCCATATATTTCATTAGTTTCCAAGTCGTTTCTTCGTCACTGATGCTGCTGCTCGAGCTCTTGTTTCCTTCGTGGTAGCAGGCTTGTTCAATCTTGAGCTGCGCCGTCTATCCGTCGGAGCCAGTTTAGCCTTTTTCTTAGCTGGCTTGCTTTTACCCGGGAATTCATTCTCTTTACCAGTTCCATTTGTGTCCGGTGGTGAATGGATAGGTAAATGAGAGTTACACTCATTCTTCTTCATTGATTCGATGGGCGGAATATCGCAACAGACCGCAAAGGTGGTGGCAATAGAAATATTGCTAGAAGTCTCAGCCTTGGAAGCAGTGTTTTCCATTGGCTCTGGGAATTTCATCTCCAGAAGTGGATCTTCGCCCGCTGTTTGGATGCTTGTGTGTGAAAATTCTACTGAACTTGGTCGAGACGATTTAGCCTCAGTTGGGAGTGAGGCTGGCGTGCCTACTGGCCCAGTATTAGATGACACCCCATCGTCTAGAATAGAACTCGTCGCTCCATGTTGACCATCCTCAATGGCGCTTTCTTGGAGAGTTCGAACTTTCCTAAGGTTGTTATCTTGGGTTTGTCCACCCCCGGCAGCCTGAACCTGGGCAACGGGAAATGTTCCCATGACAGGTGATATTGGTGAGTATGGTGGTCCGTGCTCGGAATTGTCTGAAGAGGCTGAGGTCATTCTAGTTGGTACATTATCTCCAGGCATGTTGATGAGTAGGCTTTTGAAATTTTTATTGGGTAGCACATGTCTCTGTGGTACTGGTGAAGAATATCCCGGTGGAGGTGTCTGAGCGATTGTGTCATCACTGTAAGGCATAGGAGTGGCCTGGCGGTTATTCAGCGGGGTTGAGTTTCGGATCGGTAGGTTAACCTGTGGCACTGGGGGTAATCTACCAATCGGGCGAGCAAAAGATTGGCGCTGTATCTCAGTTTCAGCTCTAGCCGCATACAGCCTTTCATGGAGCGTCTGGGATGATGTGATTCCCGCCCGAGATATGACTTGTCCCGAATTATACCACCATGGACCACTTAAGACCCTCTGCAGTGGAAGGTCGTCCTCATCTACAAAAGAACCAGGTGTGATAGCCGTCTCTGAATGTGGGCGTTTTCTTGAATCTGTTGTCTGAGACATCCACAATGAAGAACTCGGCGGGTGGTTGGTCGTGGAGGCTAAGGGTATTGGAGGGCTTGATGGTAGGTTTTGGGACGACTGTGGCGACAAGGAAGATGTGGTATGCATGACATTGCGTATCTGTGCAGCACCCTCAGGCCCAATATTTAATCGGACCATTGAGCTTGCTGGATTGATGTTCATAGGTCGGTTCGGTGTTTTCCTATCCGGCTTTTTAGCGGATTTTCTGCGGCTAAGGATCTGTTGAGCAGCATTCAGGGGAGTCGAATGCATCGGTTCATTCAGTTCCTCGCGCACTGGTACTCTGAGTGTACCCGCTCCCGGGTTTCCAACACGGTTGACGAAACAACGATCCTGGCCATTAGCGCTATTAGCACCAACATTGTGCGGCTGAAGTGAAGGTGAGGAAGAGCCTAACTGGATAGAAGGAGTGCTGCTAGACTGTTCAGTCTCCTCTGGACTAAGAATCCATTTGAACTCGTCCTCACCATTCTCTTCATGCGCCTGGTTAATGGTGGCAAGGTCGTTTTTCCATTCTCCAGCATACTTTGTGTCAATCCCCAATCTCCGCAGAAACCTCCGAGCAGCCAGAAGATCGCTAGCTTTGATCATGAAATGATCAACGGTTGCTCTGTTTTTAGCTTCCCGGAAGTACTGCTTTGAAATGTTTCGAAAGACCAGCTGGCCCGGAACTCTAGACTTCCTCAGAACACTGTTGTCTATTCGAAGGAGCGCTCTCAACTGCTTGACTTGCATTTCATGCAACTGCTGGGCTTCGTCCTCCACCTGCTTCTGGCGACGGGCTGGGCTCTGAATGGCTTCCTCTTGCTGCTGCGGTGTCAGCTCTAACATGTACACCACGCGCGGCCAAGTATAGACTTGAGTCAAATTCTGGATTATTTCCATTTGAATAGCGGGATTAAGGTCTTTCCATTCGACGTGTGTGGGCGCGTGAAGATATTTGTAGTCTTCAACATCGACAGAATGATCCGCGTCTTCCCCGCTATCATCGTCTTCGCTCGACTCCATGTCACTCCATGGCTCGCTCTGAAACCTACAAGGACATAGAAGAGGTTAATTAGTTGATACCCTGTGTTAACAGTCTCGAGGTTCTCTGCACTTCTGGCGGCATCACTCACTCGTTTTCACAAGAACCTGAAGAGGCTGTTTCATTGTTTACAGGCGGCATCTCTATAGGCCGGGGCTTGTCAAGCGTAGGGAACGCAGCTGGAGGCGAGTTTGGGTTGTAGTCAATAAACGGCGGCGGCCCTGCAGTTGGTCTCGCGATGAGAGGGATGTGTGGTTGGCGAGGTAGGTCGTCGGGCGTCTCAGAAGTCGCCCTTGACGCACCTCGACGACCCGACGCCTTGTTCCCAATCCAGTCCCCACCGCCATATCGTTCAGGGGGCCGGATGTTGTCTCTCTGCCTCAACCGCATATTGTCAGCAGGTGGAATTCCGTCGCAGACTCAACGATGTTTATATTGCCGAAGTGATATAAACAGTGACTATTTGGTCCTATCAAATCCGAACCCGGGTCGAAGCTCTTTTCCCTGGCTCCTAGGCAGCAAATAGCAGAGTTAATGAGCTGAGCAAGAAGAAATCAGGCATAGGGAAAGATGACAAGCAAGTTGGCTGCTCGCTTGTAAAAGTAAACAGTGAAGAAAGATGTGAAGAAAGGTCCACTGTTTTGACTGTGAATATTCATCGCCGTGGCGATAGAAAACATAGAAGCAGTCTATATCCTATTTGGTCATAGGAAGATACACGCAAGGTAGCTCGTGTTGAATAGAATTCCCAAAGAGGATTGTGATAACACTAATTCTCACACATAGAGCTGCGGGAACTGAGTGTGTGAATGGTATTGTATATCCAGCAGAGGTAAAGTAACACTGTTTGAAAGGTAAAATAAGAATAATAATAAATACAAGAAGTAATAAAAGAGGCTGCTACTAACTGCAACCTCATACAAAGAAGAAGACGAAGAAGAAGCTAGAAAATGAAAGGAGGGTAGACCCGCAAATATTCAGCGGAAGAGAAAGGAAGAGAAGAATTCGAGCCTCTAATGAACACCGAGCCATGAAATCGTTAAGGGTGGAAAGGGCAAGTTCCGCAAACTTGACACATGCTTGGCCGCCTGAGGGTCTGGCCTTCCTGCGCTAGTGCAAAATGCTGTTGACGTCTTGAAAACAATAACAATGAGAAAGAACGAGTAGAGGCCAAGGAAAGAGCCGGTAGAAAGTCCTGGATGGAAAGATCGTTCCGCGTGTTGCTACTTCTCTAAATGTTGCTTACATCACGGAAGGGTGGAAGAGATGGCCGGCAGAGATCCATAGCCATGGCCTCTCCGTCTGTATTATGGGACTCTTCGGCAACCTGGAAAGACCGTTTCCTTGAGAGTGCATTGCCAGAATTCAGCAACCCACTGGTTCCATGGTTGTCTAGCGTGTTCCTGGCAATAGCCCTCTGTGCGTCAAGTATGGGCTCAAACGCCTTCAGGATATCCACGAAGACAGGGCTAATATTGGTGGACAGTCGTCGGACTTGAATGTGGCTTGACGCTACAGCTGCTCCAGTTTGTAACATTGCCATAAGATATGCGGCGACCACACAGGCTGATCTATCATTTCCTGTATCACAGAAGACCAACACTTTCCTCGTTCTGCCATGTCCCTCCGGCTGGTGAGTCGGACATGGGCAAACATGGTTGTTGATTCGACGGATGATATCGGGGAGTTTACTGATGAGTTCCTGTGCACTGTCTATTTCGACAAAGTCCGACTCGATCCCCAGTCTGGCCGCTACCCTATCCCCGTTGACCGTCACAGCCTGGATTCGGGTTCGATCCCGAATAGCTAGAAGCAAAGTAATGCCGTTTTTTGCAAGAAACTCTGCATCGCGCATGGCATTGTTTGGGCCCAGATATAGATAGGGCAGGACATCCTGTGCAGTCCGGCGGCGGTCATAGGTCCAGTCCAGGAGATGGATAGGCGGTTTAATCTGTACACCCGAGAACATATTCATAAACTCAGGACAGGCATAAACCCCTGGTGGGAGGTCGTGCTTGATAGGTATAGCTAACGGGCATTTTTCAGCGATTTCCATAGCCGAGTGAACGCAGTCTGATATATTATTCAACCCAGCATTGCTATATTCCTGGTTAGGAATATAGTACGGAACTGAAGCCATGTCACTGCTGCAAAAGGCCAGAAATATCTCTCTTCAGGGCTGTATGAACCGGTATTGGATGTAAAAGCAGAATGTTATATCAGTACTCCGTAAAAAGACATGGAAAAGTGAGGGATGGAGAGAATATTATGTATGGAGGTGTTTGTTGCTGAAGATAAACTGACGTCCAACGCGTTTGCTTAATTAGTCGGAAAATAAATGCTGACTAAGCCTGGCGTACCCCTTTTTAACCTTGGGAACAACAACCACAACGACAACATCACTACAACCAACCACAACTATCAGCAACAGTTTCTCTCCTTCTCCCTTGCGAAGATGGTGCTTCGGATACAAGGTACAAAGTTATGCATAGTTGGACCCACGGCATCCAGCTTGGTCGATAGTTAGTCTAACTCATTTTGTGACCCTTGGTGGCTGGCCGTTGCACAGCATCACCGATTCTAGTTTAAGTTAACCTCTTACAATTAGGCTATGGCTATTACCGTCGACCCATAGGCCGCCCGATCATAAGATGGGGTTTGCCCGAACTTTGTGTGTAAGAAGCGTATCTAGTTGAGTGGTTGATAGCTTTACCGAGATTTCTCTGGCCGCACAAAGACTAAAGTAGCAAAGAGAGCGGAACGCCTTGCATGATTGCTAGCAAGGGCTTCGACCTGTGAATGGCTGGGAGCTGGGGGAAGACAGGCTGCGAACAGAATGCATTGCCTCAAACCCAAAGCATAAGAGGAAGTGCGAGCGAACCATTTCCGGGCTGATTGCCCAGGTTGAGCTGTCTCAGCTGCATGGATCGACGGAGACTGGAGAGGACGGAAAACAAAAAAAAAAAACTGCGGCCGCTGGATTAATAATTCGCACAGCATTTTGTCTTTCGCTCGTTGCCATTCGGGCGGTGCTGAAGAATATGATTCGCTACATAGGCTTGTCGCTGCGGGGAGCTGAAGTCGAATTATACGAGGCTGGTGCCTGCATCGGGCTAGCTAAGCCGCCATGGAAGATGAGGCTCTGCAGCTCGTGTCTTGCGGCTACTTGAGAGTGAAACCGAGACCACGCCCAAATCCCACAAGGATTTCTGCAGGTCGGCTGGCTTGCCCAATTATGACCTTTCACTACTGGATACGTAATGGAGTGCGGCTGCCCTGTATAGGAACATATATATATATGTCGTCTGAAGGATCTATTTAGGTGTCTATTTCTATCATATTTGCAGTCTCATCAAACACCGGGGCGGGAAAAGGCGCAGGAAAGGGCTGTATTTGATGTATTAATAGGCCAATGTGAAAGATGGAGGGGCTTGGTTATATAAATTTACGCTTGCCATGCCATGCAACAATAAAAGCCACTCATATTAGAGGAGAAAAAGCCCCTTAATTCAAGACCAGGGGTGTTCGGCGGTGAACGCCTTGCAGCAGGACCATGCCCAGAGAGCCGCAAGGGTGAGGGAGTGGGGACAAAGGAAATATGCAAGAGCAGGAGAATTCGAAATGTAACATTATTAGTGCTGATTTCATGGGGAATTATGGATGCTGAAGTAACCGCCGTAGTTCTCTCATTTCTCGTTGTAGTTCGTCTATTTGTGTGCCTTTGTATTCCAGTTCGCGACGTAGATACGACACCTCATCCCGTAAGGCACGCACCTCAGGAGCTGTCTCATCTTCTGATACATAAGCGGAAGACGTAGCGGAGTTCCGCTTCCGTTTTGACGGATGGTGCATTGGTAATGAAATGGGGGGTAAAACTCGAGGGTCATTAGCTGCTGCCGGAGCGGTTGCGGGTGCCGATATACCGGCAATAATGATAGTGCTGGTAGAAGTCCGAGAGAGGGGCGGTAAAGTGGTATTATTGAGTGTGAGAGGAATGTCTTCAGACCTGTGAAGACGGCGAATATGTTCCTTCAGGTTCTCCTGCCTGGTGAAACCTTTGCCGGAACTTCGGTTACAGTCAGAATAGGGACACATCAGTTTCTTCCCCTGCGTGTGCATCCGGTGCACTTCTCGCTGATGTCGAAGCAGGCCACCGGAGTACGTGAAGCCCGGTAGCTTTGCGCAATCTGGATCATTGCATTTATACGGTCTATCATGCTTATCCATATGTTTACTAAGTGGAAATATTAGCTTCATGATCAAAAGCAAGAACACAAGAGAGACCAACTTACTTCCATTCACATGGACGGCGAAAGACAGGAGGATTAGTATGACAGTCAGGGTGGTCGCAAAAGATATTTCCGTCCTGGTTTCTTGGAGGATCGTGAGCGCGCTTGACAGCCAATCTCGGCCGTGGTGACGTAGCAGTTGCGGAGACAGGTGAAACCCTTTGAGACATCTTAGTTTCTTCGACTGGAGGTGTGGCCGAGGGCGTCCGGATCTTCCATTCACTTCGTGGAAGCAAATAGTACTCGACTCGCTCAACCATAATATTGTAACTTATTCCCGGGGAAGAAAAAAACACTTTCAACGCATAGTTAAAACAAAGTATTATAGAATGATTTGGCGGCCGCTGGGGAGATTGATAGATGTGGCCGCAGGAGTAACAGTTGCAGGTACAAAGTTACAAGCGAGCAAGCGAGTATACCCGTTAGTTATATACTTGCAGGTCAACGCCTCGTTCGTATTGCGGCTCAAAATATACGATCGTCTATGCGGCCAGGCTGAACGTGCAAGAAGATCCCTAAGCTCAGTTTCAGCTAATAATGAAGCGGGATATTCAGTCAGCGCTTGCTCAGAGAGAAAATGTTTCGTCTCTTCGTTTCCTTGATGGAGTGGCCAGCAGTGACTCTAAAGATAGATCGGCTGGAGGCCTTCTTATATAAAATATAGCTGCCTGGTGCTGGACCCGTGATCATACCGACCAGGCAGATGCCATCAGGGGAGGGAATCATCCTCCCCTTTGCGGTGATCCGTGACTCATGACTGGCATCTCGAAGCCAGCCTGGGCCCTCCACAGCAGCCTAGGACTGGTGTTTTGTGCGTCTGCTCACCTCGCCGTGGCTGTGAAGATGGTTTGATGTTGACGAAGAAAAGAAGCAAAAACTGACCTTTTTTGGGCCCAGTGGAGTCACGTGGAAGCTGAAGTTTTCGCGGTCTTTTGCTTCGAGACGTCAGCGAAGGGACGAGACATTTCGCATCTTCGCGGAGAGTTACTCAGAGACAAAGGAAGCCAGGTGGAAGGAATGATAAGAGGGAGCCTATGTCGATGCCTTGAGGCTGACGGGGGAGCCATGATGATATCTACTTAAGGGGCCCTCTATGTGTTGTGTGTTGATGGCTGTCGTGTCAGTCATGGCCCGGATCTCTGCCAATGTGCCAGCTATCCCTTCGAATCATATCCAGTTTTAGTTGATGGTGAGCTGTCTCTCTTTGAATGGGCACTTCACTCCCAGAGATGAAGCTACCTCTGAGGGAGAACGGATAAGATGCTTCGACAGGCAGAATTTTTTTCGGCCAGCCACCGATGATGCAGACACGGGTATATACAAGGCATCAACATATGCACAAAGCCTCAGTATTATCCCTCTGCTCGACTGCCAGTTCCGCCGGGCGAAACACGTTGCCGCGTGATGGCCAATGATCCTCTCGGCGGACTCATTCGCGTTCGAGTGCGTCACAGCCACGTCGGCAAGGACACCTTGGCCCGTTTGTCTATCCACTCGCATAGGGGAGTTCATGTAAACTCACATCCTGAAGACGAAACATCGATTCGAGAGATGCACACGCCTCGCATGGATGCCTGGCTGCTAGTCACGGGGCATTTCGCCTAAAGTATCGATGACTCTTTACCTGTTGTTGGCTGATACCTTTGAATCACCTGGAATCCGCTAGTTAACCGCCCGTCCTCTTTTCAACTATTAAGGGCCATCTTTTGCCCGGAGTGGACTCCGAGACGGCGTCTGTAGCCGAAGGCTCTTGCCACCGTATCTGCCCTGCATGACCCCCAGCGCCGGGACATCCATTTTTTGTTGCCAGAAAGCTTGGTATATATACCCAACCTGTGGGGCTAGTATAGCTCAGGCCTTACTTTTCAGGCCATCATTCGTGGTGATCCATGTCTGACATGCTATCCTGTAGCTATTATTCTCCTTAATATTGATTGTCCAAGCTGGCTGTCTCTCCAACTAATCAACCTAATAACCATGTCAGCCTCTTGGTATCTAGGAAGCTAACTGTCTGCCCCTGTGCACTTCCAGGCTAGATAAACTGGCAATACAGCTTCATAGCTTTTGCCTTTACATGACCTCACTCTTAATAAACCTGTAAACCAACCCCATGTAGCTCTCCCTCTCATTTTTCTTTCATCTCTTCTTCCATCCCGTCCTCTTGTTTACCTTGGGTCCTGCAGGGGCTGCCCACCTGAGGGCACTCATATGCTTACTCATCCGGAATATCTTTCTGCCGAGGCTCGCTTTTTGTTAGGTCCTGCCCTTTTGGCAAGTTTATTTAGTTGCGCCAGAAGCTGGTTTGATATCGACGAAGCGATGAACCCAGCCCAAAACCCAACCGCAGCACCAGGAACACCATCGCCGCCACCGCAGTCTCTCCAGCTCGCTCCAGTCGCCGTCAGCCGCGCTCTCTTCTCTCTCCGGCACAGCTCGTCCCTAGCTTATAGTTCTGCGCTGCGGCTTCTGCCCCCTTGACCGCCCAAGCTGCCGTGGCCGCCTCCCCTTGCGACTTGAGACTATTGCTTGCACCCCACACTATCTTGCGGCGTGTCCTCACATCGACCATCAGAGACGCAAGGGAATACAGCTAAAGTGACCTTTGATACAGGGGCCTCCGGCCTTCGAAATTGCCAACAAAAAAAAAAAAAAGACGCATAAAAGTGAAGAGGAGCCGCTGCTGTGATAAGGACCGGTAGAGATGAGTCCGATACTGACCAATCGGCAAGCTGAAGAGCTGTAGGTGTAGGCCTGCCATGGCCTTATGGGCTAACACGGGAAAGATGCGAGGGATAGATGGAAGGCTAACCGCCGTGTGCATAGTCATAAGTCGATAATAGCATATCTAACGGCTAATAATCTCCTGGACACGGCCAACACCTTGAGGGCGGAGTTGAATCTAAACGAGGATGCGTTTGACCCGGCCACAGCGAAGAAGTATGAGACCTTACTGGAGAAGAAATGGACCAGTGTAGTCCGGTTACAGAAAAAGGTAGGTCTGCCGCCGTTGAAGGTGTTTCTCATTTATAAGCTTTCTCTCCCTTGCGGCAAACATTTACACTTTCAGGAACGAGATGTCTAACTTTGGGACTCAACTTATAGATTATGGATCTTGAGTCTCGAATGTCAGCAATGCAGGCTGAGCTTGACAATGCGACACCAACCTCACTTTCTAAACGCAACAAAGACCCCGCGTCCTGGATACCAACTGCTCCTGCCCGACATGCTCTGGAATCACACCGAGATACCATCAACAGCGTCGCATTCCACCCTATATTCTCCTCAGTTGCTTCAGCATCCGATGATTGCACCATTAAGATATGGGACTGGGAGTTGGGCGAACTAGAGAGGACGATCAAGGGTCACACGCGGGCAGTTGTGGACGTGGACTTTGGGGGTCCGAGAGGCGGTATACTACTGGCGTCATGCAGCTCGGATCTAAGCATTAAACTATGGGACCCATCGAATGAATATAAGAACATACGGACCCTGGTAGGCCATGATCACAGTGTCAGTGCCGTGCGGTTTATACCCCTCGGAGCCTCGGGGGCCCCATCATCGGGCAATCTGTTGGCTAGCGCTAGTAGAGACAAGTCTCTGAAGATATGGGACGCCAACACCGGATATTGTTTGCGAACTTTACAAGGCCACACTGCCTGGGTACGAGATGTGTTTCCCTCTCCGGACGGGAGGTTTTTGCTCTCAACCGGAGACGACAGCACTGCAAGATTATGGGATATTTCTGTCTCAAATCCGGAAACTAAAGTAACAATGTTTGGCCATGATCACTTCAACGAGTGTTGCGCTATTGCGCCGTCTACCTCATACCAATATCTATCGCCTCTAACTGGCCTGAAAAAGCCTCCACCTGCGAGTAGCACTGCAGAGTTTATGGCCACTGGTTCCCGAGACAAGAAAATTAAGATATGGGATGCTCGAGGGACTTGTCTCTTAACATTGGCGGGCCACGACAACTGGATACGGGCATTGGCTTTCCATCCCGGCGGCAAATACCTCTTCTCAGTATCTGACGATAGGACGCTGCGCTGCTGGGATCTGAGCCAAGAAGGAAAATGCATCAAGGTGATGAGGGACGCCCACGAACGATTCATCACCTGCCTAAGATGGGCTCCGTCAATATTCAAGGACGCGCCCACCGGCAATGGAGCAAGTGATGGGAAAAATGGAGATATCAAGAAATCAGACTCTCCAGAGGTCCAGATCCGGTGTGTTATTGCGACTGGAGGTGTTGACATGAAACTGCGGATCTTCGCAAATTGACATCGCGAAGAGGAAGAAGCAAATGACAGGAAAAGAGAGAGGGAAGAAAATACACGAGATTGAGAGACGCCAACAAAGGGATAAGACCAGGCTATACATACCTCGGCTTTTGATACGTGGAGCTGTGAGAGGCTCTAATCGTTGCTGGAAGCCAGGCGCCGTTACACCATTGCAGACTTAAAAGAATCGCACGGCTTCACGTGGAATGCCGAGGACATGCGTGGCTCCAAAGTGTTATCATTACTTCTTATTCTGCTCAAGGCTCTCCATGCGAAGTCCCCCTTGTGTAGGACGGGGGTGCCGAGTCTTGCAATCGGCCCATGAGGCTGCGTCAATCAAACCATATATTTATCTTCTATGTCACACAGTCCGCTGAACTTAGCCGTCGTGACGTTTCATGGCAGTCTCTGGCTTTATGTATGTACTTATTGTATGTATGCCCATACAGAATATGCCACAGCGGGCCGATGAAGACTCTCCTTGATCCCTATATCTGCGTTTCTATACCATTTAGCAGCCCGATATACGGCCATTTCTCTACCCATGTATTCAGAGCAAGCAAGCCAATCTACCCTCCGCTCCTCTAGATTTTAGCTGTAGTAACGATCAATACCAGCCTTTTTCAACTTCCTCTTCCCAACCTTACCCAAAGTTCCACTGACAAGCCATCCCTGCTGCAGCACAGGTCATGGATAGCCATCCTTGTTTGATACCCCAATATTATCCGGCACGGCAACGGTCCGAAATCCGGTATTTATTACTGGGCACTCATGAATTGAAAGCGCTTTTTCGTATAGAAAATTACCCAAAATACGCCTCTTGTGATAGGAGACCGGGCTGAAAATTATGCATCATTGGCCTTCGCCGACTGTGCAGTCACAGCACTCTTATGGTGGCTCTAATTCCTTGGTGATGACCGCGCCGTGCCGCAAAGGCCCTGCTAGAAGCTTTCAATTCAGTATCTACCTCTGAAAGTCCAACCATTAACGAGCTACTTGACATGCCCGAAATGAGTCTTATCAAACAGCCGCCGAAGCTATCGAAGTATCCTTTCCTATCTCTTGGAGCTACTGGATTAGTATACAAAATTGACGAGGAGATCGTTCTGAAGATACCCCGAGAAACTGGGAGTGATGCATTCTTACGGGAGATTGAGATGTTTGACCTCTTCGAGAAGTTCAGTCCATGCCCTATGATTGTCCAGAGCTTTCTGCGTGTTCCAGAAGCCAATTTCCTCGCTTTTCTCAGTGGTGGCACGTTGGACCAGCGGTTTCGAGCAAACCAGGTCCGCGTTGGCCATAGTTACTGCGGCCGCGTCGAGACGGTCGTAAAGCAAGAGCCTATTGAGCTGGTTGAGCGATGGAGTATGGAGCTTTCTTGTGCTACTGCTTGGTTGGAGAATCTTGGGTACGTCCATGGTGATATTCGGCCGCCGAACCTACTTCTCGACGGAGATGATCGGTTAAAACTTATCGATTTCGATTGCGCTGCGAAGATAGGCAGTCCTTCAGATGGCTCCGCTCCCCCTTGGGCGCGGGTACTTGGTGTAGAGGCCGGGGAAGATGCAGGCTCATTTGGCTTATATGGAGCCCGAACCGAGCAATTTGCCATCGGATCTGTTATATATCTCATGACCCGTGGTTACGAACCGTACGAGAACGAAGATCCAGGTCTTGACATTGTTGACCTCTTCCGCCGCATGGAATTTCCGCCATTAGGCAACGATCCCCTTGACAGGATTATTGACCGGTGTTGGAAAGGGCAATTTGAATTTTTGAAGGACCTGGCTGAGGAAGCTAGAACGCTGGGCGGTGATACATATAGGCATCCTACGTTCTTGTTGCCGCCAGCAGTGCAGCATCGATTGCAAATCCAGGAAAAGTGCCAAACGCTGGTCAACCAAGGGCTTTTGGAGTGGGAGGTCTGAATGGATTACAGCCCCGTGCCAGTGTTAGATTACTCTGCGCAAAGAGGAGTGCTCGTCAAGATGTTGTCAAGATGGTATCGGTACTTGGGTGTAATTAACTATAGATACGCCTCGAGAGAAACACACCTTATAAGTAACTAGTGACGGAGCAAATTATCCAATCATAGGCTATTTGTTAGTGTAACCTGCTGTGGTAAATATGTTCGTTCCATCGCGCCTTTGAATTGCACCGTAACCTCACGTGTGTTAATAGCTAAGGTTGCGTTTTCATCGGGAAGCCTAGTTGTCGATTGTTATGAGTTCGTTCTCATAATCCATGCTTCAATATCTGATGGCCCTGTTAGCCCGCCAGTGGATCTTGCACTCTTAGAAGACGTGCAAGACTCTGACGCTTCGCTTTCGCTATCATCACGTATCCAGGGGTCGTGGTATATCTCCTCGGGAGGATGTCCTTCACAGTTGCGAGTAACCCACGCGAAGACTTCTCGTGAGGCTATCATGGATGCTTCCTGATCTTCTAGCGAAAGTGCCTGGTAGTTCATGGTAGTTATGGGAGGGTCTATTTTATAGGAGTGACTAGGGATGGCGTCAGAACAATAGCCATGTCCATCCAACCCCGAACCATTCTTTAGGTGCCATGACCAGTGATGGTAAACCAGCTCGTGACGGGGGCAATCTCTATGGGCTTTTACTCTGATGGCTGCATGTTCAAAGTTAGTCATGCCGACAGGTTGCCATGGTGAAAATGGCGGGCTATTATATTGCAAGTCATCCTCGACAGCGGCCGGTAGGTAGAGAAGGCGCCAGGCGTCCGACCTAAAGAGCTTATCCTGCGGGGAGTCAAATTGAACATATGGGCCTGAACCCGGAACATCCATGAAAGACTGTGGGTTTCCAGTCCACGGCGCACCGTTTGTGTCTAGAGGAGGGGTTCCGCTACCAACAAGCTCAATGATAGTGGAAGAAAGCCCACTAAGAGTAGCTCCAAGCCAGAGAGTGGCAAGATTTGGACATCGTTGGGCACAAAGTAAAGGGATGATCTCATCTAAGGAGAGAGAGCCGGAATAATGATTGGGTATTTCTTTGAGTACAGGATGAAGCCATGGACTGACCAAATTACAGCATACTTTGGGTTCCCAAAATACACTGCAGAGACTCGAAACCGTCACGTTGTGGGCACAGCTCATCGTCATATAGTAAGGAATTTGGACAGAAAGCTCTTTAATATCCGCTGTGACTTGAGGAGATTTGAGAGTATTCGACCCACGTACACAAGGCAACCTGGATGGCGTTCCATAGTAGTTGTGTGCTGGGAATGTCATAGCAGTTGCGAGGGCGACGAAGAGTTGGCTATGGGAACCGTGGAGTGCACAAAAATTGACAAGGAACTCCAATGCTTGTTGGGAAGACGGAGGGCTTAGGGATTTCATTGTTGAATTTGCTGGTAAATCGCCACTCACTCTGACCTTGAAGGCTTCGTCGTGCTCGAGCACCACAGACCAGGGCGAGATATAGCAGGCACTGTCACACTGCAACACTGTAGCCTTCCAACCCTGCCCAGGTGCTAGAATTGATGCCCACCATCGTGCTGCCTGCGCACTCACAGCGCCAACATGAATCATATTACCGACCGCTTCTGCCTTCCCATGGCACATTTCCGCAATAGAGTCGGTATAGTCTAAGCTGGACGATCCTGGTCCCTGCCTCTCGATTAATTCTGCCGAAAATATGTACGACCATCCCAAGGCAAGTATCCCGATGATATTAACCTCATGAGCTCCGCCTACTCCGACCGCTCTGTGAAAGGCGGTGTTCTGGAAGCAAACCGGCGTGGGCCGTCGAACTCCTATCGGGAGAGACGCGGCTCGTATCTTCTGCTTTCCGCTGATGCCACACGCACCGCCGTCTGAAACAGCCCACACAGCCTCTGCTCTAATGTACAGCACCCCGTTTGATGTAAACGTATCAAAGGACTCATGGCGATAGTTCATATGAATATCCGGCATCGCCGGGACATATCCGAGCATATTTTCAGGCCGAAGACATTGGGAAGGAGGGCCATGGCTGTATTGGGTGATAGCCTGCTGCGCAAGGCCATGCCAGTAACAACGAGCCTCATGCAGAGCGGCGTCAAGCTCGTCTTGACTCGGCTGGAGGTGATCGCGGCTCCTCTGGGTCCTTATAACTAATTAGCTTGAAAGTCCGCGCTTAGATCGAAAGTGGTAACTATATACTTAGTCATTTTCCGGGAAACCATCTTCGCAAAAAGACTCGCTCTTTGCTACAGTTCTGTTAGAGAGGCAACCAGCTTTTACAGACCTCATGATGCGAAGACCGCCGCTAATATATGGTACCTAGGTAGCTATTGGAACCGACCCGTCCTGGGCACTGTCATTCTCGGATTATATATGGTCCGTTAACTCTCCGTGGAGTCATCCATAGGTGGGTGGATCCGACCTCGGGATCCTTACCTGTGGACAGGACCCTCCTTATAGATGGACCTCACCTCCCTGACCGGCTCTTCACAGCCCATAACTATCTGATTAACTAGTTATAGTGCAGACAGAGAGCTTTATATAATAATTCTTCTGTGTGAGGGCAACTCACTAGTTAGCTAGCTAGTCATTGTTGAATTATAAACAAATAAATCTTGTATATTTTAGCTTTATCAATATAACTAGTTATGTATATCTTCTCCCAAGAATCACAACTATATACTTTTATAAATTGTCCTTAAAGTGCGCGAGCTTGGTCTGTCTGCTCCACTTATATTAGTTATTCTGATTACCAACTAACTGCAAGCATAACTACTAGTTACTTACTAGGATATAACTTCGTCACAGAGATATTTCATATGTCCACCAGGCTGGGAGCCTGGTGGACCACCTCCTGGTGTACAGGTCTCACACTTCACACACACCACATAGCCTCCATGGGAAGGCTGTTGGCAAATCTTCCATTTTTTTGGCTGGTTACATGCATTGCATTTATATTGTCGATGTTCATTATTTGCATGGCTGCATATATCGCAAAACCCCTTGAGTCCTGAGCTAGCTGACATTTCTTAATGGCAGTCCAGTTAGTCTTTATGTGAATGCCAAAGCAGGCTGAGGCACACGTACTTTTTTGGTTCTGTTTTTAAGCTGGGAAGGGTGTTGCAGGGGACAGTGGTTCTTTATTCTTTACCAGAAAACTCGAAATGAGCTTGCAACCTCTCTCTCGCCTTCAATTTGAGCGCTGCTTTTATAGTCGACATGTCGGCGGCTCTGCCTATAAGTCATCACTACAAGGCCAGATATTAATAACTGATAGGTCATGCTGCATGTCATGTCTCGGGCGGTTCAAGTATTAGTTACCCGGCACTAGCTGCGTTTTCTTCCTTCCCCTCCCCTCCCCTCCCTTCCCTTCCCTTCCCTTCCCTTCCCTTCCCTTCCCCCTCCCGCCTTTCCCCCATTTTATTATGTCAAGCAAGATGAGCCACCCATCCAGCTTGTTCGACGCCCAAATAAAACCTCGTCTTGAAGACCATATCCACAAGATACTGGACCCTCTATCCGAAGGCCAGGCGAAGCAAGCAAATACCTGGCTGGAATTGTATACAGAAACTACGGACTCGTTGGAGAAGCGATCTTCATCACGGCGATGCGTCAGACGCCATGCTCAATACTTCGCCAGGAAAGTGTATGCAATTAGTGCTGAATTATTTGTGCTCTGCTCTCTGTCATACTCTATTACTGGACTACCAAAGATCCCAGCAGGGCCATTCTATGATCAACTTGAGCAATGGTGGGTGGCATTACCGGATCCTCGCAATTCACTATATAAAGTCACTATCACTATATGTGGTAATTTACCGCAGTACGGAGAGGATAGACGGAAGGTTTCTGCAGTTTGTCCCTCGTTAACGGGAAGAAACTCAACTGAGCTTTTGGCGCCACATTGTAGCTTTCTGCAGCCTGACGTACTAAAAGACGGACGTTTAATGGGTAAGAGTAGCATTGCTCCTGTCATATAATCATTTTAAGCCTAACACTTCTGCTACTCAGAACCTCCAATATCTGCTATGCAATCTAATCAGGGACGGAACATAAGACGAATAAGAGATCATGGTGACCATAGACACACCGATACAACATATGCCGACATTGATAATCCAGAGCGGCGCTTACCGAAGCGCCCGCGGTTGGAGTCACAGGTTTCCGGTACGCAAAATGCTTCACACGATGAGATATAAATACTCATATTGACAGGAAATCCCACATTTTTTGGCGATGGCCAATACCTCTCGTTCTCATTTATGAAGCGCCATGTGATTGATAAAGTTCCTGAACCGTTTCGGAGTGGAATAGAGTCAAGCAAGCTATGGAAAGAGGAGCAGGAAAGTGGCGGGCTGTTAGTCACCAACTGCTTATCCCTATATTTGCCGGAAAAGATTAATGAGGATGCAGTCTTGCTTATTAGGATAGGGTATTATGAAGGGTTTAATATTTCAAATAATTTAGGCCTCGGTGATCCTTAAAGGGTTGTTGTCTAGGCTCGAGATAGAATAGTTGTGAATATGAATTCCTCACCTCTGACTTAATATCAACCTTGCCTTTCGAATTTCACCCACGCTCGCATCACGTAGCATCGAAAACCAGCCTTCACATCTCTAGTGGTTCGTCCATCTTGAGGACCGAGTTTGCCATCCGGAACGGGTATGCCCTCGCTATTAGCAATATTGCAAGAGCGACCTTCAAAGGTCATAGTCATGTTTTCTTGTATCTCAAAACACTTGTTTGATATTTTTTCCCACTCGCCGTTAAGTGCCTTTTCCCCTACCGCATTTAGCATCGCTTATTTCAGTTTAAATGTGCAAGTGCTTCTCGTCCCAAGCCCTGTATGCAGATTGCAATATCAAGGAGCATTCTGTGTTGCTGCTCTTTAATGCCATGTTTCAATAATTTTATCCTCTGAATGCGGGAGGATTGAAAATCAAAAATTCTACCCGATGACTTCGTTGGTGCCCGATAGAACTTCGGCGGCGTGCAAGTTCACGTGGCTCCCCCACTATATTGTCCCGTCCCGTCCCGCCCCGTGCTGTCTTGCCCCCTTTTTTATGCTTGATCCGAAGGCCGAATATGCTTCATCCACTAATGAGCCATCTCCTGTATGGCATTAGCAAAAATAGACAACAGTACGGAGTACAATTCCAAGGTAATTACCTGTGCAAGTAACTAACTCTCGCTTGAAGATCGCTACGTATTAACTAGTTAACGTTCAGACCGCCACCAAGACGAGTTAAGCATGTTATAGAGCCTGTCCTATGTTCCCTTTGGGAACATGAGCCATCTGCGAGTTCTACTTACTAACACAAAGGATGACTAATCCTGACATCTGTCGATCTGGAATAGCGGCCAATAGCAGATTAGATAATTACACCAATCAGATTTGTTTCACGTGATAAAACCATGTTTCAGCTTAGTAAGCCAATATCAAGTCGTTTCGTGGAAAAGGGACAAACAAACGACTTCTTGATAACATTTCCTGCTATGTACCACGCTGCGACCCCAGGGGGTGACAACCCTGCGCAAAGCTCACACCGAGAGTGTGGGTATAAGACTAACGTTGCCCAAAAGTCGGCATGTTCTCCCAGAGGCGTTTCTGCTCACAAATGCCGGAGCTTCGTCCTCAGGATGGAAATGTGAAGAACGTCGAAATGGAGTGTTGGCATACTAAGTCAGTAATATTCTTTGCACGCGGGTCCAGGGCTACCGCTGCTTCTCGTCTCTCGTCGTCACTGGCTGTTCATCCACCCTAGTATATGAGATGGGGTACTACAAATCGCATGAATCACCTGTGTACGACCATCTGGTCGCGAACGGATAAGAAGCCACCCGATACCGGGATTCATTTCGCCTCGTTTCTGCAATACACACATCCATTACACTTTGATAGTGAGAATGTCCTTGTCAATAATTTGGGCTGGCAGAAGCCCTGAAACCAAGGCGCCGATCTGAAGATCACAAGGATATCCTCAAGGGTGGATTGTTCGACCTTTGCATAAATTTGGCTTCATAAAATATCCTCCCCGCACAGGAAAACGGATGTGCCGGCTTTACGTATACGACTCGGAGCTTTCGATTCCAACGTTATACATTGAGCATAAAGTTCCTGCGATGCCCTGTGCTTAATGGCCACCTTATGGGCAGATAGTTGTGTAAATTGAGTATCCCCACACGTTAACTTTCCCCCACAGCTCAAAGTCTACTACTTAAGGACACTGTCTATCCGGCTAGATCAGCCCGCAGATTTCGTTCTACTCTCTCATATATGTGAATGATCTCACGTATATGTGGATAGTTATATATTTTGATACATAGGCATTCATACGTCACATTTCTCGTCATGGCGCCCCTAAGCTTAACAAGCATGACAGTCACTGAAGGATGCATTATCCTGGTACTCCTTGCGGTTAGTCGAATAGAGATACGGGTAGCTGTACTTGGAATTTGCGGTATCACTAAACGACTGCGTCTAGGTACTCTACATCATCGGAAATGTTGTTTACGAGTTGTTCATCAACCCGCTAGCCTCAGTTCCTGGTCCCAAGCTATATGCAGTTTCGCAATTCCCCTTTCTATACCAATCGTACATTGGCATTTGGCCTTTTACTTTAAAGGAGCTCCATGATAAGTATGGGCCCGTAGTCCGGATATCACCTATGGACGTCTCATTGATTGCCCCCGACGTGTGGAAAGAGCTCTACACACCGAGGAGTCGTGTGGGTGAATTCAAACGAGACAATACGTTTCGTGTTTTGGACAAAGACGGTTCAGGCATTGCAGATGAGGATATTATGGAACACACCCGGCATCGTCGTATGCTTTCCCACGCATTTTCGGAGAAAGCTTTGCGTGGCCAGGAAGGAATTATGCAGAGCCTTGTGGACATGCTAATCTCTGGACTCAAATCGCATATCAAAGAACATGGCTCTGAGCCAGTTAACATGACCAAAAAATATAACTGGGCCACTTTTGACGTCATCGGAGACCTGGCCTTTGGTCAGCCATTCGGGTGTTTAGAGGCGGATAGCCCCCACTACGTGATAAGCATGGTTAACGATCTATTTTATCATATGATTCGGACACAACCCTTTAAACGCTTCCCGCTACTCAGACCGTTTCAAAGCTTGATTGCATCTCCATCAAACGCTATAACTACCGTTCAAAAATTTGAAAAGTTTGCGTTTGAAACAATAAAGAAAAGGATTGAAAATGGAGATGCCGGAAGGAAAGATTTTATATCATACATGCTGCCTCACAACAGTACAGGGGAATTCACCGAAGCTGAACTGACATCTAATGCTGCAGCTCTAATGATTGCTGGGAGTGAAACCACGGCAACCACCCTCACCGGTGGAACTTATTTCCTGCTCAAAAACCCTCCGGTTTATCAACGTTTAGTCCAAGAGATCCGATCGAGCTTCAAAGAAGAAAAGGATATTACGATAAGCGAATTGGATAATCTCCCATATTTGGCCGCTGTCTTGACGGAAACACTACGCATATTCCCTCCAGTACCTGGCATAATGTCCCGTGTTATTCCTAAAGGGGGTAAACATCTATGTGGCTATTGGCTTCCAGGGAAGGTACGTTACTTCTTAAACATACTTAGTGCCTTGCTGTGCCTTGCGCTTTTATCTCAATTGCTCATCAATTTTTGTATAGACTGTCGTTTCCGTTTCTCAGCTGTCGGCATATCATTCAGAACGCTACTTTTCTCGCCCGGAGGAATTCATCCCCGCACGGTGGATGGGGGATCCACAGTTCAGCAAGGATTCAAAAGATGTATTTCAACCATTTTCAGTTGGGCCACGGAATTGTATTGGCCAGAAGTACGTCCTCCTCCCGTCTGCTACTCCATAGGTACTAATTCATTCCTTCATATAGTATGGCAAGAGCTGAAATGCGACTAATCATGGCTAAAATTCTCTGGAATTTTGATCTAGAACTCTCACCCGAGAGCGATAACTGGAATGAGAAGCTGATAATTTATGGGCTGTGGAGGAAGGATCCTCTCATGGTGAAACTCAAACCTGTTAAGAGGTTAACCCACTGAGTTCTGCAGATATGTCTCCAAGCATTATTCTTCTATATAACCATGATTTAGTGATTGCGTTCATAGTGCATTTTCCTATTTTTTCCAGCAAGTGAAGCCTACCCTCTTAACCCAAAACCAGATACTTGGTCGTATATGGAAAACCTCAGGCCATCCTCGGCCCTAACCTTAAGTAGTTAAAAGTCCTGGCAGCGGCCAGGCTTCCACGTGACCCCCGAATAAGGTTTAAGCTTACGGAGTACGGCCCGCATAAAAAAACTTTCATTTCACGTCACCCCACCGGGCTTAACTAACTACTCCTCACCTAGGCCGAGGGCATGAAAGGGCCGGGTATATCAATCCTGTGGGCTGCTCTAGGAAATGGATAATTCTGTGGCGGTTACTCCTGCATTTACGAAGGCTCTTCCGAAAATAGAGGTTGGTACCTTGGCTGCAAGCTAAGCCATTGTCAACTGGCTGTTGGCTAATGTCTATTTGAAACAAAAATGAGTTAGCTTCATGCCCATCTGAGCGGAAGTATAAGCCGGGAATGCCTCCGTGAGATATGGCTGCGAAAGAGGGAGCATGACCCCAAGCTGCAGGTCCCCGATCCAATGATAGCCATGCCCCCAGGAAAAGTGGACTATTCCCTGAAGACGTAGGTACTACTCTTTTAATATGCAACATGTACTATTTCATTTGATATTTTTTTTTTCGACCTTGGGTACTTCCCTTCCTCATCCCTAGCATTTCTTTAACGTATGTATATATATATACTAACAAGGAAATACTAGGTTTTTTCAGGTCTTTTCCAATCTGATCTACTTACTTTGTAGTGACTTAGAGAGTATCCGATATTCTACAAAGCGCGTTCTTCAAGACTTCCAGGGCGACGGTGTAAAATACCTTGAACTGAGAACTACACCCCGGGAAATTCAAGAACAGGGAATCTCAAAGGAGCTATATGTCTCCACAGTGCTTGATGTTATAGATGATTTTAAGAACGAGGCTATGTCGACCTACCTCATCCTATCTATCGACCGCACAAAGTCAGCCGCTGAAGCGGAGATTCTTGTTGATCTTGCTATCAAATTCAAAGACCGCGGGGTCGTTGGTGTTGAGCTTGGCGGCAACCCCTCGAAGGGTGATGTATCCATCTTTAAAGGTGCATTTTCAAAAGCAAAACAAAATGGCTTAGGTGTTACTTTGCACTTTGCAGAGGTAGAGTTCTCATCTTCACCCAAGGAACTCACCACGCTACTTTCCTTCCAGCCTGATAGACTTGGTCATGTCATCAATGTACCGGATGATATAAAGGAAGAAATTTCTCGTCGCAAAATAGGACTTGAACTCTGTCTATCGTGTAATGTGCACGCGAAGCTAATCACAGGAGATTACCCGGATCATCATTTTGGCTATTGGAGACACAAGGACTGCCCAATTATCCTCTGCGTAAGTTTGGAATTATCTACATACCTCTAGTGTGTAAAAGGTTGCTGACATGAGAACATTGCAGACTGATGATGTCGGTTTCTTCTGTAGCCCAGTCTCCGACGAGTACCTACTAGCAGCCACAAACTTCAACCTTGACCAGTCCGCATTACTTAACATCTGCAGGAAAGGGGTTGATAGTATTTTTGGTGGGCCTCGGGAAAAGGAGAGACTGTACTCCTTAATTGACAAGTTTGAAGACAAGCTTCAATAGCCCGTACAAATACAGGTCGGAAATGCCGTGCCATAGATAATAACACTAGGAATATAAGGCTGCGATCTGCCTTGTGAATGATCAGTGGTATTCTTTTTGCTAAATATATACATTTTACAATCCAGTTCGTAATTCTAATAACTGTAAAGTGCCTGACACAACAATGCCTCCCAATGCTAGAACGCTGTAGCAAGTTAAATACAAGACTTTTAATTATGGTCCCACTTTCCAAATCGAATATAATCGTCGTAGAGGGTCTTAAACACCGCACGGCTAGAAGAATCCATCCCTGCGTTCATCGCACGCATCGTACTTTGCGACATGACGTCCAGAATCACATACATCCCTGGCATCAATGCTGCTTTCATTTCAGGGGGAATATGCCCCTTCAATTGGCATGATGTGTATTCCATGACGAGATACTGCAGATACTGGCCTGCCAGACTTTTCACTTTCTTTGTATTATCGTTCAATGCTTGCTTAGAATGTCCCACACCTCCAGGTCGTTGCACCGAGGAAACAGTTGGGTCGCAAAGAGAACTAAGAAGGCGGGAAAACTGTGTCCCATGCCTAGGTTCCATATGATGGCTGCCCTCAATCCAGGGTGGGCGAGCTAAAACCGCACCAGATGAGTTTGATGACTTCTGGTTGTACGTGAATAAGCATCTTAAAAGTGCTTGCATGACCGGAAGAACCAGGTGGAATCGGCCGCTAAGCTTTTGCCGATATAGGGTGAACAAGGTGCCGAGTAGTTTGCAGAGCCTGGTATGAATAGTACCCGCAAATTTTGCGTCAATTGGCGGGCCAGAAGGGGACACAATGAGGCAAATATTCGCCAAAAGGTTGTCTATGTTCCATTGAGTGACAGACCTAGATTGTGTCCGTAAGATGATGTCCAGGGCTTCTGCTGCTAGACAGAAAGACTCAATGGAACCATTGTGAGCTAATGCCGTAGAAACCTTGGTGAAAGCTGTTGAGATTTCAGTCGAAGCCGTAGAATCCCTATCTTGGACAGGGCTCATTCTAATGACAGAAATCCCTAGCAATAAGAGTCGGTAGCCATTTTCCTCACCCGATAGATCTGCTTCACACATATTATGGATCATTTTCACCACAACATCTTCCTCCATCTCCGATATTTGAGCCTGTATCCTGTGGATGAGGGAACGTTGGTCCTTTCCATGTAGCTGCCCGAACGGAAATAAGGTCATGCAGTCATGTAGTCGTGATTCAAAATCAGCACTCGGTGCCTTCGAGGCCAAGCTTAATAATTTCAATTGCTTTCTCACAGACATTGGCAAATTGTATTTGGACGTGTATTCCTCAAGTTTGCGTAGTTTCTTCCGCGAATCTTTGCTTTCACGCCGAAGATCCTGGAAGTTGTCTAGAGCGCACAAAATTCCAATCAAACTGGCCGTGTCAGTACCCTCGTATGTCTTCTTCATGGATTTTGTCAACGTATGCAGGCCTGAAATAAGGTCATTGAACACTTTGTGCCTCAGAGTGCAGATGGTCTGGAACCGTTTTTCGCCGAGTTGATGTTCACGTTTGTGCAAATGAGATAGAGAAAGTATAAAGAGAGGGTATTCCATGGTTTGATAACTCCGGATTGGCAGGTTTTCAGTTGTTCTCGAATAAGCAGTATTCAAAAACTTTGTAACTGAATCCTGAGGTGCTGCTTCGAACCGCACGGTGATAGCTTCATATAATTTTGTGAATGTGTCAAATAGCAACTGGGTATCACACCCACCGTCCATACTAATTGAACGAGAAATCTCCCAGATTTTATCCGGGTCGTCTAATATTTGGGCAGATGATCTTGCACTCTCTACTAGCCTGGTCATAAGCAGTAAAATATCCACTTTCATCTCTAGTCCAATTTCACCACTAAGGAGGAAGGAATGCAGGGTATCAATGATCAAACCGCGCTGCGAGCGGGATACTAGACGGGTGGGAATATATAGAAGACTGCTAATCAATACCCTAGACGGGTTCCTTTGATTTGTAAGTCTATCGTAGGCTACCTTTACCAGGTCATCCACAATGGCGGTCAATTCCATACCAGACCCAAAGCAGAGAAAATCTTTCCAGATCTGCGAGAGTTGAATGCTTGCGGTAGAAGTGGGTTCGTTCTCCAGTGATACGAGTAAGTTAGTGAATAGAAGTTGACGTGTGTCGGAAGTCAGAGAGGCCAAGTTTTGGATGTTACCGAGTAAGGCGGTAATGCAGGCAATAACAATAGCAACAGGGGTTGAGAGGTCCCCCGCTTGACCATTCCAAGTTGCAAAGCTGCTCTTTAAAAGATCCTTGAAACTTGATAATGTATTGTGGGTAGATTTATCAACGTAGTCGTTAAAATCGGTACCCGATGCTCTGCTTCCAAGACTAAGAACAAAATTGTAAGACCAAAAGGTTTCCAAACAATCCTGAGTTGGAACAACCTTAGGATTCTGGGCAAAGAATTCTATCTTGCGTAAAGCTAGAGGAACCAAAGAGTGCCTCACATCAAACTGGATTAATTCTGAGCAAGCCGGGTATCGAGAAACGGAATTTTGTAAACACCGCCATATTCTCCATTTCCAACAGACTTCCGTACGGGTAGAGGAGAAAGTATTTGATAGCTCTTCCAATATTTGCTCGTAACGGCTAATTGAAATGGCATCGAGCCCACTTTTTATTGGAGACATCAGGAGAGAGTCAAGGACAACAAGAGAGGAATATGCGCCAGGCAAATTATCCCCAGAAAGTTTTATTAGGCAAATTCTCTTAAGAAGATCTCCAATTTGTTCATCAAGCTGAGTATCTGAAGATGCCAAACACTGTCCACAAGCTTTGACCACATCATCACTCTCCCAGATTGAGATTAAATCTTGTTTTTTTGTCAAATGCCGGGATGACTCTGACTCGGCAATCTGCTCAGCCCATAGTTTGATGAAAGCAGGACCATCTCGGGCATTGAAAAACCCCCGAGCAAGCGGAATGATGATTTCATGTTTGATTAAATCATGTAAATCCCCTGAAGCAAGTTCATTTTGTAGAGGAAAAGCTGTTATTCCAGCAAGCAACGAATTTAGCAAGGCGACAGACTGCTCAACGCCGGAGTTCAATAGAAACACGTCCACATCGAGCCGTAATATTCGGGCTATCAAGCTCCATTCAATTCCATCCTGAGTTCCTGAGAGGCCGGAAAATTTGCTTGCAATCTGGACGAGGGTAATTAAAGAGAGCTTTAGCTTTCTATGGATGGCTACATCCAGGAATTCTTGTAGCAGAGTGACATCCCTCATTTCCCGATCCTCCTCCAATGGATAGCCGGCCTGCGACACAAGCAGAATGAGGAATGATTCTAGCCAAGGTGTTTCATGAACCTGTCGTCGAAAATTATTTCTTGGCATAGAACGAATGGAGATGTCAAAGAGCGTCGGGAGAATGATCGCGTCAGCACCAGACAGAACAGGGCTTAATTTGGTGTCGAATTCATGGCTAAGCCGCTGAGCACTCTTTGAACTACTCTCATTTTTGGTATCGGCTGCGGCTGAAGAGAAGAAAACCTCGCGAAAGCTGAGAACAACGTGGAGGGCTACCAGTCGCTCTAGGCCATTGACAAGTTCTAGGTCGTTCGAAAATTGACGTGCAATTCTAATCAGCCCTAGAGCGCCAACCAATGCATGGGAGACAAAAATGTCCTGCAGCCAATGTTAATCTCCGATATATCATATGTTAAAATGTGAAGAAAATGAACATACATTGCTAGACGCGGTCGAACCGTTCTCATGATGGTCTGATCGGAGAGTCCATATCTCTAACACCGATATGAGAGATGTATGAAGTCGGTGTGGAAAAGATGTAGCAGCGACAGCATTCACGCGATTAAGAGTAGACTGAGCATAATTGCATGCCCTCCCAATGATGATAGCGCTTGTCTCAGCACTCCCACGCAAGACCAGCTTGAGCTGAGCCTTCAGCACATCTTTGGATTGCGGAATTTGTTCCGTAAGCTTTATAAGAGCGTTAACTGATTCGATAATCGCAAGGAAAGTATCGTAATGGGAGCTCTCTTCCTCGGGTTTTGTGTTCGCGATAGGCTCATCTGTCCGCGTACGCTTCCGACTTTGCTTAGAAGAATCAGAGTCCGGCTTCCGTTTCAATGGCGACCCAGCCTTTGAATTGTATTCCACCTGATCGTAAGGGCTTGCATGGCCGCTCGAAGAATCCAATCCCACTAAGGAATCCCGTAGGAGGCCAAGGAAATCGTTTTCGCTCAGTGTGAACGCCAGGCTCCTAATAGGAATCCGCATAAAGAGGATGCGCAATAGTATCCAAGATCGGCCATTATTCCGGTATTCAGTCGATATATCTGTAGGGCCTTTCAACTTCTTCAGCAGCCATCGCAAAACCCATTCTTCCTTAGGTGCGGAGTGGGCGGGAGTAATTGACGGAAGTTCGCCATCGTCGGCAAAGAGATCCAAGTTGTAGTCCTCAAAATCAACCCCAACAACCCTTGCAGCCTCCGTCAACTGCTCGATCGGAGACCCTGAAGTCCCCTTTTCCAGGGCAAGCAATGCTTGATAGGCAGGGAGCTGGCAAGCTAATATTAGTACATTTCACTCTACAAAAGGGAGAGCAAAGAGCTATATAACAAATTGGCATACCTCTGGCTCTGATCCCATCTTAAGTTACTTCAATCACCTTTAAAAGGCGGCTGCATGCTATCGTTCTTCTTTCCAGAATTCATATCTTCCTAATATCAAAAGGCACTTTGAGCCGGAACAGGTCCACTACCTCCCGAATTTTTTTTATATCCGGAGATAAGATCATCCGGCTCCGATCTTCGCTGCCCAGCGCATTTCCCGAAATCAAGCAAGTCCGATCGAACAGTAGGAACAAACACACGAACGACTCTCTTCCAGACACAAAACGCCGTAAGTAAGATGCCATATAGTTGTCAATTGGTTCTATTTGCTCACAAAACTTCCATAGGTTTTTGTCAAGATGGCTGATTCCGCCGAATCTACCCAGTCTGTGCCTGTGCCTCGTGCCAGCAAACCTGTCAGCGAGACTCTACTTAACGAAAAGGTACGCTCTTCGGGCCCTGGGAAGATCCATAGTCCAACATGGCAAGAAAGGAAGAAGAACCATAGATTTTGGATCGTGGAAGAAGGATATGGCTGACCGATACGTTGAATTGGACTTTTTAGTGGGACCGCGCAATCTCCTCCCTCCTTATTCGATCCTCCGTTGGTCTTGGGTTTGGTGTTATATTTTCGATTCTGCTGTTCAAGCGACGAGCATGGCCTGCATGGGTAGGATTGGGCTTCGGCGCTGGTCGAGCCTGGGAAGAAGCTGATGGTATGCATCTCCAAGGCACTCTTCCGTTCGTTCCGTTCGGATGTGGGATATGCTTTGATGGGCTGTTGGTATTTTGTTGAAGAGAGGTTACTGACCTGTGTTTCATACAGCTTCTTTCCGACGAGGCGATCAGCCATGGTCTCAGAATCTCCGATTTCCAAGGTCATCGTAGATGATCACAGAGGAACAACTGTGCGGCTAAAGTGACGAGGCCAGGAAATAGAAACAGCAAAGAGAGAATATACCATATGAATCTACCCTTCTCTACACCCGGCCTTACTTGACCTTTTCTCTACGCTGGATATACACAACGGTGTTCGGCTCTGTATACCTAGCTCAATTGATCCTTTCAAAATGTTGCGGGCCTGTACAATATGGCATTTTTCTCCCAGTTTTATCAGTGTTTTTTAGAAAGAGGATATAGGGTGATTCAACTTAAACAGTGGTCTCCTCTATGCGGTTCTTCCTTTGTTTAATAAATATCTGTGGTGCATTTTTCACATAATCCTGCTTAAAGTGTCACCAAGGGGAGGAGAGGGGAAAAGTATAGCCATAGCTCTATCTACTCAGGGTATAAAGCATAAAAATAAATACATGAATTAAGAGGAAATTGCATGGTCTATGTTCGTGTCCGGCCATTTTTAAGCAGGAGGAGATTCTAATGGAGTATGGCCAGGATAATGAGGATTATATCCACTTGAAGCCGAAACTTGTGGGTGTAGATGCGCCTGCGCGTCTGTTTGCATCTGCATCTGCGAGAGGGGAGGCGTTTGAGTCTGCATTGAGAATAAAGAGGCAGCCTGCTGGGTGTTTCCGCCTGAATCGCTCACTTGTGGTATGTCTGGAGGCGGGGAGGATTCGGCTGAAATGCCGTTGTGGCCATGATGAGTTAAACAGCCAACGCAGGCACAATTTATGCCGCAGTGGCAGGTCCCAGTGAGATTCGTGCAAGGATCAAGCATACTAATAGGGTATTCCACTGTGTAGTAAGCAGCAGGACTCATCATCAGTTCACCGTCACTAGCGTGTTGAGGCATTGTCGCCGGTATTGAAGTGTTATTGTTGCTGTTGTCACCATACCCCAAAAGTTGTGGCTGGAACTGTGCAGAATGGACGTAACCTTGGGGAAGGTGGTTCTGTCCAACAGCCGCTAGTGTATGAGACTCAGGAGGAAGACATGCACTATAAGGTGGTGAGTGGACATCGTCATTTCCCTCCGGCCCCTGATCACCATATCCGGACGCCATCATGTAACCCATTTCTTGGATATAATGTCGTGTGGTGTCATTGTAAGGATGAGATGCACAACCAAGACACTGACATCCGTCTCCACAGCCACAGTTATGGCCTTTGCACCCAACCTGAGAACTAGCAGGGCCAAAACTAGTGTGAAGCCCAGGCGGTAAGCTGTCAGCTGGCCCGAATTGGTCAAATGAATTGAAGTGGTGGTTTTTTGCTGATTCAGGGTTAAATGACGTTGGAGGAACGGAGTGAGCGGTCGGAGGATAGTGTGGATATTCGCTTTCTAAAGAGTTGAGGAGGAAAGGAGCGGGAGAAGGGTTAGATTCTGATATAGGAGGAGTTGAAAGTGATTTGTGAAGTAGATTGTGTTGGATCGGATGAGACTGTAAAGGAGTATCAATTGACGAAGAGGCTAGCTTGTAACCAGGAGCTTTCTGTATGTTATCCATAACGTTGGCCGAAAAGGAGGCATTTGACGAGCGTTTGGGGCCACAGCATCCGCCATTCTGTGGCGTATGTGTTACGGTAGTTGACGTGTCCGGGCTTTCTGTCTTCTGATATAGGCCGGAGTCTGGCTTTTCATTCGCTACCGCTATCGAATCATCCGCATTAGGGTTTCCCGGCGTAGAGGTCTCATTCTTGACTTGAACCGGTGAAGTCAGCATACCTAGCCCCCTAGATACGCTATCGGCGGAGGCCTGGATGCTATTCTGGCGTCTGGAACGTTTCTGAATGCGGTTTGCACTCGCCGAAGGGGTTGCAGGGGTAACCGGTGCAGATGTTACACCAGTTGTCGATGCCCCCACTGACGTTGGGCTGCCAGAGAAGTTTGGTTGCTGCTGAGTTTTTTGTTGCTGTTGTTGCTGCTGCTGTTGTTGTTGTTGCTGCTGCTGCTGCCCCGCTTCACCAGGAGCCATGGGCACTTTGTACAGCGGCCGGCAGAGACAAGTAGAACCTGACAAGACATGTTAGTACTGCGGTTAATGAGGATATCAGTGAGAAGGTATCTAGATGAAACTGATACTATTAATATGCTTACCTTTTGGTATTCTAACCATGAATGCATAGAGTTTCTGGCAGCTGCAGGTACCCTTTGGATGGGGGCATTTCTGGAGCGGACGACCTGCCTTGGGCACTTTCATCATGAGTCTGTCGAAGTGCTGGCATTTTGACGAGCGGTGTCCGCGTATGCATGGTTCGCTGTAGTGTTATGTTCGGTCAGCTGGTGTGTTATAACAAATAATTATTAAACCGTTTGAATAGTCGGTTTTATTATAATTGTACGGAATAGAGAGGAATCTAACCATGACCACTTGGCTCCCTCCTCGTCCAGAGGCATGATCGCGTTTCGTATCCTCAGGCTTCCTCCAGCTGGCTGCGGGTGCCGGCAGGCCTTCTTAACAGAACAACGGATCCCTCAAGCGCCACAGATCGCCAGGGCGGATAGGAAAGCGAGTTCAAGAATCTCTCTCTTGTTCTTCCTTTGCTTTTCCCTTTCTCTCTCGTCGACTGGCGGGACAGCTGGTTTAAGAGCGATCTGGACTCGTCGCTCTCTCCCTCGCTTGCTCGTTTCCTTGCTCCCTAACCACTGGTCGACTAGCAGGATGCCTGCGTGAGGCGCGGGCACAGGGCCGGGGGGGGGAAGAAATATGTGACGGCGGGCAGGGATGGCGGGAGTGATAACTAGCGAATGATAGCGCCACTGCAAACGAGAGCAACAGGTTCACTCTCCAACGGAGTCAACCCTCGACGTAAAAGAAATATCATACACTCATACAGTCCATACGCACAGCTAGCTGGCCAGCCGACCTCGCCGTCCTCGTCTTTGCTTCTAATAAAACGATCGAGAGGAAGAAGAAAAAAAAGGCGACGTCAAAAAGAAGTTGAGGAGCGGCGGCGCTAGGCCCGAAATGGAAGGCTATAATTAAAAATTGGCCACAGCTTTTTGTTTTTAATAATAGAAGGACGAAGACGGCGGCGAGAGACGCTGGAACCGACGACGAGGAAGACGACGACGACGGCAACGACGGCGACGACGACGAAGACGAAGACGACGAGGAAGACAAAGACGAATTGATGCCTGCGAAGACGGACTCGGCGATGAAGACGGCGGAGGAGGGACCCAAGTCGTGGCTCCCTGCGATCCCCAAGCCTGTCAAACGTCTCTTCGACCAGTTCCCGCTGGTGACCTATCCCCCCAACACCGCGCCGGCGAGCAGCTCCAGCACCGCCGGTCCTGCCTCCAGCACAGGCGCCGACACCAATGTAGGCGCTAACGAGCGGCCGGGCGAGCACCGGCTGTATATCTTCACCAGCGCGGACGCTGCTAGGAATGGACGGCCATCGGTGAACCCGCAGTGTCTCATGTGGCAGGTCAGCAATCCGTCTTCTTCTGGCGCCCGCAGTCTGCTGTCTGTTGCGTTTGATAGGCTGCCGGACTTGCATTTTGCTGACAAGGTAGAACAGGCATATCTCAGGTTCCGCGGGATAGAATTCCGTACGGTTCCTTCCAATAATCATGCTTCCCCCGACGGGGCCCTGCCTTTCCTTCTCCCCGCTGGGCCAGGAGGCGACTCGGAACCGAGCTGTGTCGCCCCCAGCAAGTTACAGAATTGGGCAGACACAAATGCAAAGCATCAGTATACAGAAGCGAAGATCAGTGGGGTTTTGAGGACCTACAAGTCACTGCTAGAACGCAATATACGCGATGCCTGGGTATGTACTATCCATCAGGGGGAGGCGACAAAGACGCCGGACAGCTTTAACTGACGCGGGAAACGTCATAGCTCTATACCGTCTACTTGGATAGTTCCAATTTTGAGTCTATCGCAAAAAAGGCATACGTGAACCCCTCCACAACGAATCCGCTGGTGCGCGCGACTCTCGCATATCAGCTTAAGGAGGCGGCAAAGGACCAGCTGCAGCGGAAAGAAACTTACATTGACCCAGACGATATACTCGCCGAAGCAAAGCAAGCCTTCAAGTCGCTCTCTTACCTACTCGGAGACAACGACTATTTCACGTACGGCTCCACACCATGCTGGTTTGACGCTGCTGTTTTTTCGTATACCCACCTAATACTCGACGAGACGCTCGGCTGGAAATTCAACCCGCTGGCATCATACCTCGAAGAACACCCCAACCTTGTACAACACCGCCAACGACTCTTAGACAAATACTTCTAGAACGACAAGACATGCATAATACATTCGCGGGAGGAACGGCGTTGGGGTGTAGCATATATTCATCGTTTTGTTTATCATTTTTTTATAGAGAGAGAGAGAGTCATTTCGTCGCATGTATACTAGCCAGCCATCAACATCATCATTACTCCTATCTTTTTGAATCTAGTCACTTTCTCTGGAAACACCCACCAAACCACACCCGGACGCCAATATACTTCGACGCCCGAGTCCCCAGAACAGGGGCAAGTTCCTCATCCAGCGTCACCTCCTTCATCTCCCCTACCAGCTCCAACCCAAACTTCGCAGCCTCCACAACAACCTGTTCTGCACTATGGGCATAGCTTGTCCCACGAACCTTCATCTTAGTCTGTGGATCGACAAATCCGGCCTGAGTGACGCCGCCCATTTCCGAATGCATGTTCGTAAGCAGCAAACCACCACCAGGCTTCAGAATGCCTGCCACGGCTCTGAAAAAGTCCTGCATCGGTACATGTTCCACCACTAGGGTTGATATGACTCCATCTGCTGCCAGCGCACTTGCAGGTGGCCCAGTAGGTCCCAGAATGTCATACAGCTCTAGCTGAACATTGCTCGCACTTGCAGTGCGTTTGCGCGCCAGCTCAAGCATCTTCGCGGACGGATCCAGGCCAACAATCATTGCCTCTGGTGCGCACTGCGCAAGGGGTAGTGTGTTTCTACCTGTCCCGCAACCAAGATCAACGTACTTCGTCTTCTCGCTTGGAGACTTGTTTAGTGACAGAAATGCTGGTAGTAGGGTCTTCATCTCCAATGTGTCCAGTGCCTGGAGGAAGTTCCCGTCCGTATCATATATCTGTGAACCAGTCAGCGGATTCGTATAAAAACCATTCGTCATCAGGCGTCTACTATGCATACCTCTGCCCATTGGTTGTATGCATCAATCGTGTTGATGTATTTGACCTCCCTCTCGGGTGCCGTTGTAGTCTCGTTCTGTGCCATGTTGGTAGTAGGTATCTAGATTTTAAGGCTGTACCTGAGCTCTCCCGCTTCTTTTTGTTTGTTTGCTCCGGCTGATTCTCAAGGGCCTCTACACCAGCGATGTTTCTCGTCTTTTATGCACAGCAGGGATTGGTGAAGGTATTGGTGTTGCAAGAAATACGAGTCTTTGACTCATGGATGACTTCCCTCTCTGGGACTCCGAACCTGCGCCCTGTAGTGGGTTTTTCGGCCAGGTTTTTGCTGGTGGCAACACACAAAGCTCCCGTCGACTCATTATTTGACCAGTTTATGTCCACGTATCTACAGCGCATTGAAAATAGGGGGGTTTTGTCATTATGTTGGAGAAAGTAATGAAAGAGTAAAAAGGGCCAATTCACCTTAACGCCGCGCGCGCGAAAATTAGAGACAAGAAAAACAAAGTCTTAAATACCCAAGCTGCAAGAATCAAAAGCAAACAAACAAGGAGCAGGGCAAGAATATATACAAAAACAAAACAATTAAAAGACAGCACTGCCAAATGGCGCTGTCTCCTTGAGGTCCTCTACCAGGTCTTCGACGTTACTCAGATACCTGCCAAGAAGATTCTGTTTCTCTTCGGTCGTTTTTGTGTCTGCACTAGCTGCAGAGCGCCTGCGCCCAGGAGCATCCACACTGCGTGACGTTGGGCCGCCATGTTTGCTTGGGCTGCGCTGTAGGCCAGCAGCTGTGTTAGGCGCGCTGGCATTCACAACTGGTAGCTGTGGTGTTTCAGGCATGAGATAGAAGTATAGGAACTCAACAAGTTTCAGCTTCACTTCTCGAGACGTAGATCGCAACTTGAATAGGGATGTTATCGTGAGAAGGCCGTCAAGCTCCTCGAATGTGCGGGTGTTGGTAGGCGTGTCGAGCAGGGCCGTAACCAGAGTCAGCAGAGTGGCAGACTGGATGGCAGGACAGTTCGCTGGCTCAAGGAGGTCTAGCAAAATGTTCATATATATCTCTCGGGCGAACAGAGCACGGGAAGGTGGGTGGAGGAGCAAGATTCCCTGGATAAGGTCGAGCGCAGACACGATGAGGAGGTCATTTGTGCCATTGCTTCCGCGACCAAGCAGGTGTTCGAGGCATGATATTAGGCGCAGAGCAACTGAGGTTTCACAGGTTAGCTTACGCGATAAATACTAACAAAGGGAAGACGCAGGATCGACACACCATTCCATTGAAAGCCATCTTGAAGCTTGTAGAACTCTCGGTAGGCTGGATCGTCACTCAGCTCGCTTGTTGACTTTGGCGGCGACGGAGCTGAATCCAGGGGTATCATGGACCGTCTCTTCTCGGCAGCCGTCAGCTTTGATCTCGAGAGGCATATCTGTGCCAGAAGTCCCTCGACCTGTCGGAGACCCTTGCGGATCTTGCCCTGGTCGTAGGAGGAGAGATAGTCGAAGGAGTGAGCGAGGAGAGCTTCCATCATGAAGCGCGTAGGCACTGGGAAGGGCGCTCGATGTGGTGTTTCTTCCTGACCGCCGTCTGTATCTTCTCGTGTATTTGTTTCTTCCAGAAGAGGCCCGAAGCGCCGTGATGTCGCAGCTGCAGAAGATGTCGCGCGTTTAGTCTCGATCTTATCTTTAAAGCCGGCGACGAAAGCAAAAAGATAGCTCGTTTCCGAAAGCGGCTAAGCGTCAACAGGCCGCCGTTGCCGAGGAAACAGGCACGTGATCTAAGCGCCGGCTGCTCGGATGAGGCGCGCTAAAATAGAAACAACGCAAGGGAAACCTCAGGGGTTCGTCGATCTCTATATCAATATTACTGGCTGGGTACGCACAGATGTCGACGAGGATATCACAGACCCTGCGTTTGGCTTGTAGTTAAGTGAAAATGTGCCCCGAAACCACCCCGCGGTAAATACACATACATTCAAGTCCCTTCCATCACCCAGTCTTCACCTGAGGCCTCAGGCATCTCCACCTCCGCGGCAAGAGTTGGCTGAGCAGCAGCAGCGGCGGGAGCAGGGTCATCGGCAGACTTTGCTGGGCCTTCTCGACGGAGATTGGCAGCAATAGCCTCCTCAAGGATTGAAATCCTCTCCTCTTTCCAGAGGAGTTGCTTTCTTTCGACAGCTGCCGCCTCTCGGAGACGGATCAGCTCCGCCGCTTGCGCATCCATGGAAAGGCTACGGAGCATCTGCCTCGTAGTCTCCAGCTTCTCTTCCCCCCCTTTCTTCTTCTCTATCTTTTCCTCTTTCTTCTCTTCCCCTTCCCTTTTCACTGGCCTATGCTGGGTGCCACGCCCCATCGCCACGCCTCGCCCCCTCGCAACCCCCGTCGGCTGTCCATGATGCCGGCACCCGCACTGTGGGCGTGGACCCCTTCCCCGATTTGCGGACTGGGCGAAGGTTGATCAATCGTCAGCCATCTTGATCCAAACACCATTACTTTAAGGGGGAACCCTTACCCTGGTCATGGCTTGAAACTCCACGAGGATAATAGAGCTATGTATGACGTATTAAAATAACGCCTGTTCCTGCGTTTGGAGATATATCAAAGCATACGTATGCAAAATTTGATTCGATTGCGGATAAGGAGAGAAATAAGGAAAGAAGAAGGAGAAGAAAGAGAGTGGAGAAGAGAAAGGAAAGGTGAGGCACGAAAAAACGCGCTAGGGTTTATTGCCCTTTGGGAATGCCTGTCCTATCAAAACATTGAGCGCCAGGAAAATAGGCCCATAGGCAAGCCCTCAAAGTAAACATTTGTGATATTGTTACTAATACAATCTAATATTCCACGGACAGTTTCTTCTTGGAGTAGCATTCCCTTGCTTTCGTTGCATCTACCAGTACTCCGTTTAAGACAATATATTAAGGAAAACCCCATTGATGATATAACTGTCCCTGATAGCGGGTATCAGCCGCCAAAGGAGAATATTCTAGCAAATAATTGTATAATAACAACCTATATTGATTATTAAGGGGGTATATTGTATTTGAACGTTGTTTCTATGACCAAATCTATCGCGTGGCGGATAGACTCCAAGATTAAATATTGTTTTTCCAGTAACTAGTTAGTTAGAGCTCTTCCTAGCACAATAGTGGTATATGTAAAGCTCAAGCATAGATTCAAAGTTGTCCAGTTACTATGCGTCGTGGTTTTCAGTTTATTTGACTATCCGCACGAGATGGGAGAATTATCATGCAAGAGTGTTTTCCCTTCGCTGGAGGCGTTGGGCCTCGGCTATGGAACAGCGGGACCTCAGTCACCTGATCGGAACGTAAAATTATTGTTCCTGAATTTCCTAATTCGGCTTAGGTACCTGTGACAGGCGACTCCACAATTGGTGGAAGCTTAAAACGACGTCCAGAAGAGAAGTTTAATCGCAAAGGTAAGCAACATCAATGCAGCGAGCGTTGATATGTGGTGAAGCTATCTGGAACCAACATTTGGTGTTGAGTGTCACGTTGAAAATACTGCCAAAGAAATGAGGCCATGGACGCAGACCGACAGAAAGGCCCCCATTCCAATGTCGAGGTACTTTCTGGCAATGTAATCGCCTCTATTTCTTGCGTGGTGTTATCCTATCCTGGATCTAGTTCCCCTGCTCGTGGGTACGGCCCGTGGACAGTGTATATACAGCTACCCAGGCGTTCTTAAAACCAATCCCCCGGCTCTATTCCTAAGGGAGGCATGCGAGACAAAGCCCTAGGCTCCTCTATCCAAATATCAGCAATAATATACTTATCTGAAGACGATACCCCTTGTTATTCCACATCTATCTACGGTATATGTGTGTGATGCATTTCTTATATACCTAGTCAGCGTTTGCCCACCTAGCACGTGGACACGACTCTGCAAGTCACGCGAGTTGAGTGTTACCCCAAACTGGAAATGGCAGCGCAACTCGAGGGACGAGGGGACATCTCACAAAGATCTCTCCTGTCCTTTGCTCCTGCTTCCTCCTCCCAGGACCTTACTCCCTTAAGAGATACATTAAGGGGCTGATTACTCGAGCTACTAGAGCAATACATTTTCTAGGAGACACATGGATGGCCCCAAGAAAAACCGAGTACGTCTCATTCCTCCGTGTCCATCGTATACTGGCGTTAAACTTAGCTTCCTTTTCTGCCGTGACAAAAAGCTCATGGACTAAGGGCTGGCCTCTAAGGAGGTCGAAAGCTACGTGAAGGTGTTCACTAGAAAGGAAGCGGATGAAACCTCACCCATAAATTGTAATAATCTCTGCAAACAACAGTTTACTAAGTTATGATAAGAGATAGGGCCTCCCAGGTCCCCCGAAATTTATATTACCTTACCAGGATGCTCGTCAACCTCGTGGGAATTGCAAGACTCTGCTACTAAATATCCCACATTGTCTCTCCTTCAAGATGTTAATACCTCAAGATCCAACTTGCACACTCTTGGGTGTAATTATCAAGAGCAGGGCATCTCAAGGCGATGGCAAGAGTGGATTCCACATATGCTTATGACATATTTAACTGGAATGTAGTGGTGATACTCTCACTGACTTCCGAGCCAGTTTCACCTACTATATGACACAAAGGGCTGACTGAAATTGACAAGAACTTCAGTCTTGGTGTCATCCTCTCACTTTTTTTTTTCTTTCTTTTTTCGTGGGATAACGTGTGGGCTCTGATCCCACGACTGACATTTACCTGTCAAACAGATAATTAGGGAAACGATTGAATTAGAGGGATATTATTCAATTGGCAGTAAGTGCGACATCTACCCTTCGCCAAGGCTTAGATGGGAACTTCAAACCTGCTGTGGGATTGACTACTAATGTAAGCTCACTTCCTTAGTTATCATTCTCAAAGGATGCACGAGGACGAATATTCCCATCATTGCTATTATGCAAACTCTTTTCTATCCGGAGAACGTCTAAAATGATATATCATGGGGCAGTGAAGCAGCCAGTCTCCCGTCACGCCATCATGCGCGATATAAATGGCTATTTTCCAGTATCAGCAACGTGTTAATTGGCCTGCTCAGCTGCTCGCTATGGCATCCTCCCCACAGCTCCACGCAGCACGCTACCCCGTTTTCTCCACGCCGAGCTAGTTACCCCTGATTGTTTATTGCTACGGACTGGCTGGGGAATCAGGCACATAACATCAAGCAAGCGAACGAACAAGACCACCAGCTTCCTGTCGCTAGTTATACCTGATTGCAGCCGGGCTAATAATGAGACTATTGGCAGTTTATAAACAACACCCACGGCATGAAACGTGTCGATGGATGCAAGTAACAAAGGAACTTACAAATTCTCTGGGCTTTAGAAGAAGCATAGAATGAGTTTAAACCATGGTACTAGTCATTGTTGGTAAAGATGCCCTTTATTTGAGGTATTAATCTGAGCTATCGTGTGCGTGTGACATTTCCTTAACGAGGAATGTTCGAGAATGAGGTATTTTGATGTCTCTTATAGCCGAAAGGACGTCGACTGTCGGCTGTGCTGTGCTGTGATGTCAAGGGAGGATCCATCTGCCTGGTGAGAAGGGGGAGGAGAAGCACTTATGGGGAATATGTAACGGTATTACTAGGGTAAGCCTGTAAATGACGTACACGCCTCGTTTGTGTAACAAAGAATCTGGTGTTGTAATTTGGGGTAACAATGTATCGTCATGTAACAGTACCGAACATGTAAAACTACGTACCCTCCCCAGCCTCGACTCCCATCACAACATCAACGACTCCGCGATCAACCATCGCCAGCTTCAGCTCGACGACGGCCTCAATCTCAGGCCGGCACCTTGCATTCCCACCTTCGCTTCGCCCGTCCACACGAACCATGCCAGAGCTGATCCCTGACCCTGCCCCCCTTGCCCTGCAGGGAAGCTCGAGCGACGAGAGCATGACCAGACCCAGACTGGACAAGAGGACGAGAAAAGACCAAGACGAGACCAACAAGCCACTAAGGCAACTAAAGCAACTTTCCGTCCTTTCACGCCCGCGCCGGCGCATCAAAGGGCCCCAGCCAAGGCTGCGAGAGTTATCCCTCTTGTACCTATACCTCCGCATGCCCGCAGACGCCGCCGGTGCAGCGATGTACCCGGTACTTAAGGCACTTCCGCTTTGGGCGAATGCTTATAAGCCCTCACCATGCAGCGCCAAACCGTGGGTTGACAGGCGACACGAAACATGTATTTATATAGGGCCGGGGGGATCCTGCATCCCCAGCCCGGCTCAGCTTGCCTGTGCAACTCTGCTTCACCTTTATACCTGGGGTCCCGCGGCAGCTCTTACTTGCGTCTTCCGCTCCATCTGTCCTGTGTCTTCAAGTGTGCGGAGAACTGCCTGGAGGTGACTTGAATAGCTGCCCAGCATGGCTGATGATAAAATAGGAGGGTGAGTGGCCAGCTATACGGACCGCCAAACTGCTCCCCTGCCCGGCTCCAGCTCCTTAGCTCCGGCTTTTGCGATAATAGTGCTAACCCAGTTGTCCAGGGCTGAGAGACGGGGTTCTCTCTTCAACACTGCCAAAGACAGTAAACAGTTTACAGACAATGTCACCGGAGAGTGCGTGGGCCTGATCTTCTCCCTCTTCTCCGCGGCAGGTTAACTAAGTGTGGCTATAGGATCAAGAACCCTCTTACGGAAGTGCCCAAGGACCAGCTGCTCGAGGATGTACGCAACTTTGCCCACCAGCATGGCCTGCAGGATATCATCCCCTTGCTCGAAAAGGGTGCTCTAGTCGCGCAGAACCCAAGGGACTTTGAGTCTTTGCCTGAGCTGGACGAAGATGATCGTATCTGTCTGCGCGAAGAGGTCACGCATCGCTGGAAACTCCCTTGGGGCCTGTACTATACGATCTTCCTCAACTCCATTGCCGCCGCCATCCAGGGATGGGATCAGACAGGTCAGTGCTCTTTGCTAGTTTCTCACGATAACCAATTATTTTAAGTAGTTATGCGCTAACATGGTGAACAGGATCAAATGGAGCAAACCTTTCGTTTCCTATCGAGTTTGGTATTCCCGACAACCCAGCCTACTGCCCTACCGATGCGATCTGTGAGAAGAATGCATGGATCGTTGGTTTCGTCAACTCCATCCCATATATCTCCATTGCTCTTTTGTAAGTTCATTCAACTTCCTTAAATTTTCGTAAACAATGTCTTTTGCTAATATGTAACCATTAGTGCTGGCTGGCTGTCTGATCCCATTAACGATCTGATCGGTCGTCGAGGAACTATCTTCATAGCGGCCGTCTTTTCCTTGCTCGCACCTATCGGATCCGCCCTCACTCAGAACTGGGGTCAGCTTGTTGCCTGCCGTATCCTTCTCGGAATAGGCATGGGCCTAAAGGAAGTTACCGTACCCGTCTTCTCTGCTGAAAATACCCCTGCCAACGTGCGAGGAGGTCTGGTCATGTCCTGGCAGGTCTGGACCGCGTGCGGCATCTTCCTCGGCACAATTGCTAATTTGGCTGTCGTCAACACTGGAAGAATCGCCTGGAGACTGCAGCTGGGCTCCGCCTTCATCCCGGCCGTCCCACTAGTGATTGGTATCTACTTCTGCGCTGAATCTCCACGCTGGCTGTTGAAGAAGGGCAAGGTTGCCAAGGCATACCGATCATTGCTAAGGTTGAGAAACACTCCTCTACAAGCTGCTCGAGATGTGTACTTTATTCATGCCCAGCTTGAGCATGAGCGTGCCCTGTTGGTGGAGACCGGTCTGATCAAGACGGACAACTTCTTCACCCGATTCATTGAACTTTTCACCATCCCTCGTGTCCGTCGTGCCACTCAGGCCTCTGGAGTTGTTATGATTGCCCAGCAGATGTGTGGTAGTAAGTTTGTCCCTACTTTTAGCCTCTATATAGATTTTAATTTGGAGATGCTAACATACTCATGCAGTCAACATCATTGCCTTCTATTCATCCACTATCTTCGAGCGAGCGGGTGCCAACAACATCACTGCTCTGCTGGCTTCCTTCGGCTTTGGTCTCGTCAACTTTGTCTTTGCCTGGCCAGCCGTCTGGACTATTGATACCTTTGGACGTCGTGGTCTTCTTCTCTTCACTTTCCCCAATATGTTCTGGACTTTGCTTGCAGCAGGCATGTCCTTTTATATCCCCGAAAGCAGCCCCGCACACCTCGGCCTTATCGCGACATTCATATACCTCTTCGGCGCCTTTTACTCGCCTGGAGAAGGACCAGTCCCCTTTACGTATTCGGCTGAAGTCTTCCCCCTCTCCCACAGAGAAGTTGGCATGGCCTGGGCTGTTGCTACGAATAACTTCTGGGCCGCCGTCCTGGCACTCACCTTCCGTCGCCTGGACCTTGCCCTGACCACGCCGGGAGCTTTCGGATTCTACGCTGGCTTAAACGTCATTGCCCTGGTCATGATATTCCTATTCCTATACGAGACCAAGCAGCGCACACTCGAGGAGCTGGACTATGTCTTCGGCGTTCCCACACGGACCCATGCGAAGTACCAGCTCACCAAGGTCCTGCCATGGTGGATCAAGCGGTACATCTTCCAGCGCAAGCATGCTGTGTGTCCAGAACTGTACCACCTGGACAGCATTCGTGAGCAGCCTGCCGAACACGACGGTGTCAAGCAGGTATAAGCGATTTAGTTACCGGTAATGCCAGGGGAGCGGTAGAAGTGGTTCAGGAGGGGTGAGGCATGGCAGCTGTTGCTGTTTGAAGCGAGTTTGAATTGATTTGATTGGATCTGGTTCTCAATGTAGCTATGGATTGAATATCTCAACGAGAAACGAACAAAGACACGATTTTGATTACTTATATCTATCTACTCCTACCAGCCTGCAGGATGCATCTTCGTACACTATGCCTGATCTGTATACTCATGGCCAGATCTCTCCTCCGCTTAACCGGAGACAGGGACAGGGACAGGGATAAGCAGGGCGTTTATCAGATTCTCCACACGCCAATTCGTTTCTTCAGCGAGCATTCTCCTGCATCTTCACAGCGTCAGACTGCTCGCCCTCTCGCTCTCACGATCGATGGCCGACTGCCGGTGTCCCCTAGCTACGTGTCAGGCCGAAGTTCGCACTGCGGAAAAAGCAAGTAACACCAATGTCATAGTTAGGCTGGGCCGGCGGTTTTGGTCGAACCTCGCTCCCTCGGCCAGCTGAACTCGCCGCCCGGTTCGACACCAATATATAAAAGACCAGACCTTCGACGTCCTCCTGACGGCTGTTCTTCATCGATCGTGTATTATCTGTCAATCCCCCTATCGACCTGTCTGACTGCGTATTAGCCTGACCATCGCAATGGCTGCCAACTTTCCTCCTCCACCAACACCTGCCATCGGTAAGCTACCAATGACTCAACCGCTGCCCTCCTATCTATCTATATGTAGATGCAACATCTCACTGACCGGCCGACTTACTCTAGACTGGACGAACATCGGCTTCAAAGTCCGAGAAGTAAACGGCCATGTTGAATCCCACTTCTCTCACTCCGGCGACGCCCAATGGTCGACCCCCCGTTTCGTCAAGTCGCCCTTCCTACAGCTGCACGGCATGGCACCGGCCCTCAACTACGGCCAGCAAGCATACGAAGGCATGAAAGCATTCCGCCACCCTCCCTCAGCATCCCATCCAAACGGCCGCATCGTCATCTTCAGACCAGACCGGAACGCAGCGCGCCTGCATCACTCAGCGCAGTTCGTCTCCATACCCCCCGTCCCCAAGGAGCATTTCGTCAACTGCATCGTTCGAGCCGTGAGTGCAAATGCAGAGTTTGTTCCACCCAACGAGACTCGTGCGGCGATGTATATCCGTCCGTTGCTGCTGGGTAGTTCGGCGCAGCTAGGCCTTACGCCGCCGGACGAATATACCTTTGTTGTCTTCGTGATGCCGACGGGCGTGTACCATGGTGTTCATGCCGTTGAGGCCCTGGTGCTCGAGGACTTTGACAGATCTGCCCCCGAGGGAACTGGTAGCGCGAAGCTAGGAGGGAATTATGCACCTGTGCTGCGCCATTCGGACAAAGCTAGAGGTCAAGGGTACGGCATCACGCTTCATCTGGATAGCAAGACGAGGTCTGAAATCGACGAGTTTTCGACCTCGGCTTTTATCGGGGTAAAGAAGCGTGATGGACAGATTACGCTTGTGTTTCCTGATAGTAAGAACGTGATTGATAGTGTCACTGCGGCTTCGGTCAAGGAGATTGGAGAGCACATGTTGGGGTACAAGGTCGAGAAGAGAGCTGTCAAGTATGATGAGCTGGGCTCGTTTGATGAAGTCATGGCTGCTGGAACGGCTGCGGCACTGGTGCCGATCCGAAGTATCACGATGAAGTCGAAGGGTGACAAGTTTGAGTATGACGCCGGTGCTGCCGGTGAGGGAGGAGAAGTGTTTAATAAGTTGATTAAGACGCTTCAAGGGATCCAGCTGGGCGAGATCGAGGACAAGTTTGGATGGCTGGTTGATGCTGAAAAGCTGGAGGATGGATGGACGGAGCAGTAGGCTACTACCATTACTTTCGTATTTCTTATGCGTCATGTCTATGTTAATGGATAGATAAAAAAAAAAAAAAAAATAAGAGTCTACATCTGAGAGAACAAGATAGTCATCCAATATGTTAAAATCTGTATTGAGCCTTATTCAGGAATACAGATAATGATATCATAAGGCAGCTAAGTTAGTTAGGTAGTTAGGTAAATGGAGGTATAAGATATTGTATATACAGTGGTAGATTGCACGCAGTCAAATAAATAGTAAATAAGGGTGTCGGTGTCAGCGTCAGTGTCAAGCGTCAAGGTCAAGTCAAAGGATGTATGCAATGCAACATGATTGGTGTATGCGATGGATGAATCCTACTCCTCATCACTCCGGAACCGGGAACCGATAAAGCCAACCAAACCAGCCAGTCCGCGAACCCAAGAGCAGCAAAATAAAGGGAAGTTGCAAGCAAGCAAGCAAGACAGGCCGGTCTATCAGGTATATCTTTGGGCGAAGGCAGAGGGTAGAAATGAAGATAACGCCGCACACGTCATGCATTGCAGAGAAGAAAGGGAAAAGAGAGACAAGGGCAGAAAAAGGTGAATTTTTTCCCATGTTCCTTTCGCTTCGGTATATGTTTTTGTTTTGATAAGATTTTGGTTTCTGGTCCCAGGAAGAAAAAAAAAGACATAGTTAAATACCCCATAAAGTCCTGACGTTCTCCTTGCCAGAACAAGCACGCTTCGAACTCGCCCTGCTGTCACCCATACCAGCAACCTTGTTGACCAAGAACGAGTCAGCAACCTGACTGTCGCTCAAAACAGCCAGAGAAGTGCCTTCATCCTCGAGGTCCCGCGCATCAAGGGCCATGAGATGGCGCACTTTCTGCTGCAGGTTGGTCCCTTCGGAAGTGGATGGGGCGCGAGTGCGTTTTCGGCAGTGTCGACTTGCCTTGCTTAGAGAGGAGTCCATCGGCAGTGAAAGGCCGGTTGCTAATTCGTACAGGCCCTGAATGGCAGCGGCGTCAGGATCAGATGGGGTATTAATGGAGAAGTTTGAGAGGTCTGGAACGGTGCTGGAAGCAGTACTGAAAGCGCTGCTGGTGCGGACAGGTGGGGAAGGGTAGTTGCTGATGTAGCTTGGCTCATGCTCGTCGATCGGAGTCGCGATAGCGAGGGGCTTTCTGTTTTCTTTCAAACAGTTGGTTGGCTGGGATGTGGGAGTGTTACGTCGAGTTGGTCTGGTTGCGCAGTTCATGGAAGTGACAGAAGAAATTGACGAAGATCGAGAAGAGCGCGAAGACTGGGAAGAAAACGATAAGGATGGTGCGTCGGAGGCCATAGACTCGGGCGACGAAGTGAATGACGAAGAACGAGCCAGAGACGAGCGTCGTCCCTGGAACGATCCTGATGATGAACAGTCAAAGGAAGGTTGTTTGCTAATATACAAGGGTTGCGTGGGACGTTGGTCCAAGGTGGTCCGTTGTACAAAGGCCGTCTGCGCCTGCGAGAGAGCAGAGCAGATGGACGGACGACACGCACTGATGCTCACTGCAGGAGCAGGCGCGGTCATACCGACTTGCGGAGTGAGTTGCGGAGTAGGGAGAAGTCCCAGCCTTGGAAGTGGTGGAAGAGTAACACCAGACAAGTCAGCTGCCGACGGTCTTCGGGGCATCTCAGCAAATGGAAGTCCTGACGAAGGGCTGTCGCAGCTAGCGGGACTGCTTGGAGCGGTGGAAGTAGATGAAGGTGAAGAGGATGAGGAGGAGGCAGAGGAGGCGGAAGAAGAATCGGCAGGAGAGCCGACGCTCGACAATGACCACGGACCCTCTGCTCGAGAATCGAGTGTGTCGAGCTCCGGTGTGAGGATAGGGATGACCGTTCGCCAGCACATCCCATCAGCACTGGGGATGCCGCTGGCGTTTGGCGTGTACTTTAGAACAATATCATTCCAGCGCTGGAAGACGGCATCCGATATGTGCAGACGCCAGTCAACAGCCTGGAGAAACATGAGTTCATTTTGGTTGATTTCAGCGGTGTTAAGGCCGGAGATCTTGCTCCAGGCACGGGCGGAGTAGTTTCTGTCTTGCAAGTACTTTGAAGCAAGGATGAGAGCAGACAGGAACATGCGCCGGCCACATTGCATGGCGCGAGAGTGAGACTGCTGCAGTTTTGGCTGTTCCATGGTGAAGTCGATGGAAGGCACATGCGGCTTGATGAGGATCAGATAGTATAGGGCAACCTGCAGAGTCGAGTAGCTGGTTCGGGACCTGCGGAGAGTTTCCTGGATGAACGTCCTGAGCGGCAGGACGCCCTTGCACCCGAGAGTCGACTCGGCGCTTCTCGGCGCCGCAGCCACAGATAGAGGCCATATAATCTCAACTATCTGCGATGCGGAGTCTACAGGACGTTAGATGAGTTAGGTAAGCTTGGGGAGCGGCAAAAGTGTAACGTACCGACAAGGCTATCGACGAAGTTGGTTTTCCTCTCACACTGGCGAACCAAGGTAGGAGGAGGACGGGTAGCAAGAGTCCGTCTCGGGTGGTGTCTCGTCTCAGCACCCTTTCCAAAGCAAGTCTTGACAGCAGCCTTCTTGCGCTGCGCATCAGCGGTCCCCTCATTTTCCCAGATAACATCTGTGGTAGACGAAGAGGACACGACGGAAGGCTGAGCGGAGACAGCATCAAGTGAAAAGATTGATGAGGCGGAAGGGGGAGCGGAAACGGCGAGCGAGGCAGCATAGGGACAGGTCTGGTGAACCGGCTTGGAGAGACCTGGGTTCACAGGATTGAAACCCAAGACATCTACAAACGCCGACATTCTCTAGTGTATGGTAGTAGGAGCTTGTAGGTAGGTATGTGTTGCCGTGTTGTGTTGTTAGAGTAGACCGATGAGCGATAACCGTGTAGAAGGGGCAGCGTTAGACGGGCCCGTCTTTGTGGTGACAAAATCCGGAGGCGACGGGGGAGCCTTATATTCAAACCAGATGCACAGCCAGACTGACGGTTGACGACCGTGGATCTAGTTATATAGAAGTATGGGGTGTGGTTTCGGTATGGAATGGTATGAGTGACTTAGTGAGTCACTTAGATGGTAGGCGGTAGTTTGATCGAAGGAGGCAGAGGTAAAGTAGGTAAGGTATAGGTTAAAGTAGATGAGTCCCGATCACTGCACCAGGATTCCAACGAGCGAGACGAGAAGGACGTTGACGATGACGATGATGAGAGCTAGGCAGTTCCAGTCTTATGCAGGTACGACGCGGTCAAAGAGCTATATAGCAGCAGCTAGGTGGCGTGCCAAATAGATGAGTCTTCTTTGAACGGGGGCAAACGGCGGCCCGGCACTTAGACGGAGGCAGCAGTCATCATGACAGTAGTCGCAATAATAGTAGTAATGCTCGTAGTAGTGGAATGTTCTGGGCAGGTGATCGGGCTCGGGGTTGGCGTCGTTGGGGCCAGGAACATCGTTACCTGGGGGCAGTGAGGATGGCGTGGTCGATTAGGCAGCACCGGCACCGACTCGGGCGGCGGTTATCGTGAATCGACCGACCGATGACAGTAGGCGATGACGGAAGAGGAAGAGGGAGGCTGAGTAAATGTGAGTAATAGGAAATGTGAGTAAGGGGAGAAGAAGAAGAAGGGGAGAAGAGGGGAGAAGAGAAGAGAGGGAGCTATATTAAGGACATGCTGGAGACGAGATCCAGAGCAAGGACTTTGATGATGGTTTATGACTCTGGGGGTGAAATCTGCAACGAGTGGCGAAAGGCTGTGGCGAAGGGGACAGAAAGTGAAGGGAAGTAAAAAAGGCTTGGGCGGCCGTCAGGAGTTTAAGAGTGGAGAAAGGAACCAGAGACCAGAAGAATGGATGGCGTACCTCGATGAGTCAAGAAGTAGAAGGCCGAATAAGCAAGCAGTATAAAAGGCAGCAGTAGTAAAGGAGACGAGGAAGAGAGCTTTCTCTTCTGGCAAAAAGGAGCGATTAATGCGGCATTAGCAGGATTAGAAGAGGCCGGTGAAGCCGTGAGTAAGTAGATAAAAATAGGCAGAAGAAGAGAAGGGAAAAAAAAGTATAGAAAAAAAAAAGAGAAGAAAAAGGAGAAGAAGCAAGAGACGGTATAATACGTAAGGTCTGCGTCTTTTTGATGTCTAGATTAAAAGGACCCGTCAGTTAGCTTTTGGCAGACAGCAGAGAGAGAGAGAGGAGGGAGGGAGGGAGGGAGAGATGAAGCAACGGGAGGAAAAAGAAGGGGAGGCTTTATGTGCTGTTAATGGATGGGATGACTCGAGCGAGGGCGGACGCCCAGCTTAGGCGCCAGCCCAGCCATCCCATCCACTGCCGTCGAGTCGGCCGCCCAGCCATCGAGCGAGCGAGAGCAAGCAAGCGGCGCGGGCCAGGCACCAGGCAGGCAGCAGAGCAGAGTAGAAGCGCCAGCGGAGTGTTGAGTCAAGCAAAGCATCAAGTGACCTCGTCTTCGTCTTCGTCTCCGTCTCCGTCCGCCGCGTCTCGGGCTGATGGAGAAGGGCGCAGGCAGCAGCAGCAGGAAGAAGCATGAGTTAAGGAAGCCCAAGGGGGACTGTCGACACTGTCTTACCTGACACAGACCTCAGCCGGCGAGGGTTGGCGAGGTCATCGAACCAACTCTCGCGAGCAGAATGGCGATGAAGAGTGGAGAGAAGATAACAGCAAGGAGAGCGGAGAGTGTTGACCTTGATGTCGATGTCGATGGCGATGGCGATGGCGATGTTGATGTTGTTGATGTTGTTGATGATGATGAAGTTGACGTTGATGAAGTGAAGTCGAGGAGGTGAGGTTCAAGAGGCCAAAAGCGGAAAAGCGGGCTGAAGTGGCAGAAAAGCAGCTTCTTGCTCTCGATCTCTCTCTCTCCCTCTCTCTCTCTCGTACTCTGTGTTATCGCTGTTATTATTATTACCACTATTTTACCCTTTGCTGCCAAAGTTTGGCCTCAAGCCACTGCTGACTGCTGACTGGCCCTTCCTGAATCTTCCTTGCCGGAGCGACTTTGCTTTTGCGGGGAAAGTCGGTCGGCAGCGATGTCACCGCAAAGTGGCCACCAGGCAGGGAGCCTGCTTGGTCGAAAGGCTGGGCTGTTTGAGTTAGTAAGTTGCACAGTCTCGACTACAGAGGATAATAATAAGCTAAGGGATCCCGGGCATAGGTAGCTCGTCAAGATGAATTGATAGCTAACTCGTTAGTTGGTCAACGACGTCTCTATCTCTCTATTCCTCGGACGGGTAGCTGTGCCGTGGGAGGAAAGAGACGGACTCCAAGGGTACCTAACTCGCCCGGGGCGAAGCTGCACGCATCATTCCACCTGCAAGACATCCATCCACCTCTGGAGTAAATATATAGCTACGTGCTTTATCTTGGTCTGGCACTGGTGATACGTAGCTGGTCTCTTAATCCCCCATTATAGACTGATGGGGTGAACCCCTACCAACCCCAGTCAAGTGATGTTAATACGTAAATACTAATGACTTGTTTATATCGTAGGTCCCTGATACATGGACTTTTCGCTCCTCAGTCAATACGGTTTCCAAATATTTGTCCGACTATCCGTAGGTAGAGGTATATCTACTGGGACTGGATAGAGATAACAAGCATGCTATGCGTCTGATATGTGAAAGATATACTCACTGCACCATGTTAGTTAGCCACGAGTGGGTCAACTACAAAACCAGGCTTATCTACAGGAAGCAACACTCCTAATTTCAGAGTGAGGCTACATTTGTGGTAAAACCAGTCCTGCTAGTCTTGCTTCGAGTTAGTTATGCCCACGGGATAAGAGTTATGCAACCCGACGTGCTACGTCGGTCGGCCGGTCAGAATCAGAGACGTCGGTCAGCGTCACTCGATGAAGCACAGAGAGACGCAAGTGAAAACTCTGGCTATCATCCACCAGGACATAGTTCAGCAACGGTGTCGCCGTTGTGGTTCGTCAAGAGTCAAGAATTTTGCCTCCCCATAGCCTCACTGCATGGCGTTTGCCAACCAACAAAGAAACTGTGGTTTTTTCTCCCCTTTCCTTTCCGATCGAGTGCCTGAAAATAGAACTTGTCTTCTCAATAATAGTAACTAAATGATGATTACTTGTTTGCTCAGACAATCCATCACGCTTCAATACTTGCCGTACGCTGAAGAAAGATGAGTAAAAATGGCGGGTCGACCCAGCGCGACTTCTCCGCCCACCAAGTTCCCCCGCAAAAGCGAAGTCACTCTGGGTCACGCCAGCACTTCCCACCTAAGTAGGTTAACACCCTTACCTAAGCGGCTTACCTAAGCAACTTGCACCCACAGAGTGGCTTCCGAAAGCTTCCGTCCCTTGTCGGCCGGGGCCGGAGCCGGGGCACGCGAGGCTTAGCAGTCACGTGGAGCACCATGTTATGTAAGCAATACTAGGCCGAAAGAGGCATCACGGCCGTAGGTCCCACTTTTGCGGCGAGATAGCCAATAGACAGTAAAGGTTTAGTCAGGTTCTACATCGGGTTAGATCGGCTATGAGATCGATCTAAGTATTAGATAAGCAAGGACAAGGGCACAGCATCTATAGAGCTGGAAGGGCAGTAACTGCATTACATCCTCCCAGCAAGGGGAGCGATAGCCATGTAGTAGTTTTGTTAATTTCATATTGATTGACAGCCTAGTCGATGGACAGAGCATATCAATCACTCTCCACCGAATTTACGTGTGACGGGGTAAATGAACACCCGCCAAAGAGGTTGATAGTGGGCAACTAACCAACTTGAAGCTTAACCAGACGTCAATATCATGAAGTTTGGCTCTTGACGACAAGCAAGAAGAAGCAAAGGATGGTCAGCTTGGTTTCCATCTCAAGGCCAATAGTTATCGCAACGCTCACGCCGAACTATTTTTGTGCAAACGGGTTTTACTCGTATCTAGCTATATCTTACGGGTACGAATTGACCAAACTATCCATCTATTTCCAGGTATCGATTTTCCAAAGCAGTACGAGTAAATACTAGATTAAATGTCTACTAGCAGTTATTATAGTATAATGTTCACATCCCCCCCCAAAAAAAGAGGTCTATGCCTTTTGCTTCCCCTTGCAGGTCGCCTTGTGGTTCGCCCAGTCAAGACGTTGATGTTCAGTTCCACAATACGCTACCTTCTTACAACCCAGACATAGCTTTCCAGGGGCAGAGCATACGACACATTTCTTCTCCGGACCCGTCTGTGGCTCTGGTTTAGGGTTGGGCTTTGGGTCTGATTCGGACGAACTTGGTCCTGCTGTGTCTTGCCGCTGCTGTTGACTTGCGGCTTGATTAGAAGCTTCACCTTCATCACTTACATTTTTATCCTCTGGTTTCTCCTTAGTAGTAGTAGTAGTGTCCATCAGTTTCGCTGGATTCCCATTGATGTATAGCAGTGGCTCGCTAGGAGGACTAGACTCTTCGCCCGACGCTTCCTTTTGTTGTTCCTGAGAGCCTGCCTCTTCTTGTATGTCAACGTCAACGTCAGGCTTGCCTGCAACGGATGACTTCCCATTATCTGGAGCTTGCGTCTGTGGTTCATGACGGGCCCCTGGTCCATGATCCTTGTCCTCGCCGAAATCATTCTCCTTCGTCCAGCGAAGGGGGCTCTGTTCGACGTGTGCGGCCCAGTCTCGTTTCTCCCCCTCGGACATCGTGTATGTGAACCATTCTGGAAACCAATCTCTTCGACGTCTCTCCCGGTGCCAAAGCAGACCAAGCTCAATCTCACATTGCAAAGAAGCCATTTGACGAAGCCATAACAGGCGGGACTGGAAAAAGTACGGATATTAGTTAGATAATCAAGACAGTGTAAGGTCTTGTTAGTAGTGCGTGCTTAATGAGCAGTTAGACTTACTCGTTCATCTGCGCTCTTTACTTTCAGGTTCAACAGTGCTATAAGTGTGTTCAGGAGAAGAATGGTGACCACAATGATATATAGAGATCGCAACGTTCGAGCGGCCGCTGATGACCTTTCCCACACTTTCAAGGCATCATAGTCAGAAGCCATGAACTTGATTATTTCCGACATAGACAAGCCAAAGTCCGAGAACGGTGTCTGGTCTATCCCAGTCGAATCGATATTCCGAAGCAGCAAGAAGGGAACAAACGTGAAACCCAAGACAATTAACGCAAGTAGAATCAAAAAGGGTAAGACACCATGCAGCATCTCCGTCAGCAGCAGCAGTAACGTGCCTGTTGCTTCATACACCCTCAGCATTAGAAGAGCTGCAATCCATAGGAGGAGTGTCGAGAATGCCAGGAACGCCCTAGGCGGTGACCGGTTTGAGACAACAAGGCCGAACGTTGTAATGCCTAGGATAACAGCTGCCAGGTCAATATAGTTGAATATGGAGCGGCGGAAAAGCCGCGGAACACGATACGCCTGTCGAGCTTTTATTAGGAAGATGTAAGCTGCAAAAATAGCTTCAATGCTAGCCAAGGCCTTGATGGGTGTCGTAATTGATGTCACGCTGAAATAAGAATCGCCGTCGACTTCATCATGGAAAGTAATGTCAATATGCGAATTGCGGCCTGTTAATAGGATGCTAACGACAAGGTGGACTGTAAAGAGTATCAGCATCGGACCAGCAACGCGAGTCAGATACACTGAGCGTCCAAAGGTTCGCATCTTCCATCTCAGCAGCTTATCCAGCCAGATAACTCTCAAGAATAAAAATTGTGTCTCCCGGTCCTTTAAGTAAAGGATCTCCTCCACCAGTCTGGTGAATGGACTAGTTGGACCCTTTCCACTCTGTTCAACATAACGTAATATAGCCGATTCCCAGGCTGCAAGATTAGGATCGGGATATGTTGCTCGAATAAATTCCCAGTACGGGTCAGTATCAGAATTCGATACGGGAGGTGGTTTAAAGAGACGGTGGTTAAAAGAAGAAAACCCAGGCAGGGGTAGGGTTACCACGCTAGAGTTTGCCTCGAGATATTCGTTAGTCGAAGAGATGAGCGATAACGAAGAGAGAAATCCACCAAAAAGCCGCCGCATAAACCACTGAATGTCGTTTAGGAAGATCCTGGTCTGCACGTGTTCCAAGCCCGATTTAGCATCTCGAATTAGAGTATTGCTGGCACTAACATCCACTGGGCCAATTTCCACAACGCGGAAAGGCAAAAGTACAACATGCCGCATGAATGAAAGGGTTCCAAAGGGCCGGACGTGGCAGGCCAGGGGAAGAGTACAGGCTACTGACTGTGCATTGAATAATAGTTTGTCTTGTGATGACTGATGTAGCCTCCGGAAGAAAGCATCCACATGTCTAGTGCTCTGGGACCGCCAGTCCATATTGCAAGCTGCAGCAAAAGTGCTTGGGAACAGTGGACTCATGCCATTGTAACTTCTGTCGTCATATATCATACTGAAATAAGATCCAAGAGCATCCATATATCGTCCTCCACCGAAGAAAATTTCGTTGGCGTTGTCCCCGTTTCTAAGGCCTCGGAGGCCGTATGAATGCCACATTGCATGCTTGGCCACAACATAGTGTGAACGGTTCCGATGACCATAGTCAAGCGCATCTCCCCCTGCGCTAACAACAACAGGTGGTAAATATGCCCCAAATGAAGTTGAAGCTATTAGTAGTGGGTTGGGAGTTGTCATCCAGCCACCGGGAAGAGTTCCATGTTCCGCTTCCTTGATTATAAAGGTATCATACCAGGCATCCTCTTCAAGGAAGTGTGGAGTGATGACTGTGTGTCGTGGCAGCGGTAGTGGTGCTCCAGAAAAGGATCGACCAAAGGAAGTATCCTTGCTGGAAAACACGGAGAGAATATAGTGAGGCTCTTCTCTATATACTGCAATCTTCTCTGATCCCGTGTCTGATGAGAGTATAGTTTCTGAAACATACAAAACACGAACTATACCAGGTGTAGAACGATATCTTGTAACTTCGCGTTGAACCCAATTCCCAATAGCGATAATGTAGTATTTGTACTTCATAACGACGCCAAATAGCGAGACTGACTTTGTCGAGTCCCAAGAGAAAGGAGTGAGCGACGCCAAAAGAGGCACATGCTTTTCTCGTAGTTCAGGAGTCGATGGCATATTAGCTGTAGAATTACTACTGCGGAACGAAAATTCGTAGAGGAAATCCTGCCTTAGTCTATCGTCTGCTGACATTTGCGGGGATAACCCAGATTCGTGAACAAACCCACGATCGGGCATGAAGGCAAACTTGACGAATGGGGTCTTCTCTGAGGATCCAGGACCCTTTAAGACCTTTGAAATGCTGTTGGTGGTGGTATCGAAATAGTCTTCAATCTGTTTGATCTTGTCATAAATAGTTGGAAGAGGAATCACCGCCCCTAGTACCCCCAACACTTCTCCGGTATCCGGGTGTTCAGTCGTGGGTGAAGCACCAAAAACGGTAAGGCCCGTCTCATTGCTGCATCCTATCTGGAGTGTTACGTAGCCTGGCCAATGTACATTCTCCGCTTGATAGTGGTATATAAGTTGTAGGTTAAGCGTCAGGAAAACGTTCACTACAACGTATCCAGCGGTTGCAGTAATAATGGTAACGACCTTTGAAGATGGCGAAAATCTGCAGTGGTGGACCTGTTTTGGGATGCTATCTCGGACGTCTGTCAATTGACCATTAATAACCCATTGTCGGAGAGTGGCTACCTCAACACCTGGTAGTTGGGCTGTACCAAGCGGCTTCAGAGTGGGAGCTGTGAGATCCCAGTGCGAAACCAGGCCATCCTCAAAATGCACGAACACCATATGGCAACCATCGGGTGACACAGTCACGATGCCTCGAAGTCTTAGGGCACCCTCAATCCCATCACAATTAAAGTGTACTTTACCATCAGAAGAGAAAACCAAAGGGGGGCTCGTCTGATTCTCTCTGGAACCTGCTGTCGATATTGCACAGTGAACAGCACGATCAGCGCTAAGGGGCCGAAGAAAATGTAAGTCGCGTGAGAAACGTGCGTTGCCAAAGCGTACTGCAAACCGACTGGACTCTTGTAATGTTCGAATGTCGTATACCGCAATTTGCTCCACTTGTCTCTTCTGAGAAAATCCACCATATTTGTGAGATTTGTAGAACATGTGCTCCCCGTCATCAGATTGCACACCATCATTGAGTGAATACCAACTGTCTGTATTAGATGGCGGCTTGCGTCTGACCCATCCATGTTCTGATGTCACTGTCCAGGCCAGAACCCCACCGGTTGGAGGTTTGCAAAGGATGAAGACATGGGTGCCGTCTTCCGTGATCGCACCGCTGACTTTGGTCCTGTCGGAGGCATAGAAGCTGGCAGAGGGTGACGCAGTAACGTCGAAGCTAGTCTTTGACGTCCAGACTTGTGGAAACTGTTCACAGAGCCGGAAGATTGTGACGGTGATTATCCTTGCAGAGGAAACCGCTTCTGCCACGGCAAGATGAGAGTTGCCAGGTGATGGTAACAGACAAAGCGATACATCTGCGCCATCTCGATTCAGTGCTAAGGCCGAGTTTGTGGATAGAAGGCGCTCGGCATCCGAGGGCCGTGAGTAATCCTCCTTCCAGACGGCATCAGTTCCAATCAGCTCACGCGAATGAACAGGTAAAGTTGGAGGGGCCATTCAGCCAGACACCCTGGAGTATGCGCAGTAGTAATTTGGATATAGATGATGGAGCGATAGAACGAGTTATTGTGAGCTTGTATCCCCTTGCAGGCCTGCTCGGGGAGTTGCCTCCAGTTATACTCGTTAGTTTTCTCTCTATATGCTCTAGCAGTGGCGTGGCTGAGCAGAGGTCACCAAGTTAGGGACGGGTCTGTTACCCGTCCATTTCAGACCAGGTTCTTTTTCTCTCTTTTCTCATTCTTGATGGACAGACTAGGGGTCCCATCTCACTCGAGCCTTCTCGGGACTTTGGATGCACAGGAGGTTCATGGCTGCCTTTATATTTTTCCGCGCTCCAATTGGCTGGAGGGTCTTATTTTTCGTATGTAAGACGAGGCTGAAAAGGCAACCAGATCAGGGGCTCGTATATGAATGATCGGGCTGCAGCGCACTCCGTAACTTGGTTTTGCCCCCTTGGATCCCTGAATGCTAGAAAGGCCTGAGCAAAAAGATCAGCATCGTAAGGACATATTAATCGAGGTTTCGTTCGGTAGAATATGCATATGCCTTGTTGGTTGCTGTGGTTGCTGTAAATATTTAAGAAAGAGGCTGAAAAACAATGTTTATCACGTGTCTGAGACGGGGCGGGAGCTAGTGCCTGATGACTAAATAGGCTAAACCTAATATGGAAAGTTTGCCAAGAGCAGGCCAATAACATCGCAGCGATTGAATAAGAGCAGCCAATAGATAGCCTTATGTAGAAAGTCTAAATATAAAGAATTACTATTGGTCAAATGTATTGCGATGACTCAGCTGACTCGCGCCTAATGGAAGCGAAACTCGACGAGAAGCAGGAAGAAGCAAAGCTGGTTAATTGGATATTCTTCACATTTAATGGAAGGAATTCTCCCAAAACATATATGTCCCTAATATGATAAAAATAGAAAAGATAAAAGGAGAAGATCATTTCCAGTCTTGCAATGCGCTAGTTATGTAGTCGCAGCCTACATAGGTGGTTCAAGATGGACAAAAGATGACAAGTATGTCCCTGGATGGGCTCGTTAAGGGAACGAAAGATATAACTATATATACACCGGACGGAGGGGTATATCCAACAACCAGCATTTATTTCTGATATTTACTCCTTATTTTTTTCTTCTTTATCCTCCTTGGATTGAGTATCTGACAGGATCTCCTTGACACTTGTCCCCGTTGCAGCGGCCACCAGCGCCCGGCCGGACTGCAGCACTACCGGGCCCGTACTGGCCATGATCAGAATGGCGATGAAGACGGTGCACGCTGGATCAGCATAGTACTTCGGATGAGGGCTGCCATAGTGGTTATGCTCCGAGTCGTGATGGGGTCGATCTTCAGGTGAGCTCTGGGTCGGCACCTTCCAGATAATGGCCGCCGAGACTATCACGGCCAGGTTGTTGAGAGCGTCGGCAGCGATGTGAAGGAGAACTGCTTTTATGGAGAGAGCTGTTCCATGGGAAAGCTTCTCTTCGTCACTTCTTATATCGTGATGATGTTCATGAGGGTGAGCATGGGGATCATGCTCGTGGCTGTGGCTGTGACCATGACTGTGACCATGACTGTGACCATGGCTGTGGCCGTGATGATGATGGCCGTCCGCTCCGAGAATACAGGCACAGACTACGTTGGTTAAGATACCGACACAACCTATTATCAGGACCAGCTGTGGGTTGGCGATTTCTATAACGAGAAGTCAGCCACAGCACGCTAAATTATGAAGGACCGAACGAATCGACAAGGATGAGGTACCATCAAGATGGACAAACTTCTCCAGACCCTGCAAGAAAATTGCAAGCCCCAGAGCTAGCAGGAAGACGCTGTTGAAAAAAGCAGCGAGCAGAGGCAAAACATGGCGCCCGTCCTTTTGGTCGATCCGGATAATTGCGGTGCGGTTTTCGGCGGCCTCGAGTTCGATGCCCGTCTCTTCAGGGATTATGTCCCGCCCCAACGCAGATGCATGCTAAGTTGCGTTAGCTTGAATATTAAGAAGACGACGACGAAGAAGAAGCATATGAAGAAAGTGAAGAGATGTGAGAAGAAAGCTGTTATACCTTCTGAGCGAGGTATGCGATGACAAATGATAGGAGGTCGCCTGTGTAATGGAATGCATCTGCAATGAGGGCGAGAGAATGGGTCTTGAACCCAACGGCCAGCTCTGTAATGAGGAAACAGGTCGATATTGCGATCACCAGCAGCAGCCGGACCTGGACCGAGATCGAGGGCAGGCCGCAAGTGAAAGCCATCTCACAGTGCAGGGCTCTTATTCCCAGATGGAGAATAATAATAACAGCGTGAGTATCAACAGTCGCAGCGCCAACTCGTCATGAGAAATAAGCAGATTCTGCAGGGCAGCTCTGTTATACTTTGTCCTTGCATGGTCAGCGACGACTCCAACGGACACAGGATCCTCGTTATACTAACTGGCGGCTGGATGTATTATTATCAACGGATATGCGTCTTCGGGTGAATCAAAGCCAGCGAGATCAACACCGATATATTTCGAAGAATCAGTGACCAGCAAAAGAAACAACAACACAGGATCAAACGGACATGATATATATAACGATGTAACTAGTTCAGGCAGCCAACTCCCCTGCCCACCCGCGAATACACGGAGACGAACAGCTGAGATGGATGTGTCTACGTACATGAGTATTTATTATTCGCTAATGCAAGCCAGCCCGTGAGTGTGTTTGTCTATGGCTCAAAAGAGGAAGGCAAGACGGGTGCAACAACGGCTTCGACTGCGTGTAATCGGTCGTTTCTCGAATTTGCATGGATCCCAGCTGCAAGGATCCATGGAGATTGATATACTAACGAGTTATCTACACGCCGATACATCCAGACCGTCTCCCAGCTAGCCGACGAAGCTGCAGTTACGAAGTATAGCTAAAGTCACTGCCGGCTGGTACTCCACCCAGTTAGTTAACTAAGGACTTAGTTCGTGACAGGATCCCCCCCTTCAAGCGAAAATTGCAGGAACCGATCCATAACTATAAGCTTATCCGCTGGCAAAGCGTTGCCACGAGCCATGTGACCCGTGTCATATACCCTTAGCTCTATGGTTATTTTCAAAACTCTTCAAGTCTTAAGACTTGTAGCTAATGCAAACATGTCATTTCGATTATAGGTACTTGGAGAAATTTGCTGCGGCTAAACCTGGCGTCCTCAAAAAAGCCTCGGTCATTTAATATTCTACCACTAGAGATACCTGTGGAGGAGGAGGCTTTGCCTCACTATAAGCCGGAGTATTATTACCCAGTCAATATTGGAGATATATACAGTACAAGACCAGATACCAGGTTACGGGCAAAATTGGCTATGGGGCTTATTCAACCAGTTGGTTATGCTGGGATCTTCAGCTTGTGCTTTCATTAACTACGAGTTTAACAAGCTCTCCCTCAGCAAATGGCCACTCTTAAGGACAAAAAGTACAGTGCACTAAAAGTATCTACATCACTGCCAAAATTTCCCACGGTAACTGATCGTGAGTTAAAGATCTACAAACACCTTACAAATATCAATTCTGCCAATCCATCTCAATCGCTAATCCGGCAGTTGTATGGTTCATTCCATATTCAGGGGCCTGTTGTTGTTGATATTTGGAACCTGGTGGGGTTGGTACGTACTGCTCTTGTGTAGCTGCCGTGTTGTATTGCTCTGCTAATTGCTTGCTCATAGATCTAGGACCTCTTTGAAGGATAGCATCTGTTTGGGGATATATTCAACACTAAAAGGTGGTCATGACTGCTTCAAGCATCTGGCACTCATGGTTGCCTTGATTGGGGTCAGCGCCGAGCGAATTTGTTAGGCATAGTGAGACAACCGAGCAGTGTTTTGACCCAGGTGGTATGCAACCTTCCTTCTCTCCGTATCGTTTTGGAGGCCTTAACTAGTTGCAGCTTCAGTGCTGACACGCAAGTAGGTCGCTATATTGCTCATAAATATGCAGCCATACCACCGCTCTCCCTGGATGCGCGACTATCTGGGCAAGAGAAAGAATCGTTTATTCGATTTATGAGGTCGATGCTCAAGTTGCTGCCAGATGAACGCCGCACGGCAAAACAGCTGCTCGAGGATCCATGGTTTGATAACTTCTAATGAGAAAGAGATTTACTGAGTGAGAGTTCTCATAAGTACTTACTGTACTTAGAAGAGTTGAATATAAGGACCGATGGAGCTGTTTCTATATTGTAGCACCAAGGCTGCCTGCTGGAATACTCAGATATGTATCCATATTCCGTACAGAACTCACCTGTTGCCTTCTCGGTTTCTGATAATCTGGCACATCAGTTAACTTTCTTAATTATTGTGTACACCCCCTTGTGCCCCGAGGACAGGCCTGAGCCCATGATCAAATACATCAAACAGAAGCTTCTCCCGCGATCTCGTGCCAGGACTCTTATTTCCTGCTCCAAGGACCAATTGAACAGGCAGAAGGGTCAGAAAGTGGATAATTGCGTTACTTTGCCATACGTGATGTGCTGGGGGCCCTGGTCAATAACTAACTTATTATCGAAGGTTGATAACCATGATCTTCGCGGCCCCTGCAATAACTCATGACCCCAGACCCGACCAAAGAAGCAAGCAAACCAGCTAGCTTGCGAGACGAACGGACATGGATACAACTTGACGAGTTGAATGTCGATATCACATCCGTCGTTTCATCCGTCGTGTCCATTCAGGCCCTTTAGGCACGAACTTAACTTGCTTAGCTAGCCGAAGCTGATGCAGACATCGGAGATGCCCACACCCGAATATTAATTATCACATCTTATGCAGTCGAGTTTGCTCTGGTTGCTCAGATATCAGGAGACATACTCCGTAGGTAGTGATGTCTCTCCGCATGAGGGAGTACAGTGCGACTCGACCGGATGAAAAAATAACCAGGCTGTTTGATACCATGCCAGTCTCTTAACCAGTTAGTTACAACAAGTTCTGCTTGCGCAGCGAACACGATAAAGCCAGCGCGGAAGAGTCGCGGATCGAGTGGTGCTTTGAAGGGCTGCACTCCACAGACAGGCAGATGGTGATACTCCGGTGGTCGCCACCTTTACCTCCGCCCGTCCGGGTCGCCCTGGAGGATGATATTGTTGATGTTGTTGGTATCGAACAGGGTCAGTCATGATAGGAGCCAACTCCTACCATCGCAGCCCCCAAGAATCTACAAGCTGTGTGCCCTCATTCACCCGACTGAGGATCTTCGATCTGAATAGCTAGTTATGCAGCATTAACTAGCAATTGTTATCCAGTCAACTGGTCGTTTGGTTAATTCTTTGTCGCTCGGGTTAATTCTTTAACTACTGCTTCGACAGGAGATACCCCGAAATCTGCGAGTTGCGCTGTACAGCCCCTCCCCAAGGAGCGAAGAAGATACCCCCAAGCGCAAATAAATGAAGCATGGGAATGAGAATAGAAGCAAGAGAGCGGGACGTTTTGTCCCTCTGTGCCACTCAATTCAAGCGCCATGGAATCGACGCCGCTGTTTTTCTTTGACTAGCTGCAAAGTGGTCCTGTCTCGAGATACTCATCATCCTTCTCAGTGTTTACCAGCTCTGGTGAAGATGGACGTCGCGCATACACTGTGGAATCAGGTTGATAATGACCATCCGCTCTATCGCCGCAGTGAAGAAGACGGAGTGCGCTGTAGGAGATCTATATAAAGGCCGTGAAGGGGCTTCTTCAACATGGCCCCTTCTATATTCCTCATCAGCATCCTCATCATCTTCGATACTGTCGTTCAAAATCTACAATACCACTACTTACCACCATGGTCAAGTACGCTCTTCTGCCCCTGGTTGCCGTCTCGCTTGTCCAGGCTGGCGGTCCTGAATGGCACCATTCCAGAACCGCTGACTTCGCGGTCGACCCGAAAGTCCACAAGGGCTGCACTTCCTGGATAAACGTCGTCGATGCCTCAGGGAAGCTTACCTGCGATGCCTTCCTAGACACCATCAATGTTGCCAAGAGGCAGTTCATCTTCTGGGTATGATTCCCATCTCATTGACTTGATATTTAGGAATTGTGCCCTGTACTAACCATATAACCGCCGTGTAGAACCCCCAACTCAACAGTGACTGCTCAAACATCCAGAGCAAGGCCTCTTACTGTGCTTTCCTGCCTTCTCATGTCAGTAAGCAGACTCGCGGGCAGATGGACCCCCCTCCGAAAACAAAACCGCTTCCACCAGGTTTGTTTAACGACTGGGGCAACAACCATGCTCAGAAGCGCAATGACCCTCCTCCGAAAACAAAACCACTTCCACCAGGTTTGTTTAATGACTGGGGCAACAATGGTGCTCGGAAGCGGGATGGTCTGTCTCCTACAGGGGGATTGGGGGACTTTCATGGACCAAAAGAAGCTCCTCCACCAGACTGGGGACACAAGGGCGTGGTTGAGGGTAATCATGGAAACACGATGAGCACGAGATCACCAATAATGGGAACTGGCCTGCCCGAACAACAATCTGAGCCGGCCTTCATGCCACCACATATCCCTAACCTCCCCAATGGAATGGAGAATAAGATGGTTGTTCATGCTACAACCCTGACCAAGAAACTGAGACCGACGGGCAGCTACGTCAAGCGTGATGCTAATGCCCCTGCCCCTACACCCGGCTCTGTTGGTGTTGCTATTGTAGGGTGCAAACAATATCATACCGTCAAGGCCAAAGATACATGCTTCAATATCGCTCAGCAGTACCCTGGCCTTCTTTTCAGCGACTTTCTCAGACTGAACCCGTAAGTGAGCCCTTTTTGCAAATCTATAGGTATACATGACTTATCAGTCCGCCCAGCAACCTTGATACCGTCTGTTCAAACCTCAAGGCCAATACACGAGTCTGCGTGAAGGGTGACACAAAAACCAACTTGGTACCAACTCCCTCTGCCGCCGTAGGTGTTCATGCCCGCGATGTTCAGGGCTGGCCATCTCCCACCAAGCCCGGAACAAACCCAGGCTGTAAGTCAAATTCTTCTCTATCTTCAGAGTCCAACTCAACCAGAATGCTAACTCTATGCAGGCAAGTCGTTTGAATTGGTCAAGAAGGGAGACTCATGTGAGGGTGTTGCCCGCAAGCACCATATCTCCGTCGCCCAGCTCAAGCAGTGGAATCCAGCTGTTGGGCCTACCTGCGAGAAGCTTGAAATTGGATACTATGCCTGCGTCCGTGTCTGATCGGTCATCCTGGCCATCTCGTAGCTGAGCTTTCAAGGCCTCCAGTCCTTCTGCTATCCATAATTTT